TTACAAGAGTGTTTCAAGCTCTTAGTTATTTTTGACCGAGTTTCTCTTTAAAGGCGAGCTCTTTATGGGCTTTTTTAATTGAAGCCAAATAAAAATACCTTCGTTAATCTTGGCATTACTGATTTGTGGAAAAAATCTTTTCAAATATTTAAATCCTTTCAATGTCCATGGTCATTACAAAATGTTTAATCAGTCCCTACTTAATATGGAGAGGTGGAAGTATCAGGCTTTGGATCAACAAGTGGTACATATTTTACGTACTTGTACCTGGCTAAAAAGATGTTCATAGGGGGTCATTCTTTTTTTACAAAATGTTTTTTTTGTTGCCTGACTATCCCGCAAATATAAAAAATAACTTCGTAAAACTATCTTGAAGTCCTAGTAATATACCTATAACATGAGGAACAGGTCCTGCAAATGGCAAGTTTGGATACTCAATCGACAATGGCTAATCCGGCTAATCGATATTCGGAATTTTGGTTGTGAATTTTGGAGTTGCGCTATTGCGCCAGTGTATGCCTAACAGAAAGACTTATGTGAAATATACATGGACCGGTTATGTAGTTGTTTCTGACTCGGCTTCAACTCCAACGCATTGCAGGGATAGGCGATAATCTATATAGAGTTAATAGATATTCCGATATTGAATATCGGAATAATATACTAGGTGTTCCATTTAAAATTAAAGTACAACTTGCTTTTATAGGTGACCAATGTTCAATATGAATTTTGTCTCGTCCTGTATAACTTTTTGGGTCAAGTTTTAATTTAATTTAAAGTACAATAGTTATTTTAACTATACAGGGTGGTCCGAACTGTATTCCGGAAACTTCGGCAGCATATTCTGAAGATAAAAATAAGTAAAAAAAATATGTATGTCCTAAAATGCTTAGTTTCGGAGATACAGGGTGTAGAAGTTTCATTTTTATTTCGATTTTTTCCAAATAATTTCTGAAGTAACGTCAATATTTGGATGAAAATTAGTGTCTGGAAGTTTTTTGACATGAAAAATTTGATTTCGATGTCAATATGACTCCTATTTGTAGGGGGCGCTACCTACATGTGTTTTAACTGTTTTGAAGCATAATAACTTTTTGTTCGTACCTGTATAAAACCCTACTGATGTAAAAAATACACATCTCTGTGACTTTTTACGTAAAAAATATCTCTTTGTAAAAATCGCTACGAGCAACCGTTCTCAAGATATTTAGAATGGAAATAGTCAATACATGTCATTATTGACGAAAAATAAACACTTTGAGTAGATAGTTATTTTACTGAAATAATAAATTTGGGAGATTTTAATTTTTTTTAAATTAATCATAAATTTTTCTGCAAAAAAATGATGATAAAACAGTTTCTGTTGAACTTTTGGCACAAAATCATTTCAAATTTATGATTTCAGTCTAATAACTATTTAGTAAACATGTTTAATTTATGTCAATGATGACAGGTATTGATAATTTCGATTCCAAATATCTCGAGAACCATTACTCGTAGCGATTTTTACCAAGGGACCTTTTTTACGTACAAAACGTCGTAAATGTATATTTTTTACGCAGTAGTTTTATACAGGTACGGACAAAAAGTTATTACTATTCAAACCAGTTAAAAATATGTAGGTGGCGCCCTCTACTAGTAGGAGTCATATTGACATCAAAATCAAATTTCTCATGTCAAAAAACTCCCAGACACCAATTTTCATCCAAATATTGACGTTACTACAGAAATTATTTGGAAAAAAATCAAAATAAAAGTGAAACTCCTACACCCTGTCTATCTCCCAAACTAAGCATTTTAGGACATACATTTATACGAACTTTTTTACTTATTTTTATCTGCAGAATAGTTTGCCGAAGTTTCCGGAATACAGTTCGGACCACCCTGTATATTAGGCTATACCGGATAAATTCCAATTTAGGTAGATTTTATTGAAATTTAAAAATTGTGCTTCATTTTTAGAAAATGTTAAATATGTCAAAAACCTTACATTTTTGTTATATACTTCTCTAATAAAAATCTCACTTTTATTTTTCTCCTAGAATCCGAAAATAAATTAATATACGCAGTGTTCCATTAAAAAAAATACAACTTTGATGTGTAAGTTTTTTTGGGGACACCTTAGCTCACAAAATTTCATTTCAATACAAACTATTGTTCTCTTTGGAGCCTCCGCGTCGTATGAGATGCGCCACCCTGTATAAAAAAATATTAATCTGCTAAGTAACAATCTACCTTGGTTTAGTAATTTAAAATCAATTTTGAGAATAGACTAAAAAATAAACAGTTTTTAAAAAGTGCACAATATCTTTTATTTAATAATTAAATATACAAATAATTAAAAAAATAAATTCGAAATAGTTTTACACAAATTTAATTCATTTCTATTGCACAAAAATGAAAACAAAATTTGTACTAACAAGGTCGAAGGTTCCGAAACGTTCGTACCTGTTTCCTCGTGGACAAACATGACATGGTGAAGGGGACACAAAATGATTTCGAAACGTATAGGATTCGGATCCCTCCGACCTTAAAAATTAATAATATTTCACTTTGATGAACAACGCACAGAACATGAGGACACTTATCTTAAAATTAATAAAACGATTAGACAAACAATGTAACATTTAATATTTGTGGAATAACTTCGACATTTAAATAATACTATTAATCCATGTAACATTATTTTTATCATTATAACCTATAGTTTATATATTCGCAAGGAGTTGATTAGACTGCGACGAATGAAACGTTTCATTTTTTATGTCCTGAGTATAATACGTCATATTTTATTATTATGCAATAAGCTTATTATTTTTTTGGTTTTTAATCGTCTTATAAAAGTACAAATAGGTATAATTCGAGTCAAAGTATAATACTTATATCGTAAGGTTATCCTGAGTGCATTATGACATAACTAAAGTACCTAGATATGATCGAAAATCCGAAAAATTGAGATAGATTTAGTGGCATTTTTATCCATACCATTTTATATAATATATCTTATTTTATGTTGAAATATATGAAGTAATTGTATCAATCTTAAGGACAACAATCTGTTTGGACGTGACGTAACAATCTAGAGTTGTTTATTCTTGTTGCACATATTAAAATAAGATTAGGATGTATCTCTTTATAATATTATCCTTTATTTTAGAACATTGAAAGACGTAAATTTTATGTCCGGAGTGCGTCTACCGTGAATATCTGAACGCAACCCTATACACGTGAATATCGACCCGAGACTCTCTTTTGCCGACAGTGTATAAAATGACAGCGACCTTCATTTCAAAGTAATCTATGACGCCGTTTTTCTTTTCGATCATATTAGTGTAATTCAGGCATAAAATTAAAAGGAAGTAAATGTAAAATATGAGTTAGTTTATATAACTGTAATAATATCTTTTAATTTGGATTATACAGGGTGGCGCACCTCATTCGCCTCGGTTGATTAAGTATTTACTTTACATAAAAACTTCGTTATTTCAAATACAACACCTTGTATTTTTTATAATAAATCGAAGCGGATTTAAATGCTGTTTCACACTATATTAGGGTTTCCTATACCTACCTATCTCAGATTTTGAATAAATAGCAAATTTTCAATAAAATGGCAACCAAGAGGGCTAGTGTCGTCATGGAAAGTTTCTAGTGACAGTTAGTAGCTATTTTCAAAATCGAAATTAGTTTATGGGCTTATTTAAATTTATACCAGTATACTTTTATTTAATTTACCTAAAATAATTTAATAAATAATATTTTAAGTATGTATTTATTATTCTATCAAGAAAAACGAAGAAGTAGTTCATTGATTTATTTTACGATGACTTGTAGATATATGGATTTTTTATACAAGAGACAGTTACGACAAATTCATTTTCTTCACTTCCAACGACAGATTTCTGCCTAACAGGTTTTTTTATAAACCACACTACCAGCTCTGCGAAATAGGACAAGTAGTTTTTCAAAGGAACGCTTATCAGGAAGATTCCTATTTTTGGATACCTTTGAGCATAAGTTCTTGAGGCCAAGAAGTAATTTTCCTCACAAAATAAAATCACTAGAAACATATTCATTCGTTTCGCCAGCAAATATTGCTTTATTTTTCTTGATAAAATAATGAATACTTACTTATTAAATCAGGCGCGTGCGGTCCATGGAAGTGGGGGAAGCGCGGCGCCGGTGCTTCCCTATACGTTAAGCGCAAGCTTTTTAATTAATAATTCATAGTAAGTAATATGAATCTAGGTAGTGGTTTATATGTGATCTGTTAAACATATTTTTCGACTTTTTTTATTAACTTTATCGAATCGCTTCCCCTTGTATAAATTTCACCGCACGCCACTGTATTAAACTATTTTAGGTAAATATAAGTAAACTGTTATAAATTATGAATAATAATGTCCAAAAACTAATATCGACTTTGAAAATAGTTACTAACTGTCACTAGAAAATTGCCATGGCGACACCAGCCATCTGGATTGCAATTATATTTAAAAATCGCTTTTTATTCAAAATCTGAGCTAGATAGGTATAGGAAACCCTAAAATAGTTTGAAAGAGCATTTGAATCTGCTTCGGTTTATTTAAAAAAAATACAGGGTGTTGCATTTGAAATAACGAAGTTTTTATATAAAATAAATCCTTAAAATAGATCAGCAATTTTTGATACCCCTGTATAAATTTATGGAAGCAATGCCATTTTTCAGTAAAGTTTATTTCTTTACCTTTAAATTCAGCACAAGAATTAATTCTGAAAAGTAATGTACAGGGTGTTAATAATCTATTCTAACGTAGCATGCAAATTTAAATATCTTTAAATATCTCAAAAACTAAAGATTTTAAACATATTTAACCCTTATAAAAAATAACTTTTTTTGGGCCTAAGAATCCAACAATGAAATAAAATACCGGGTGTTCCATAAGAAAAAATATAACTTTGGTATGTATCTTAGTTCTGAAACACCCTGTATATTTCAAAATAATTTTAAATTGTGCACATTGCCTCCCCACATATACCCATAAAATATTTTGTTTCTACATCTTTCCGTTTTCGTATAATCAACCGAGGCGAATGAGGTGCGCCACCCTGTATAGTATGTAGTACGGAACAGGAGAATTAAAGATAATTATAAATTGTGTAATATTAAATCGCATACACGAAGAAATTATTTGTTATAAAAGATCATTTATATTTTACAGAAAAAAATATAGTAGGATGACAAAAATTAAGTAAAACGATAAATTTTGTTTTAATAATACAGTAAATTTAACTAAATATATGATCACTAGATAAATATTTGACTAGCAAACGGACTACCATTAGTTATTTTTGATTCTGCCACGAACGTACTTCCTAGTGTACTTTAGCAAGTCATAATACACTGGCACTTTATACTGAGACTATGAAGAACAGTATAAAGATCTTACATCTCAACACTGTGCTATTACTGACCTGTATATAATTAAAGTACATTATTTAATATATCATGAGCTTGGGCTTTTGCTAAAATTTAATATACCTAGAGAGCCCGTTATAATATCAAACTAAAAACTGTATATACTATAAAAAGTTAGAGAGAAAAATTGGCATGTTTTGTGCTTACATAATACACATGGCGTCGAATTGTAACTTGATAAATTCATATTTTAGTAATAGTTAACTTATAAAAATGTCAGAAGTAAATATAATCCTTTGGCTTTAAATGTTTTAAATTAATTTATACAGTACTCGTCAATTATTACAATAAACAAATACATACAGGGTATGTCAAAAAACATGTGCCATCTCTCGTCGGGAGATTTCTCAAGTAACAATACGATTTATTTTTCATATCAATATATGTCTGATTCTGCTTTGTTTCGTAACTTTTTTAGCATTAAGTTATGCAATACTTAAAGTTCACCCTCCAAATGTCTTTCAAATCCCTACAGATGCTTAGAAATGATAATAAATGGAAAAAAACTCTAAACCCCTTAAAGCAGAATCGAACCTCGGAAAATCTCCCAACGAAAGATGACACATGTTTTTTGACACACCCTGTATATTATACTATACAGAATAGAGTTAATAAGATTTAATAGAATTATTGACAACGTTTACTAGAAAATATACGCTACAACCATTAATTTTTTAACATAAATATCACCATTTCAATTTGAGTGGTTGTAGAAAATTTAATAATATACCTACAACTTAAACAATACGAAATAAAAAACCTATAAATTAAATAACACCGTTAAAATATTTTAAACAAAAGTAACTATATAAATGGCAATTTTTTCGAAAAAAATGACTATAAAGAAATTTGTTTTTAAAAATTAACAGCTTCCGTTATTTTGAAGAGAATCAAAAACTAAATATGTATAATAACAAGTGCATAGATTTTTATTTCACTAGTTCTAAATAATTCTGTATTTGTTGTGTATTTTATAATTATTACAAATAGAATATGATCAAGTGTGCTTTGAACGAGGACAGGAAAACATATTTTTGGGTAATTATATTTAACATTTTTAACAGTCAATTATAATGAAAAAGCTTTGAAATATAACATTTTCATTATAACATCATTATAATTTTGCTCTACTTTAGTGGTGTATTATCAACGATTTTTTTTAGACTTTGACAGCTAAGAACGGTGGCCTTTCTGTCAAAAATTATAGTTATTCTGAGATATCTATATGTATTACAATTAAAAATTAACATTTATAGTAATTTTATTGAATACAAATAATATACACAATACAATTAGTTTGGCATTTCATAATATACACTATTATAAGTTGTCACTTTATCAGAACTTATCTTATCAACAGATTTTCTTAAATAATCAGTAACTAAAGTAGAGCAGAATTGTAAAAAAAGCAGTTTCACGACTAGGGTCCGGATTCTAAATGTTTTGGACTATCGAAATCGATATTATCCCAAGAAAAGTCACTGTAAATTATTTTCAAATACGAAGCAACCTTCATACCACTAGGAAGCGTAACAGCAGTACAAAATTAAAAATACAAATTTTCGATATTCAGAAAATTTAGAACCAAGCTCCTGGTAAATTACAAAGAGTTAGAAATTAAATTATTTGATTCTAAAGCCGTTTTACATACTGCAAGATTTCCTGCAAGACGAACTGTCAAACTTGTCAGTCTAGTGACATTTATTTGCCTTGGAAAAACAAAAATTGCTATATTTTCCCCCAGCCTTGCACTTTCAGTGACAGAAATATCGAGCAACAACTGATAAGTTGCAAGTGCAAGGCAGTTGCAGATATTAATCAGCTGGGCCACAACGGCGCATGTTTTTGGGATACATTTTTTGCAAGTTGCACCGTCTTGCAGCATGTAAAACAGTCTTAATGATTACAACTACATTAAACAAACACAGAAAAACTAAAGAACTTGACCATTTAAAATTCAGTACAAAAACCTTCGTTAAACTACAAATAATACATTGTCTGTATTTTCTGTCAAAAATTCTTCATCACAGAAATGAAAACCTACGCAACAATTTAATACCATTCGATACTTGCCCGTTTAAGCGGTGCTGGAATTTTGTAACGCTCCACTTACTGGGCTAAAGAGAGCCATACTGTTACGTTTAAAACTGCCCATCTCGTCGTGGGGCCAGAGAGACTCCCCAAAGAGAGACGATAAAGACGAACATAGCTTTTTGTAGTTCTGTCTCAATACCTCTTGATACTCTTGTTGGTCTTGAGAAATCAACCTTCCGTTTATTTGAAGTGCCGAATAGCAAATCTTCAGAAATTCTCTGTAACAACAGAACATTAAGATATAATGTGACCATATACGTGACAAAGCGACTGGCGATAGTGTAAAATTATGTAACAATTCTGAAACTGTACTTTTTTTTTATTAGGGTAGAGATTAGCGATGGGAACTATCGAATGAATTAGACTATCGAATGGTTAATGAATGAATGATTTCAACTATCGAATGGTTTTATTCGAATAAAATCATTCATTCATTTGTATACTAAAGCATATGTGACAACCTCGCCGTGCGACTAAATGGTTATCGGTGAGCCACGACTACCTATCGAATGCTTTTTGATAAATGAAATTTAGTATTCGTTTGATTTTTGTATGCGTCAGTGCATTATTAGTTCTTCCAAATTTTTATAACTTTGCCGTATAAATACTGTGCTATTTTTGCGTTTATTAAAATAGTTAAAATACTAAAATAGTAGTTATTTTTTAATTTTATTTATTGACGATTGTGTGCATGTGCAGGTGGTCAAAAGTTTTCCGAAAATTTGTGTGGTTTTCCGTAGTCCGATCTTTCAATTATTTAATTTTATATGGTATATGGCTATTTTTTAATGGGAAATTTTGAGAGGTAGCAATTTTTAAGAGAGATGAGATGAACTTACAATTAATTTTAAAAATACATATTTGTATTTTAGATGTTTTAATAATATTAATTAGTTGAACTTAATAATCATATTTAAGTAATGTAGTTAAGTAAATGGTTATCGAACTCAAACTATGGGGTGAGAAAATTAAAATGAAAGTTTTACACGTCCCAATTTAAAAAAAAAGTTAACGATGTTTGTATTTTGTTTATGCTATTTCTCTTACATGTAGTTTTTTGCGAAGAAATATTTCATTTATTTTTTAAAGTAAATGCCAGTAAAAGTAAATATAATTTTTAAATAGTAATATAAAGCACCTAATATAAATAATTTTTGATTTCTAATTTTTATTTTATATTTTCTTTCCATTACACTGCATGCTTAGAAAATTAATAAATGTTAATATTTCATGATTTTAAAATTTGTTGTTAATATAACAAATTAGTTCTGTAATTATTATTATTTAATAAACCAACGTTGCCACACCCAAAAAAATTTAGAGACTATATTATTTTTAAATAGGATCTAATATAAATAATTTTGACATCTAATTTGTTGTTTATATTTTGCTACTACTTAAAAAAATATTTATATTAAATGATTTTAAATTTTGTTGTTAATAGGTATAACAAATTATTACTGTTATTATTATTTATTAAACCAGTCTTTGCTTAAAAACATTAAAAATAATTTTCCTACATCCAAAATAACAAGTATTATTGCAGTGTAACAACAGAATATTAATAAAAAAAAGCAGAATATATAGACATACTATCCCTAACTAACTAAAGCCAAACAATAATATTCTTTGCTAATATCAACTAATACCAATATATGGCAACAGCGCCCTTCATAATGTATTTTCTGTGTAAATACTAGCACCTCAATAAAAAAAAATAATGGGTCCTTATCTATATCTGACTCCGCAAAAAATCAAAGATGCCGGCTTGTTTCATAGCTGTCGGGTTTCTCGGAAAGAAACCTACGTCGCCAGGCGACAACTAAAATTCAGTTAATATTTTATTATAATCGATCCTGACGAATAAATGAATTTCATAAATGAATGAATTTTATAAATGAATGGTTTTTGCTGCCGAATTATTATAATACAATATTTCAAGGCAGATGACGGATCTATTCGATAATTTTTATTCGAATAGTTTTCAACGAATGTTTTCTTAGTAACTATCGAATTATTCGAATGAATTGCAACTATAGAATGTTTCGATAGTATTCATTCGATAGTTCCCACTGCTAGTAGAGATAGTTTCTCATAAAACTTTCCTTTATTAAAAGAACGGCAATTTCAATATAACATGAAAAACTAGGGCTTTTTACGTAGGAAAGGTGTTCTTTGTTTAGTTCAAAACGGTGAACGATTTTCAAGATATTTGCGTTTAAAGGTTACAATATGTCAATTTTGGTTTTATCGAAATCATGAGATGTAAGGAAATTTTTGATAGGTTACTAGTAGGAATTTGAATGGAGTGTATTAGGTTACATTAGGTTAGGTTGCTGGGGTTTGGAATCATGTTTGATCCCTCACTCGGAGGCCTTGGGCCCATTGCGATACCCCTCTATTGTTGTTCCAAACCTTCCTCTCATTCTTTTTCTGCGTTAAAGCACTTCCAGCTCTTTGCAAAATTCCCGATGTCGCTGATGTTGGCTTCTGCTGCTTCCTCTAGTCCCTCCCAAAAACCTTGCCCTAAAGTTTTAAAGCGTCGGTATTCCAGTGCCGGACAGTGGCACAGCAGGTGCTCTATGGTTTCTTCTTCTTCTCCGCATTCTCTGCAGTAGTCGTCGTTTAACTTTCCATCTCACGAGGTTTACCTCCGTGGGACAGTTTCCAGTGACGACACCTACAATTATGCGTACTAGCTCCTTTTTGTGCTCTAGTAGTTGTTTTGTCTTTTTGCTATCTACAACTGGCCATAGTCTTCGAGCTGTAGCGCAGTCCTCACGGTGTTGTCACGTCTCTTGCTGCTTGGCCTTGATGGCAGTTCCTATAGCTTGCTTCAGTGTGTTAATCATCACAAGTGGTGGGTCATCTGCCACGGCCTCTCCCCTGGCCCCGTCTTTGGCGAGTCTGTCTGCTTCCTGATTGCCCACCACATTGCTGTGGCCTGGCCCAGCACAGAGTAGTCCCGCCCTGACGCAGCCAGGACAGTTCTTCTCGGCATTCCATCACAGTTTTAGATCTCACTGATTGCATGGTGATGCTTCTTAAAGCGGCCAAGCTGTCAGAGTATATCACTATATCCCCTATTGGTCTATCAGCAATTTTCTCTCGTATACTACTAGCCGCTTCCTTTATGGCGTAAACCTCTGCTTGTAGAACATTACAGCCATCCGATAGCCTTAAAGATCGTCGGATGTCTAGTTCCTCTGAGAAGATGCCTATATCTGTGCCTCCTGAAGTTGCGGAAGCATCTGTGTAGATTGCTATCTCTTGAGTGTTCATTACTCGGTTGCTTTCCCATTCTTCTTTTGTCGGGATGCGAATCCTTATCTTTTCTCCAAAATCATGTTTGGTGAGCATATAGTCCGTTTTCTGAGACTCGTATCGTGTTCACCATAATTTTCCCTATCACTGGCAATATCCTCGAGTGACCGTAGTTGGTGTGGTTCCACAGATTGGATTCCCTTAATCTTAAGGCACACTTAGCGGCCAGATCCTTCGCGAGCCAGTCGATTGACCGCAAGTCCAGAATTGCTTCTAGCGCAGCTTGCGCTGTGTTGTTCCTTGCTCCAGTTGTACCTAGAGCTGCTAATCGCTAGTCCACCATACTAGTGCTCCATAAGTGATGATTGGTCTAACTATAGCAGTGTACATCCAGTGTATAATGTACGGTTGCAGACCCCATCTCTTTCCAAATAGTTTTTACATGCATAAAATGCATTTATTCCCTTTATCATCCTTTCCTCAGTGTTCCTTTTCCAGGAAAGCTTCGAGTCCAGAATGATTCCTAAATATTTTGTCTTCTAAGTGTCTTCCCATCCAGCTTTGGTAGCGTGAACTTGGGTATCTTGTATTTTCTTGTAAACAGAATGAGTTCGGTTTTGTCTGGGTTGATGCCCAAACCATTCCTTTTTGTCCATTCCGTTAGCTTCTTCAGAGCAGATTCCATGATATCACTGATCGTTTGCAAGTCTTTGCCAACGATCATTATTACCACGTCGTTTGCATATGCCTTTATCCTAATTTCCTTCATTGTCAGAGAGGTCAGGATCAGGTTCATTACAATCTAGTGATATAAAAATTCTAAGTAATCGTTACAAAGTAAGTACCTCGAAGTAACGCTTACTATTTGAATTTAGGACTCGTTACTCGTTACTAAGCTAATTCGTTAATTTTTGCGCCGGCAGTAATCGTAATCCCTGGAAATGCACGAACCGAGGACTCGAAACCCGATACTGAAATATTCCTTACTTCGACGTAGGTCTAGTTGTTATCAATATGTTTATGTTTAAAGTGTTGACTTGACGCCGGCCGGTGTTTTGGATGGCAAATGTGTGATATTTTTATTACAATTATTATATTTTTATTACAATTATTATGATTGGCTTATGCCGACCCGTAGGCAGTCTGTCCCTTTGCCGTTTGTTGTCCCTTTTTATTTATAGAATAGAATTGTTTATTTAGATTAACATGTCTTAGATATTAATTAAAAATGGATTCACGTTAGTCACAAAAAATGTTAACATCTGAAAAAGCAGAGCAAATATTTTTGTTCTTCAAAAGAGAATAGATATTTCGCCACTTACACTGTAAGAAAATCTACAAAATAAAAATAGTAATTTTTAGTAAACACTGCTGGCGTTAATCCAAAGGACTTTTTTGAAGAGACGAATCCGCCACAGAGGAATATACAATTTTTTAATATTTTTACATTTTAACAAAAATATATACATTTTTTTTATTTTTACTCTTTAATGTTTGCCTATTTATTAATGTAATACAAAGAGAGAGAGAGAGAGAGAAAATATAAAAAATACTTTATATTTATTATACACATATTTTCTTTGTTTGATTTGTTTTCTTTTATTTTTAATTTTATTAACAGTACATAGTTTTATTTAACATATCATTATAAAAATATTATACATATTATTAAAAACATATTATTCGGTACTTGAATACCGAGTATTGAAATTATCATATCAAGCCCTTATACTAGAAGAAAGTAGAAACCATGAAACCAGCATGCAACGAAGATCGCCGCGTACAATAAGTAACGAAGTTCCACGTCAAGCCCAAGTCTTGTAACCTGTACACAAAACAACGATTATAAAGTAACGATACTAAGTACCAAACTAACGAGTAACTAAAGTAACGAGTCCTATTACCAAAAGTAACTAGTAGTCACGAGTCCATAAAAGTAACTAAAGTTTACATCACTATTACAATCAGCCACAGCAAAGGTGATAATACCCCTCCTTGTGGCGTGCCTCTTGTTGCGCATTTTTTGGCTGAGCTGTTTCCCATCTCCGATGTGATAGTCCCGTTCTAATGGAGTGTATTAAAACAATTAACAATGTAGTTATACCAGATGTGCCCAAAAAATTTACAAGATATATTCCAAGTAATGACTCCCAATATAAGAAACAATTCGACTCACCTATATATGTCTTTCAACTCCTCCACCCGTTCCTCCGAGTATATACTGGACGTGGTAGGATCTAAGAAGGCGTTGGCGTAAGCTAGTGGACCGGCATTCACTTGAACGCAGACGCTGCCTTGCAACCTTAGCTGGAGTTTCTTCGCATCCGTAGGTTGCGTGAACACGACATCTTCCAGTTCGGCGACCTTGCCTTGCATTTCATCTATTGCCACTTCTATCGGGTTCAACTCAATAATTTTACGGGAATCGACTGGAATTTTCTTCTTTACGTAGGGGAACGAATAAGTAGCTAAAGAAACAGAAATAAAACTGTTAGGAATAGAGAACTTGACAAAAAAAGATTGTGTGTGTGATTTGGAGTGAGACTTTTTACTAACAGCTATTAAATTGGAAGATTTGAAGGACCTGTTTGAAAAATTGACATATAATGTTTGTTGTAAATATAAATATTATTTAAAATTTATTTCTGCAATCTGTACATTTTCTGTTTCCTCAATAGCCTGCAAATTTTGTGGAATACCACCCAAAATACACACTTTTATGCAAATGCCTAATAATGTTAACGCTTAAATTTATTTAAGAAGAGAAGAAATTTTGAACCTAACCAACAAATTGTATTTACAATGGTTTACAGTTGGGTTTACAGTAATTTATTTAAATTATACGAATATTCTCGTTGATTATTGGTTTGAAATAAATATGATGGTGTCCTCCAATGAAAATGCGAGTTGATTAACTCCAATAATTCTAATTCTGAGTTAGCAAATGAGCTAAATACTTTACCTAGACCCAAGGACTGTATATATTCTAAAGGACTGTTCGATATGTGTTCGATCGCGTCAAATCGCCGCTGTCGTAGTCGCCGTGGAATGCTGCTCCACAGTGCGGCGGATGGTAATTCTAGCGGGACAAAATCTCAAGAGCAATGTTTGGGACTTAAAATCTAAGAACGTAGCAAATGGTCTAATATATAGCAACTATATGGTTAAATTTATTTATTTATTAACACTTAATTTATTAATAAATAAATATAAGATAATAAAACTATGATATTATTTGTACATGACACACAAAAACCGTATTGTAAACTATTGCCAAATACATAAAATTATGATATCAATAAACTCTTTAGCAGTTTTTTTAAATTAATTTGTAATCTTGTGACACCTTCTATAATAATATACGTACAGTAGAAAAGTACATACCTTTGGCAATCTTCAACATAATTTAGCTTTCTAATAAAATGTATAAGCACTTGTAAATATTTTGTTTTCGTATGATCTCTGCCTTGCTGAGCAGAAAACGACCAAACTTGGTTGATAAAAATGTATCGAAATGCAAAGAATACTCATGCATTTTTGTATCAATTGGAATGTCTACTATTTATTATCAGTACACATTTTTTGGCTTATTTCTAACCAAACGCTTTTGTCCCGCTAAATTTATCTTCCAACGCACTGTGCGCTCGTCCGTCAAATGCAAAAATAACTCACTGTCTAAAATCTTTAGCGCCAACTTCAACTCGGTCAGTAGATGACGTAAAAAAACTGACAGTACAAGGAGATAGGAATCGAACTATCCTTATCTCTATAGTATCCTTGACCTAGACCGTTATTCGGTAGCTAGGTATAGTTATTAGGTTTGTACTATTGATAAAAATGTGCATGAAAATTTACTTCCTAGCACACAACCAGAGGATATTGGTACCCAGGTACAGTATCAAGTTTATTATAATGTTTTTCGTAGTCATGTCGTGTCAAGACCTTGAATTTTTACTTCCATCGCGCGTAAAGAAGTTTCACTTCAAAAAAAGTAGCAATCAAAAGGTAAAATTTATTTTATTACATCTATTCAAATAATCAAAAAATAAAAAAGAATCGCATGGATGTTTTCCAAAATATTTAGAATTTTTAAACTTTCAGGCTTCTCTCCTCTGGATGGACCGTCCGAATTTGCAATTTTGCCTGCGATAAAAAGTTGCGAGTAGCAGTTGCGGAAATACTTAAAATGTCAGAGCTTGGGATTTATATTTTCTAGAAAATGCCTCCTTAATACAGCGAATCATTTGCAAAAGAGGAAGAAGGGTATGGATTACTAAAAAGAGAAATGTATTTGGTGCATTTCAGAGTTGCAATCTCACAGAAAACATAAGTCTTTTTTTACTTAAATCATTTTAATGGTTTAAATCATTTGATTTTAAGTCATATATCGAAAGCTTAAGACTTAAAATTTAAGTCATTTACAAAATGACTTGTGATTTAAGTCTTTATTCCGAAATAGAAAAATATTTAAGTCATTAAAAAAGATTTAAATCTTTTTTAATGGTTTAATTTTTTTTCTAAAGTCATTACTTTGACTTAAGTCATTTTACAAAAGATTTAAATCTTTTAAAAGATTTAAGTCTTTTATGAAATTTAAGTCTTTTTAGAAAAGATTTAAGTTTATCTTTGTACCGCTGCTCATAAACGAGAAAGACTGTAACTGTAAAACACACAAAAATAGGACAACCTGTACAAAGTACAACGAAATTTAATTTTATTTAAATTGTTGATGTTTTTATATGTGAATAATGCGTTTATTTTTTATTGTTTATATAATATTTTATTCTAATCTGTATCTATAATAAATTAATATAAATAAAAAAAAATCGGTAATGGGAAATACAAGAAAATTAATATTAACATTTAAAAATAGGTATTTAAATTGAATTCTGGTTGTAATTGAGATTTGGTATATTAATATACGACATAAATTATAGGATTGATTGAGGTATTCAATTATTTTCTGTCACTTCCTGTTTCACCGGAAATGACTTCTATTTTTGATTTTTAAATGGTACCCTAGGTGTTTTGTTACTTTATTCGAAAAAAAAATGACACTCTGAATAGAATGACATATCATATTACGTCAACATTTGACATTTTCGAACATGGTTTATTTGAAATTGCAACATGCGATTCATAACGACAATTTGACTCGAAATACCAAGCGTGTGGTACCAAATTATACGTAAAAAATGCTTTTTCCAAATATGCTAATGAGCCACCCTCGTTCCATTTCAAAAAATTGAGATATGATTAAAATTATGATTTGGGCATCTTTTAACCGGTCAGGACAAGACACGAATAACATTAGACGATCAAATCTATTTTTCCAAGGCTCCTTGATTAAAAATTAGTGTTTTTAACACATCCACGGCACTCTAGAATGAAATTTAAAATTCAATTTTGTTTAAAGCAAAAATGTCAAAAGTTGACATAATATAATACGTCATTCTATTCAGAATGTAATTTTCTATCAAATAAAGTAAAAAAATACCGAGGGTGCCATTTAAAAATCAAAAATTGTAGTCATTTCCGGTGAAACAGGAAGTGGCCGAAAAGAATTGAATACGTCAATCAATCCTAAATTATGTTGTACACTAACATACCAAATCTCGTTTTTTTTATCTGGTAGAATAAAAAAGTTATAGGGGTGAGCCACTTTTGAGATGAACCCAGTAGATATAGTGGTACTTACTTTTAATTATCGTTCTTCTTTTCCACTGCTCTTCCGGACTTCCCCTAGCCTTCCCGTCCTTTGTGAACGGCGTCTCGTACATGAAAGTGAACACGTTATGATTCTGCTCGAATTCGGTTTGCCTGTCTTCGAGAGCGCTCTTCTCCATGTACGGTATCACGTGAGTCACTTGAATGTAGGCGTACTTCGGGTCCAAGTTGCTCTGTACCACCGGCGTCGAATCCTGGATCATCTTAACCGTGTCCGGTCCGAATTTTTCTATATACTGTCTCTCCAGTCGTTCGGATATTTCGCTCAGAGATGTAACTTTGGGTTCTTTATAAACGTACTCTTTACCGTTTTCTTCTTCGAAGTACGATTGGCCGTAAAACCCGACCCTGTAATATCGACCGAGCAGTCTTTTACCGCTTTTATTCACTTCGATAACTTTGTCGTAGTTGTCGGCCAAGTTCTGATAACATTTTTTCAGCTGTTCGTAGTTTCGCTTTTTCTCGTACATCGGAACGACCAACTTGAAGAGTTCGCCAAGAATTTCGTATCTTTCGGCTTTCTGGATGAATTCCGCGCAAGTTTCTAACTGTTCCAGCAGAATAAATTCGGTGTATTGGATGTCTTGTACGCCGGTGTCCAATTTGAGACCTTTCTCGTCCTTGGGAATGTTTGAAGAGATTTTTTCGAACGCTTCTGCTCCCCAGGATTGAGTGCGTTTTAGTTTGAGGTATTCCGCCATTAGAGCTGCGATATGAAGCTGACAACAGGCAGCCTAAAAAATGATATTTTAGATGTTTAAACAAGTTACTTTATTTTGTTAAACAACGGTATATCCTTTGAATAAAATGACTAAGAATTGAGACTAATATTATCTATACGTTGATGCATTAGACGTGGAATCGACATCATAAGCCCCCACTTTTGACAACTTTTTTTGGGGTTTCAATTGACACATTTGAATTTGGCTGAAATTTTGCGAATTTGTTGTGTTTTTTTAACCTTATTTTATATTATTTATTATTTATTCTATAGTTGGTTTTGTTCAGGGGTAGTAAATCTAGAAGGATATATTTGTCAGAACTTAAATTAACAGTGACATTATTGTAAATTCCAGAAAAGACTGTAAAAAAGTTGTGCAGTGTAGAGCTCAAAAATCACTGACAATAATAGCTACTATTCTACTGTATATACTGATTAAGTATAATAACTACGATTAATATGATGCATATTATTATTAGATTGTACAGGGTGTCCCACTAAGAAGAGCTCTCGGCTGTATCTCGGAAAGTATTAGTCCTAGAGCTAGCGAAAAAAAATATTTATAACTAAAGAGAGCATGATAAATTGCTGGAAATTATTTTAGCATTATTAAGTTTGTAGAGCGGCCGCTAGAGGGCGCAACTGCTATTAAAAATAAGGAAAAGGAGTTTTTATACAATTTTGCCTAGATAATGGATACTATAAATAATAGATTCATAATCTTCAGTAATTTTTGCATATTTTTTGTTAGAACCATTTTCCCCTATCTGCTAAAATAAAGTGGTGGGGGAAGGTTAGATCTGTTTTTATTTAAATGTCTTTAACTCCGGACTGGTTGATCGGAATCCAACAAATGAGGGCTCGTTTAAAAGAGCGTTTCTTACTCTATATTATACCATATAAACAATAATAATAAGCTTTTGAACGTAGACGCTAGGGGGCGCTGTCTTACAATTTAACAAAAATTACGCGTTTTTTCGAACAAGTTAAATGCGATAGTATATATAATTTTAGCGGCCCCTAGAGGGCGCAACTGCTATTAAAAATAAGAAAAAGGAGTTTTTACACCATTTTGCGTAGATAACTGATACTATAAATAATAGATTCATAATCTTCAGTAAATTTTGCATATTATTTGTTAGATCCATTTTCCCATATCTGTCAAAATAAAAGTGGTGGGGTAAGGTTAGATCTGTTTTTATTTAAACATTAATAACTCCGGACTGGATGAACGGAATCTAACAAACTGGGGCGCGTTTAAAAGAGCGTTTCTTACTTTACATTATAGAGTATAAACAATAATAATAAGCTTTTCAACGTAGACGCTAGGGGGCGCTGTCTTACAATTTAACAAAAATTACGCGTTTTTTCGAACAAGTTAAATGCGATAGTATATGTAATTTTAGCTGATACTAAAGAGTAATAAAAGTTTAAAAATTCAGCGAAAACCGCATCTTGATACAACCGCGTTTCAGCGAAAACCGAATTTCAAACCAAAGTTATTAGCAAAATCATAACAAATACGGAAATATAAGCTTTTAATTACCTTATCTTTCTAACACGGTATCCCTAGCCCTCTTGATTATGATCATTCTAATAAAAAATAAGATAGAAAAGATTATTTCATTCAAAAAATCGACAATGACCAGAATATCGTAATTCTAGGTGTATTAATATCCAATAATTAAGATATCAATGAAAGTGACTAAGAACCGACACTTCAGTGAATTCATGGTAGACTTTAGAAAAAAGTTGCTTTTAAAGAGATAGTTTAAACTCAAAATATTATTATATCAACAATTTGATAGTCTCAGCAGCGTTTTTTTTATCTTTTGATTGCTTTTCTAAAAATGCTTTTCTTCAAAAGAGAAAAAAAGCTGCTAAGACTATCAAAATGTTGATTTAATAACTCTTTGACGTTTATACTATTACGTCAAAAGCACCTTTTTTCCAAAGCCTACCATGACTTCACTGAGGCGTCGTTTCTGATATTTCTGTCATTGACAGTCTAAATTATTAGATATTAATACATCTGGTATTATCATATTCTGGTATATTGTCGATTTTAAAATAAACTAATCGTTTCTATCTTATTTTTTATTAGAATGGTCATATTCAAGAGGGCTACTGTAATCGTGTTAAAAAAAATAAGGTAATTAAGGGCTTATTTTTTCGTATTTATTATAATTTTGCTAATATTTTCGGTTTGAAAAAGGATATCAAGATGCGGTTATTGCTGACTTTTTAAGCTTTTATTACTCTTTACTATCAGCTAAAATTATATATACTATCGCATTTAATTTTTTTGAAAAAATGCGCAATGTTTGTTAAATTGTAAGACAGCGCCCCCTAGCGTCTACATTCAAAAGCTTATTATTATTGTTTATACTCTATAATGTAAAGTAAGAAACGCTCTTTTAAACGCGCCCCAGTTTGTTAGATTCCGTTCATCCAGTCCGGAGTTATTAATGTTTAAATAAAAACAGATCTAACCTTACCCCACCACTTTTATTTTGACAGATATGGGAAAATGGATCTAACAAATAATATGCAAAATTTACTGAAGATTATGAATCTATTATTTATAGTATCAGTTATCTACGCAAAATGGTGTAAAAACTCCTTTTTCTTATTTTTAATAGCAGTTGCGCCCTCTAGGGGCCGCTCTACAAACTTGAAAACAATTTCCAGCAATTTCTCATGCTGTCTTTAGTTATAAATATTTTTTTCCGCTAGTTCTACGACTAATACTTTCCGAGATACAGCCAAGAGCTTTTCTTAGTGGGACACCCTGTACACTGAGATTTCAAATTCCCAACAAAAAAAAATATAAAAATACTTTCTTTAAATTGCTGATCTGGATATTATTTATTTGAATCCTTCAATTGGGTCGATTTTCCTTATTCATTGTTAATTAGTGCTGATCAATATTGTTGCGATAAATATAATCAGATTAAATCATTTTAAAAACCGGAGTCGGACTTTATTATTATTTAAAAAAAAAAGATTTTAAATAATAATTAAATAGTTTTGTTGTTGTTAAGGTACCCAAAACAAAAAAAAAGTATAAAGGGTGGCAAGAATATTTGTTCTTTTTTTTTGAATCACCAGAATTATTTAATACTTTACTATCAGAATATACACGAAAAAAAATTTTATACCTCGAGCCGGTCTCGAACTCGGACTCCTCGCTTCATAGGCGGAAAATATGCGCGCTGTGCTATGGAGACTTGCTCGATTTATGTTCAATACTAGAATTTAAAGGACTAATAAAAAATATAGGATTTTCTTTCAATGAGCAGTAGTGAACGTAACGTTTACCGGCAGCCAGACGGCCCGCGCGCTGTTCCAGAGAGCATAGTAAAAGATCAAAGAGCCAGATTTCTTAAAATACTTGTTTTCCCGACGTTGATAGCTCTCGTACTATTAAGTATGTCTTCCCTACATTATATTTTTAGACGTTTTAAATAAAATCAGAACGGCACTAATAAACCGGAATTTAAGTCAACCATTTCTAAGTCAGCGTTCCTTTATTTTTATTCCAAATTCCTAATCTTTTTATTCAAAGTTTATCCAGAAGGAGAATATAAGATTTCATCATATAAAAATGTCATGTAAATTCAATTGATCATATAAAAATACAAAATCATCCACTTTTGAATTTGAATGTCAATCATTATTCTTTCACCGGACAGATTATATTATTTGTCTCTATTCAGTAGGGACTTTACTGGGGATTATTAAAATATGTACTTACTTCTGAGAAATTCCCATCTCTAACGTGGTTCCTTGTCATAGTTTCCAACCATGTATGCCTCAATTCTGGTGTAGAAGCGTAAGAATTGGCGAGACTGTGTTGCAGATCTACCAGCATCTCTGGATCTTGATGGTGCTCCCTCATTTGAACAGTTGCCATTAGAACAGTTCTTATCCTTCTAGTAAGGTCCTTTACCTCTGTTGGAAAACCTAAATCACAAAAATTACAATATACAATATCTAAGAACAACTAGGCAGTGGTCATTATTACCTGTACCCTTCATTGCTTTGTCGCTAGAAGCGTAACTGTTAATCAATGACAAACTTTCTTGAAATCTAGCGTTATTTAAACCAATAATATTGCCCAACATCTGCGAAACGGATATGATGACTTGAAGGTGTACCCTGGTCAAACCTTTGCGATTAGTAAATTCAAAATTACTCCTCATTAAGAGATAGAGAAGAGCACATGATTCCTGTCTGATCGATGATATTCTGCTGTTGCAGCATTTGAGGAGCTCATAACAGAGTTTACCACATAAAATTGCATTGCCTACAAAAAACAATTAGACAGTGTTATTTATAGACACGTAATGCTTCGTCTCCACTATGGAGGGTAGAGGTAAAGCTACTGGTTAAATTCAAGAAAAGTATACACTTTTAAAACTAAATCTTAAATAACTTAAAAACGATTTATTTTAGGTATGTATAATCACAAAGTAGCGAATTGAAAAACCTTTTCACTAGTGAAATAAAAAAGTAGATTTCCTTAAAAAAAATATTTATAATTTTTTAATCGCTCAATTCCTTGACAGCTATGGTCAATATTATATGATATTCGAAACATTCAATTTTTGAATTAGATAGCCACATGTCTTCTCTGTATGTCACAGTGGCTGTGGTAATAACTAAATTTGACGTTTAGGCTATACAAATTTTTTTAACAGGCAGTTTTTTTTCCTAAAAAAATATTAATATTTTTTTCTCACAAACGGTTAATGTTAGGTATATAGAGTGTTTGATAACCAAATTCATAAAATTTTACAGATAATTCAAGTATGTAATAAAAAATAGGGGTACTCATTTAAAATAAGAAAGTTCTTGTCAACTTCTGGTATTTCCGGAAGTGCCGCCATACTGAACATATTTTTAATAAATATATATGGGGTGTCCCAGGCTGAGCGTGCATTAGAAGTTTCTAGAGAACTAAAATATCTAGATCGGAAATTTTTTGCACATCATTCTTTCACAACGAGATCTATTGATTAAAAATATTTTCAATATGGTGGCACTTCCGAAAATACCGGAAGTTGACAGCAACTTTCTTATTTTAAATGGGTGCCCCCATTTTTTATTACATACTTAAATTCTCTGTAAAATTTTATGAATTTTGCTATTAAACACTCTATACCTAGCATTAACCGTTTTTCAGAAAAAAATATTTAACATTTTTTGAGGAAAAAAACTGCATGTCAAAAATATGTACAGCCTAAAACGTCAAATTTAGTGATTATTACAGCCACTGTGCCATAAAGAGAAGACATGTGGCTATCTATATCAAAAATAAAATTGTTCGAATGTCATATAATAATGACAGCAGCTGTCATGGAATTGAGCGATTAAATAATGATCATAAGTCATTTTTTTTCAAATGGAAAACCCACTTTTTTATTTCACTAGTGAAAAGGTTTTTCAATTCGTTACTTTTTGACTGTACATGTTCCTATACCTAAAATAAATTGTTTTTAAGTTATTTAAGATTTAGTTTTAAAGCGTATATTTCTCTTGATTTTAACCAGTAGCCTACTATGACTTTAAACGTTAAGTGATGTAAAGCATTAGATCTGACCATGTCACATTGTGTCATTTGTTCAAAAAGCATGTTATCGATCATTATTTCCAAGCCAACTTTGCGCTGTTTTTTTTTCGATCATACGGTATTTTATTAATAAAAAAACGTTTTATTCTATTGTTACACTGAAGAACATCTCAAAATAATAAAATATTTTTAAAAATGTTCGAATTTGACAGTCAAATAAAAATAACTACTTACCCTGGAAGAGTACAGCTGAATAATTATTAATAAAAGCTCGCAACGCTGCAAAAACGTGTTTAAACAGACTTTCGCTCTGTCCTATTTGTATCATCGAGAGAAATATATCAAAGATTTTCTTCATTACTTCACTATCTCCACCTCCAGCCATCAGTTTCTTTTTAAATTGCATCGAGTAAAGACCAATGCAATCCAAAGCAATCAGACCTACTTCAGACGCCATATGTTGTTCCAGGATAGCTTGTTGTTTTTTATGAATTTCGTTATCTTTAAAGAGAAAAAAATACATAATAAAAACCAGTACAATTTTTAAAGTACCAAAATACCTGGGCGTCATTAAAGCTATTTAATAAAATAAAATTAACTAAGACAATTCTTCTTCTAATGGTGCGCCCAGACCTGACGAGCCGAGCGCGAGACAAGAGCAAGACAAGAGCGAGGCAAGAGCGAGACATTTTTTATCCATTTTTTGACGCAAGCCACGAGACAAACGAGTTAGATCATAGTGAAAGGAAGCCAAACACATATTAAATTGTAACTGAATATAACAAACGATGGCCAAATAATAACGCATACAGTAATACATTTTTGTATCATTAACATGGTATTTAGTTTGTCGTATTTTATTCATCGTCAGTTTTTTTTCTATTTGGCTGTTTTCCCCTTTATCCATTCATTTGTTTCGAGACACGACGTTTTTTAACGTTTTTAGAACAAAATGTTAAATACAGAAGTTATTGGGAAGGTTAAGAAGCACATTTTAACATTACTGTAGAGTATACAGGTCAAAAAAGTGTTGCGGATATCACATATACCGGGTGCGTCTCAAAAGTGGCTCACCCCTATAACTTTTTATTTTTTCAGTTAAAAAAAAGAGATTTGGTATGTTAGTATATGACATAAATTAGGATTGATTGACGTATTCAGTTGTTTTCGGTCACTTCCTGTTTCACCGGAAATTACTACAACTTTTGATTTTTAAATGGCACCCTCGGTATTTTTTTACTTTATTTGATAGAAAATAACAATCTGAATAGAATGACATATCATATGTTAACTTTTGACATTTTCGCATATGGTTTATTTGAAATTATAACTTGCTGTTCGTAACGAAAATTTGACTCGAAATACCAAGTGTGTGGTATCAAATTATTCGTAAAAAAATGCTTTTTCCAAATAAGCTAATGAGCCACCCACGTTCCATTTGAAAAAATTGAGATATGATTAAAAATACGATATGAGCATTTTTTAACTGGCCAGGGTAAGACACTAAAAACATTAGACGATCAAATCTATTTTTCCAAGACCCCTTGATTAAGAATTAGTGTTTTTAACATAGCCATGGCACTCGATTGAATTTTAAAATACGATTTTTTATTAAACGAGAACGTCAAAAGTTGACATATGATATGTCATTATATTCAGAATGTCATTTTCTATCGAATAAAGTAAAAAAATACCGAGGTTGCTATTTAAAAATCAAAAGTTGTAGGCATTTCCGGTGAAATAGGAAGTGACCAAAAACAATTGAATACGTCAATCAGTCCTAATTTATGTCATATACTAATATACCAAATCTCGTTTTTTTATCTGAAAAAATAAAAAAGTTATAGGGGTTGGGCCACTTTTGAGACGCACCCGGTATTTTCTAATGGGAATAATTTTTTACTTTATTATTAGATTCTAAGTACAATTCGGTAACTTTTTTTGCATATGATATTATATATCTAAAATGAATAGATTTAGTAATAATTCAATTTGTTTAAAGAAATGTTAGATTTCGGTACGGTAAAAATTATCAGTGACGCAAAATTTGTAGATTCTAGCAGATAAAATTATAATACATACGGCGTACCATTTAAAAATTTGAGATTACTTAATTTTAAATAGTCAAAATTCATAAATCAGAGCTAAAATCTCGCAGTCGAGCGAGCCTACCAAAGACAAGTCCAGACTTAGTTGCGAGCTTTCTTTGATCTCGGCCGTCGAAAAACCGACAGGGGACGGGTAGCAACGAGGCTCCGTGGGCTGTCTCGCGAGGCGTTCGCGAGGCTCTCGCGAATTTGGAATGTCTCGCGCTCGGCTCCTCAGGTCTGGACGCACCATAAGTGAAACTTCTTTACGCGCGCTGGGAGTAAAAATTCAAGGCCATGTCACACAAGCGCGAGACGAAAAGTGGTAAGATACATTCAGGCTTAAAGAGTCGAGCGTCGCGTCGCGTTTGTGTCGCAGTTTTTTAAAATATATCAAAATAAAATTAACCGGCCACTTACCCAAAACACATTAATCCATATTTTGCCTAAAAACATTCATGGCGATTCCAACCGCCAACACTAAGCCACATACGGAAGAAACAACCAAGTGTTGGCGGTTGGAATCGCCATGAATGTTTTTAGGCAAAATATGGATTAATGTGTTTTGGGTAAGTGGCCAGTTAATTTTATTTTGATATTTTTTAAAAAACTGCTTCTCCTATAGTGCCTGAAGAAGCGACAATAAAGTCGCGAAACGTCGCAAAAACATTGTTTCCTTTCGAGCCTTCCCAAACACCCACGATTTTTTTCGTTCTGCGTACTAAATATTCTAATAATTTCGTGTAAAGTCTAGCAAAATTCTAGTAATATTTTCTAGTTTTTTAGAAAATCTCTAGTAAAAATCTATTAAAAAAATGCAAGACTTGTGAGAGTCTTGCAGCAAGACCAGTACTAAGACCAAGACTGGACCCTGGTGCAAGATCAAGACCAGTTTAGTTTGAATACCAAGACCAAAACTACTTATTAGCGGAAAAACCAAGACCAAGGGAGTCCTGGTCTTGGTTTAGCATTTGCTCATCACTATAGTGAAAATTATTAATATATTTTCAAATATCGTGTCGTCTCTATCTGGAAGTTATGGTAACGAAATGAAATAAAATATGAATACTGTTTAATATTCATTCAGTGTTTTACTGTTTTTTGTTTTCCTATTTTTATGTGTAAAGTTGCCTTTGGTTATTGTACGTGTTGGACGACCTTAAAAGTCTGTCTGTCAAGAAAAAGACGAAAGAAGATGGCGGAACAATAAAGTTGTCAGTAATACGTCCGCTGTTTTCATACAAGTTTTTAATTGCAATAGTAATACCTCTGAGTAATACCCTTGTATATGAATTTTTAAAGTAGCTCAACCTAAGACGTTTATGGATGTAAAGCACCAGATGGCGGGGCGTATTTCACAGTCTTTTACTAGAGAAAAATATTTTTTGTTACTCTGAATTTTGAAGCGGCCAATAAAAACAGAGAAAATAAAAATCGATAATTTTCGGACTGTGCCAATTGGTTACTAATCGACCAGATACTTTTTGTCTATTAGATATGCTATAAAAGCTGGTAATTATACAATTCGACCATTGTAAATACCCGACAAATTCCGCAAGGCCGACGAGGTCGATGTTTTTCACTGATAAGAAAAAAAAATGTTTGTTTAGATAATTTTCGAGATATTTTTTCTTTCTGAATGCACATTTTAAAGTATTTTATATTCTTTGTCCGCTTGATCTATTATACTGGTCGCACGTATCGAAGTTTTATTTCTTGTAGTTTTAAAATATTTTCTTGTTTCTTTGTAGTTGTAATGTAAAATTAGATTAATTTATTAAGTTTGATTATAATGTTTAGTGTAGACTACCAGAAGAAATTTAGTAGTGTTTTTATATTTTATTTTGAAGTTAAGTAGTAGGTGAAGGGGTAATTTGGTTAATTTTTCTTTATGTTTGATTAATTAATAAGTTTGATAATTTGTTTAGTGTAGAATACAAGAAGTAGTTTGTGTAGTGTTCTTGTAAGAGATTATATTCATTTATTTTGTAGTTGAGTAGAAGGTGAAGGTATTTGGGTATTTTTTTCTTTTTGTTTTTCTTCTAATAATTATTGTAGTAGTTCTTTTAAATATTGTGATAGATACATTATAATCTTCCTTCTACTTTTCTGGTAGTTGAATATACGAAAAAAATCTGATCAAATTTATTTTAAATGAAATTAATCTAGTCTTATTAATTAATCAAATTAAACTAGTCAAATAATATTAATTGCAATCAATTATTAAAAAATATTAATTATTTTGGAAAATAACTTTTGAAATGGAGTATTATTGATAAAATTTAGCCAATTTTTTTTACCCAGTAGCGTATTTCAATATGATCTTATCATTTATCACTGTATAATAACTTTGTTGTGGCAGAAAAATATACCAGTTAGTTTCAAAATATTATTTTTTTTTCAAACGTCACAAAAGTATTAATTTTTGCGACGTGATTGACAATATAAAAAAGTCATTTTAACGCCTAGGCATAAAAGTAAAGCACTTTACGCCTAAGCATAAAAGTATGAAAATATATTATTAAAATGACATAAGTCTCAAATTCAACGAGCCGTAACCATAGTTTCTCGATATATAATTACTCATGGTACAAAGAAAACTTGAAAACAAGGTATGGTCGATAGCGTCTCCAATTTCGTTCAGTTTGCGCATATCGCCTGTGACGTCATATGCCATACAACAAAATATCCGTATTGTTCAATTGCCACTAATAAAAAAAGACCTAAAATAGTGAAGAATTAAATAACCCCTAAAGTTATGTAAAATCATCGAGCTGGACATTTGAAAAGTTATGACACATTATACACATTTATTATGAGTCATCTGTTTGAAAATTTGAAATTGGCGCGTGGAGCTTGTCGACCAATATTGCCGTTTATCACCTGTGACGTGGTGACCAACCTGCGCAATATCATACCTTGTTTTTTTTGTATCATGATAATTACTTACAAGGTATGAGTTTTAAATATTTTTATATTATTTGGAATGTTTGAAATTGTTTAAAACATTATTTGTGGCGTTTGAAAAAAATAGCATGTTCTATTCGGAGTAAAAATGACTTTTATGCTTCGGCTGTATGTCAAACCTACAGTCTCGCCACGAAAAGTGTCATTTTTACTCCTAATAAAACAATATACTAGAAAGTTTTATGGTTTAACGTGCTTTGTGAGTTAAAACATAATGATATTTTCAGTTTTTATAATTCTTGATCGAAAATAAACCGCGTCAGCGATGGCTATGAAATGAAGATCGCTGTCATTTTATATGTAAATTTATGTGGGAAATGTCGTCGACCGTCGGAAATGTCGTCGATCGTCATTTCCCTGCCAACTGGGCGCCGTTTTTTTTTTCAAATGGTACAAAGTTAAAGCAAACTTTACTCTGACCATGTTTTACGCTAAGAAAGATTTATTTCGTGTAATAAAGATTTAAATGGTGTATTAAGTACATAATATTTATTTAAATGTCAAATAATATTATTGAAACAAGTGCCAAGTTTTATTTTTAATTAAGAAAAAAAAATAATCAAGAATGTATAAACGTTTTGTTTTCAAAAAAAAAATTATCTTAAATTCGTAAAACCTCAATTTAGAATAAAATGATCGAAGAATGAAATAAAATTAATAGCCCTGGGTCAAATCGAAATAAAGTGTCTGTAACGTTTTTTAAATATTAATAATTACCAGTAATTAGCATTAATGTACCAACATATTCAAAATTGTTATTTCTTTGTTAAATACGGTTTAGAATCCTTAAAATAACAGCAAAAATAATCGAAAATCAACAATGAAATAATAGTTTTATTTAAATTTCTTAATCAGCTGAGCCCTATTATAGTTCGCAAAAATCCGAGCTATATTATTACATTACTCTGAGGGAAATACCGCAAATAATCGATATTTTTGACTCCGCCCCTAATCACATGCTTCATTCCTTTAAAGCTTTACGATTTGTTCACCAGAGGCAGCACATTTTGTCGAGAGGTTGACCAACTTTAAGAATATATAAACAAGGGTAATACTATCAACAAAGAAAAAGTTCAATCTTCAACAAATACAATAAAGTAAAATTAAATAAAATAATAAGAGTTAGAAAAAAGAAAAAAGTTATGGTTATGTTTACGCGTACGTGTCGAAATGGAATCAATTCACTTAACTTAAATTAGACCGTTCAGGCAGACAGCGTCGCGTTTGGCGTTGCGTTGGCGTCCGCTGAGCGTCGGGGTCAAGTTCAATGGGGCGGACGCGACAGTAATTGTATAGTAATTATTAGCGATGGGAACTATCGAATGGTTTCATTCGAATAAAATCATTCATTCATTTGTATACTAAAGCATATGTGACAACTTCGCCGTGCGACTAAATGGTTATCGTTAAGCCACCACTATCGAATGCTTTTGATAAATGAAATTTAGTATTCGTTTGATTTTTGTGTGCGTCAGTGCATTATTAGTTCTTCCAAATTTTTATAACTTGCCTTCTAAATACTGTGCTATTTTGGCGTTTATTAAAATATTTAAAATACTAAAGTAGTAGTGTTTTTTTTTTAAATTGACGATTGTGTGCGTGTGCAGGTGGTCAAAATTTTACCGAAAATTTGTGTGGTTTTCCGATCTTTCAATTATTTAATTTTATGCGGTATATGGTCTATTTTTTTAATGGGAAATTTTGAGAAGTAACAATTTTTAAGAGAGGTGAACTTCAATTAATTTTAAAAATACGTATGTATTTGTATTTTAGATGTTTCAGTAATATGAATTAGTTGAACTTAATAATCATATTTAAGTAATGTGGTAATGTGGTTATCGAAGTCAAATTTTGGGATGAGAAAATTAAATTGATTGATTAAAGTTTTACACGTGCCAATTTAAAAAAAAGTTAACGATATTTGTATTTTGTTTATGCTAATTCTCTTACATGTAGATTTTTGCGAAGAAATATTTCATTTATTTTTTAAAGTAAATGCCAGTAAAAGCAAATATTATTTTTAAATACTAATACAAAGTAATAAAAAGTAATACACATATATAATTTTGATTTCTCATTTTTCATTTATATTTTTCTTCTATTACACTGCATGCTTAGAAAATTAATAAATGTTTATATTTCATGATTTTAAAATTTGTTGTTAATATAACAAATTAGTTCTGTAATTATTATTATTTAATAAACCAACGTTGCCAAAAAATTTAGAGACTATATTATTTTTAAATAGGATCTAATATAAATAATTTTGACTTCTAATTTGTTGTTTATATTTTGCTACTACTTAAAAAAATGTTTATATTAAATGATTTTAAATTTTGGTGTTAATAGGTATAACAAATTATTACTGTTGTTATTATTTATTAAACCAGTTTTGCTTAAAAACATTAAAAATAATTTGCCCACATCCAAAATAAAAAATATTATTGAAGTGTAACAACAGAATATTAATAAAAAAAATGCAAAATATATAGTCATACTATCCCTAACTAACTATAATACCAAAGAATAATATTCTTTGCTAATACCAACTAATACGAATATACGGCAACAGCGCCGTTCATAATGTATTTTCTGTGTAAATACTAGCACCTTAATAAAAAAAAATAATGTGTCCTTATCTTTATCTGACTCAAAATCAAAGATGCCGGCTTTTTTGATACCATTGCCACCGACCGCCGCCGACCGCTTTCGGGTCTCTAGGAAAGTTTCTACGTCGCCGGGCGACAACTAAAATCCAGTTTATATTTTATTATAATCGATCCTGACGAATAAATGAATTTTACAAATGAATGAATTTTATAAATGAATGGTTTTTGCTGCCGAATTAATATATTTCAAGGCAGATGACGCATCTATTCGATATTTTTATTCGAATAGTTTTCGACGAATGTTTTCTTACTAGCTATCGAATTATTCGAATGAATTGCAACTGAGTCTATCGAATGTTTCGATAGTATTCATTCGATAGTTCCCACTACTAGTAATTATTAAATGTTTAGCAATTTGACACAAGGTACCTTATTAACAACAAAAATGTATTCTCTCTTACCTCCGCTAGCTAAATTTTCCCTAGTCGTATGTATAACAAGCGTACTGGTATTCTCGTGATTAATCTCCGATGGATTCATTCTAGCCGGCAGCGTATGAGCCTTCTTAGACTTCGTTTTGATATTTTCAGTCTCTTGTACCTTTACCACAGTGATATTTCTTTTTCCCACGTATTTGAAGAAATGCAGGCACACTTCCAAAATGCTGAAAAAGCTCACCACGTCTGACTCTGGAAATGACTGCCACCACAGTATTAGCTGTTCGTCGTTCAAGTATTTGACGACAAACAAAAATATGAGGAGGACGTCCTTAACTTCTTGAGGTTGTAGTTTGTCGTATCTTGTCATGTGACTAGAGATGCTACGATCGTGGGATTTAAAATGGTCTCCATTTGTGTTTTTTAGTACGTCTTCTCGAATAATTGTTGTATCCTGAGATATCGTAGATTTGTCGTCGCCTGAGAGTGCGGATATGTCGGAGTCGATGCTTAGAGAATTTCCATTTACTAAAGCTGTAAAAAAATGTAAATTCAAAAAATGTGTCTAAAATGTTTAAAAATTTGTTATATTAACTAATAAAAACTCCTATTATAGTCTGTGAAACGAATAACTTTGATTTTGACAGTTCTCGCGGGCTTTTCTAGTGTAAATTTTATTAGGTTAGCAACTTGCGGCCATGCTGATGCAATGCCGTCTCTAATAGAACAGCCTCGGAGCGAAATTTATGACGTCACGCTAGTTAGATAATACGGATTAATTATGTTGTAGAATACATGGAAAACATAATTATTCCTCGTATATGTAATTTTTTGGATTATATTCGACACTATTTTTTTCATATGACACAACACTGATGAAGGTTAGTTATAAATTAATAGTTAATAGAAGGTTAGTTATAAATTAATAGTTAAACGTTAGTTATAACGTTTTTTTAAACCAAAAAAAAATAATGAAAAATAGATCGATTTTCAAACACCAAAATTTAAAATATATTAATTTACCCATTATCTTATGTACCTATTTATTATTTGTATATTGTAAAACATTTGCTGGATTTTTATGGTCCATAGTTTATTAGCCAAAGTATTTATTACTATAAATAGGTATATTGTATTTATTAACTGTATACTATGTATATTTCATGTAAACTATATCATTTTTAAAGTACAAACCAAAAATACGAGGAATAATTATGTTTTCCATGTATTCTACAACATATTTTTATTAATCCGTGGTATCTAACTAGCGTGACGTCATAAATCTCGCTCCAAGGCTGTTCTATTAGAGACGGCATTGGTCTGATATTTAGAAATGCCAAAGGCTGATGACATTTTACTTTTGCCAGTTATGACATTTCGCGTTGATTTTGCAAGAAGAGGAAGAACTGTCACTTGTTTTATTATTTTCCTTTTCTATTTCACGAAAGTAAAAAGAGTTACCTATCTGATTCGTTCAGGCACTCATTTTAAAGAATATCAGTAACTTTTTGGACAGAGGGATTTTATATTTGCCATGTTGGTAAAAAATAACGGTCAAAATTCAAAGTTATTCATTTTGTAGACTATACGTGCTGGTTTTTAATATACAGGGTGGTCCGAACTGTATTCCGGAAACTTCGGCAGCATATTCTACAGATAAAAATAAGTAAAAAACCTCGTATAAATGTATGTCCTAAAATGCTTAGTTTCGGAGATAGCGATAGAGGGTGTAGAAGTTTCATATTTATTTCGATTTTTTCCAAATAATTTCTGAAATAACGTCAATATTTAGATAAAAATTGGTGTGTGGGAGTTTTTGACATGAAAAATTTGATTTTGATATCAATATGACTCCTACTTGTAGAGGGCGCCACCTACATGTGTTTTAACTGTTTTAAAGAGTAATAACTTTTCGTCCGTACCTGTATAAAACTACTGAGTGAAAGAATATATATTTCCGTGATTTTTTACGTAAAAAATGTCTCTTGGTAAAAACCTCTACGAACAACCGTTCTCAAGAGATTTAGAATGGAAATAGTCAATACATGTCATTAGATAAACATGTTGAGTAGATAGTTGTTTGACTGAAATGATTAATTTGAGAATTTTTTATTTTTTTAAATTAATCATAAAATTTTCTTGGGTAAAAAATGATAAAAAGCATAAAAAACAGTTTTTGTTGAACTTTTGGCACAAAAACATTTCAAATTTATGATTTCAGTCTAATAACTATTTAGTCAACGCATGTTTAATTTATGCCAATGATGAGAGGTAATGATAATTTCGATTCCAAATATCTCGAAAACCATTACTCGAAGCGATTTTTACCAAGTAACCTTTTTTACGTGAAAAACGTAGCGAATGTATATTTTTTAACTAAATAGTTTTATACAGGTACGGACGAAAAGTTATTACTCTTCAAAACGGCTAAAACACGTGTAGGTAGCGCCCTCTACAAGTAGGAGTCAAATTGACATCAAAATCAATTTTCTCATGTCAAAAAACTTCCGGACACCGTTATTTCAGAAATTATTTGGGAAAAAAATCGAAATAAAAATGAAACTTCTACACCCTGTATCTCCGAAACTAATCATTTTAGGACATCATTTATAGGAACTTTTTTACATATTTTTATTTGCAGAATATGCTGCCGAAGTTCCTGGAATACAGTTCGGACCACGGTGCTTCAAAAGGCATGTGCCATCTTCCGTGGGAAAATTCCTCACGTAAAAATAAGATTTATTTTTCATATCAATATAGGTCCGATTCAGCTTTTCTTCGTAGCTACAGGGGTAGTAAATAAACAAACGTTACATAGTTCCAAAAATGTGTTCTTTCGCCATCATTTTAGTTATTCCAAAAGCTGCATTTTTGCTTTATATGAGTTTTACGATAAAACGCAAGGCTGTCGAGTTATTTATAAAAAATGGCAGAAAAATATGCAGTTCTTAGATGAAAAATCAACATTTTCAATCCTAAATAACTCGGAAAATATTAATTTTCTGCAAAAATATTATAGAGCATTTTTTGCTTAGAATTCATCCCTTTATTGATTGTTGTAATTAAAATGGGTGATTTATTTTTCACCCCCAAGGTGAGAGCACACATCGCTACTATGTAACTTTTGTTTCTTACATACAGGTTGTTAATTTGTTTATTACTCGCGGCAAGAGCTTTATGATTAAAATATGGCAACCTCGGTCCGCTCGTCGAGAGACGACGCGACGGGACGAGTCGGCAGCTTAGCTTAGTACTCATTTGGAATGTAGGCAGTGTTGCCACTCTGTTCCCCAATAAGTAACCGTCCAGTTAACAATCTGTATGTCTCTATTCACTGTTAAAATTTCACGTCAATCGGTGCGGGTGTCAAGAATACGGAGGTAATACCCTATTTTTATCCTCGCTTACCGGCCTATGACTTTTTTCTCTTGTTAGCACAGTTATACCGATTAAAACTCTACGGAACTCAGTTTTCACCTTTTCGATAAATTATAGGATAACCGAGATAAGAGGGAGTCGAAAAATGCAAAATATTCAAATTCGCCCTGTAGTTCAGAAACTAAGAGGGTTAGGACAAATATGTGCGTAGCAACTTTAGTTTCATAAAAAGTAATCAAAGTGATGTGAAAACTGCATCCTTGTAATTCTACTAATAAACGAGAAACCCCATAAAACACACGAAACTAGGACACCCTGTAACATGCATTAACAACTTTGAATAAGAAGACTAAGGAAGGAGCATATCAAAAATCTTAGGTTCACCGCGATGGGACTCAAATATGGCCGACTTAAATTCCGGTTTATCAGTGCCGTTCTAATTTTATTTAAAAAATGTAAAACTATGATGTAGAGTAGACGTGGGGTAGACTCAATATTTTTTTTTATTTTACGTTGTGAATAAATGTTGTAAAATTGTTATAAAATATTATTATAATAAAAATAGATAAGTTTTAATAATTATTTATTAACACAAACATCCGATACGCTACTTACTGAAGCAGATAAGTCAAATTGACGTATCTAAATTCTTTGACATCTAATCTTTGACAAGTAGTAAATAAAAGTAAAAATGCAAGAAAAAATATATAATTAGTTAATTTAAGTGAGTTTCATAAATGATCGGTTTACTACACGTATATATATTATATAGTCACTTACTAGCGAAAAGTTGTTCCATTATTTCACTCGATTTTTGCCGAGATCTACCGCACGCTACACAACCAACTACTTTAGAGCCTTTTTCGATAAATCGCGATAGCGTCACTGTTAATTTAAGTTCTGCCACAATTTCCATCTAGATTTACTACCTTTATACAACTATCAGTAGTAGAATAAATAATAAATAACATAAAATAAGCTCCGTAATTTCCGCAAAATTCTCCGCAAAATTAATAGATGTCGTTAAAAGAGTGGCAAGTCTGAAGTGGCAATGGATAGGACATGTGGCAAGACAGGATCCAGACCGATGGCCCCAAAAAGTAATCCTATGGAGACCTAGGGGAACATCAAGAAGTGTGGGCCGACCAAAAAAGAGATGGGTCGATGACGTCAGGGCAGTGGCGGGAAGACAATGGATAATATTGGCTAGAGATCGCGAAGCATGGAAAAACCTAGAAGAGGCCTATATCCAACACTGGATGGAACCAGGCTGAGAAAGAAGAAGCTCCGTAAAGACTGACAGATCCACAAAATTTCAAATCAAATTCAAATGTATCAAATGAATCGTCATACAGAACTGTCAAGGATCCCCACCCTAGAGTCCTTTTTCCGCCGACCATGCACGAATACATGGATAGCATTATGCTCCTTCCTTAGTCTTCTTATTCAAAAATCTACAATAATAAAACTTTATACTTACACTGGCCCGCAATAGCATCAAGAAACGCAGAATTTCTTATGTGCATCGGGCTATCCTTATCCAAATGCAGGGTGAACCTATGACTCCGCGGCGTACACTCGCTAGCCGAACTTTTCCCGAACAAATACGAACTGCTCGACGACATCCTGTTGATCACACTGTCCCCGCCCCCTTCCTCTGGCTGTTCTTCCACAGCCAGCCTGTTAATATTCTCTATCGCTATCACTAACCAAGGCAGGTAAATCAGCGCTATCCTGCCCATCTGACCCTTGTTCTGAAACCGATCGTCTAGCTCGTGTTTGGCGATGAGGTTCCTGAGACAACCTAGTGCTATCCTTCTGACGTAGGTAACCTCGTTGAGCGACGTCTTGATTTCCTGCAACAGTAAAGCTACGAGAAAGTGGTGTTTACAGAAATCTTCCGATAGTGTTAGTTCGTCCATAGGATCCGGAGAACGATTTCTGGGACTCAGTTTGGATTGCTGAATGGGAAGGTTGAATGATACGAAATGTTCGTGATTACATATGACTTCCAAAAAGGAAAATTTGTGTTCTTGTAAGACTCGGGGGTCGCCGGGATGGAATTTGTCCATGTAGTACTTGATTAGTTTAAAAACGAATCCTCTATCTATTAAAGACATACACCTCTAAAACAACGAGAAACACATAAAGGGGATGAACGGGAATGGTTTAAACGGTGTAAACTTACCTTAAAAAAATTGGCTAGGTTTTTGTTCAGTTCTTTAGTTTCTAGGATCATATCTTTATATTTGTTTAAAATATACGATATGAGAATTTGACTAAGGTTCTCTAATTGACCACAATAGTCGGCGGAAAATCTTTCGTGTCTATGCATCTAAAAAACAATTTACCTAACTTAGTTCATCAATATATGGTATACAGGGTCCGGCAATAGTGCGTCGGGCATCTGTAGCTCCTAGAATAAAAAATTTGGTAATTTTGTTCAAGTGCAAATCTAAAGTATGTTCTAGGATGTATTTCAGGAAAATATTTTAACTTCTATAGGGTGGCTCAAAAAGTGTGAGTGGATCGGAATGATTTTTTTAAATGGAACACCCTGTATATTATTGCATTTTTGGCTTCTTTTTAGATCACTTTACATAATCCTAAGATATGAGTAAATATATTTCGCTAGGTTCAGAGGTATTAATAAATAAATAAAAAATATACATTTTTCAGGCTTTCTGAAAAAAAAAATATTAAAAGTACAGGAACTGTCCTGAAATCAAAACTATATTAAGTATTTGATTTAGAAGGTCTGTACTTACTTTGCTGTAAATATGTTAATCGTAAATCATACAGGATGTTCAACATTTTATGCCAAACCTTCTAAAATATAAAATAATTTTTCTTCGTTTTTTTTAAATGGAACACCCTATACATTATTTTTTCAATAGATGGAGAATTAAAAAATGAACATTTTTTGTATTTATAGTATTTCAAAATTTTTAACCGTTTGGCAGATATTCGTTATTTTATATTTTGTTTTTTACCATTGAGAGAACCATATAAAATAATACTGCGTGTATCTGCGAAACCGTTAAAAGTTTTGAAATACTTTAAATATAAAAAATGTTAATTTTTTAATTCTCCATCTAATAAAAAATAATATACAGGGTGTTCCGTTAAAAAAAAAAAACAAAGAAATATAAGTTTATATTTTAGAAAGTTTGGCGTAGAATTTTGAACATCCTGTATGATTTAAGATTACGATATTTACAGCAAAGTAAGTATAGACCATCTAAATTAAATATCTAGTATAGTTCTGATTTCAGGACAGTTCTGGTATTTGTAATATTTTTTTAATGAAGGTTGAAAAATATATTTTTTTATTTATTTATTAATAGCTCTGAAACTATCAAAATATATTTATTCATATCTTAAGATTATGTAAAGTCAAAATGCAATAACATACAGGGTTTTTAAAAAAAATCATCTTGATCTTTTTCACTGAAACTTTTTTCAGCCACCCTGTAGAAGTTAAAATATTTTCCAGAAATACATCCTAGTACATACTTGTAGAATGTAGAATGTTTAAGAGGGGAGTTAGTCACCGCGACCTTAAAGATCTATTGTGTGTTCCCCTTTCTTGAGCTATAACCAGTTATAACTCATCATACAGTCTCAAGGCTTTAACAAAAGCCAGTATCTGAGACGGCTCCATAGAGGCCAGCTCTCCATCCTTGACATCAGCCGTACCAAAGTTCATGGCACGAATGGTCGTCGTCTCGGCGCACTCAGTGATGAGGTGTTCTAGTACATACTTTAGATTTCCACTTAAACAAAATTCCTAAACTTTTTATTCTCGGAGCTACAGATGCCCGACGCACTATTGCCGGACTCTGTATAACTAATAAATACACAGGCTTTCTCAACTAAGAAGACTCAATTCATCTTTTGCTCAAAAAGAAAAAGAGTTCTTATTTTCTTTAAAAACAAAATTAACTAAAAAATATAACAAAAAATTATTGGACTATAATAATTTACAAAAGATTCAAAAAAGGCGTTAAAGTAGCCTCTGAAATGACAATCGTTGATAATTTCTATCAAGACCGACCTCTATACGTCATTTGATATGCCATAAGTCAAAATTTTCAAAAAGTAATACATTATTTAATTTAGAAAAATAAACATCCAGCATGAAATAAAGGGTGGCGCCTCCCATAGACGCGGAGGCTCCAAGGAGAACGGTAGTTTATATTGAAATGAAATTTTGGCAGTATATGTAGGTTAATCGAAAGCATTTTATAAAAATATATGGAGTTATACAGGGTGTCCACAAAAAAAGTTACACATCAAAATTGTGTTTTTTGTAATGGAACACACTATACATGGTGTCCCAGAAATGAGTGCAGATATTTTAAGGGGTGGTAGATCTGGTCAAAAGAAACATATTTTCTCTTTACCATTTTACCATCCCGGTAAACGAATTTCCAGGGGAGTGAACAGTGGCACTCAAAAGTTTTTCAACATTTTCCGGAAAATGTCAAAAAAAATATAAAATTTTCAACATTTTTTTCGCAAAAAAAACCTCATAGGCGTGTTTCTGGGGTTGAACTATACTACCAGTTAAATATTTGCACTCATTTCTGGGACACCCTGTATATTAATTGATTATCGGATTCTACGGGAAAAATAAAGGTGAGTTTTATTAAGTACATGACTAAAATATAAGGTTTTTGACATATTTAACATTTTCTATACATTACAATAACGATTATAGTTTAAATCAAATTAAAATTTGGCCCAAAAAGTTATACAGGGTGAGACAAAATTATTATTGAACATTGGTTACCTTTAAAAGCAAATTACACTTTTATTTTAAATGAAACACCCGGTATTTTTATTATCCAGTTTCTTCCAAATACTATTAAGGTTGCCTACTCCTCAAACAAAGAATTTTCCTAGATATTTTCATTTTTTACAAAACTCGATCAACTATTGTCGACAACATGAGAGAAATGATTGTGACTGCTTTTCGAAGCAGAACTACACGTATTATGCCTTTTAACATGAAAATATTTTTTTAAAAGAAAATCATCATTTTAAACAGTAAACAGGCAACCAATTTTTTAGATATAGTTTAAACATTTACAATCAAGCTACTTACTTTTATTCTTCCCGTCGCCAGAAGATGCTGCGTCATACTCTTCGTCATAATTTCAAAGAAAAAATCCGAATGATGCAGGAACTTGTTCACAACCAAAAAATCCGGATTGTTCGGATCCAATATTGACGGCAGATGCCTCGCCATCTCCTCATGCACAGTGGTGCTCTTCTTAGTATCCGGCGAGACAAAATTGTACTTTACATAGACGCTTAAAATATCCTTCCTGTTCGCCTCGCAAAGCATATTGACCAGATTAATCATCACTCTTATGATATTAATACCTATTTCTTCGCTATTCGTCGCTACTAGCAGTACGAATAACTGATTGAAGAGGGTCGGTAGGAAGGTTATCAACGTGGTCAGATGGATGGCGTGCAGGGCTTTTAGAATTTTGCAGGTTTCCGACTCGGATGGAACGGCAGTGGGTTTGGGATCGAGAAGTCGTTCGGCGTGTAGGAATAAATTAAAAAGATGCTGGTCCTTCGTGTTTACGGTTGAGGCCAAGCTGAAGCCTACGGTGAAAATCGGTTTTTGGGCGTCGACCCAGTTTATTTCAGGTCCAGCGTTCTGAAATAAAACAAATATTTTTTAGTATTCTCCTATACTAGTGATGGGTTCTTATTTAACTATCTATTATTTTACAACAGTTATTTGGAAATAACATAACGCAACCGTTGCTACTTCTAAAAAATAACAGATATAAAATAACGACACGTAGAGATCGACCGCTCGTGAAACGAAGTCGGCGCTCTGCATCGCCACGAAATCCTATGCAGCTCGAAGCAATTCTAGAAAAACAACTAGTACGAAAAATCTGTTATTTCGCCAACCATCGATAACGGGCGACGCGCCGACAGTCCAGATACAACGGAGTGGGGAATGCGCCACGGCGAATGTTGCTGCCTCGGTCGATGGGCTTGCAACAGCTTAAAAATAACGGTATATAAAATAAGCAGCTTTTTTAAAACAGTTGCAACTGTTGCGGGCATAACGTCTGGCGTCGAAATAACCGGAGTGGGAAAGTAACACTGCTGCATCGGTCGATTGTCGATGCTGGGCTCGCAACAGGTTGGAGAATAACGTATAGAAAATAAGAAGTTGTTTTAGATACATTGAATTTTAACCTGTTACGAGCATAACGGGCGGCGGTCGAGATAAGTGGAGTTGGAAAATAATAGCTTTTTCGCCTGTGTGGGTCGATCGCGGTGTACGGTGGCGTTAGAATTCAATTATTTAATTATTATTTTAATACATATTTTTTGCGTAAAATAGTTTGAAAGTGGTATTATTTTGTCGGATTTCTGGGTATTTTTGGTATTAACAATGCATGGTAAATAAAAATAATTATTAATTATCACTGAATTAAAGAAAATTATCTTCATTAAGCTTGTGTTATTAGAATCGTTTTGAGCAAGTTTATTTTACTATTTGGTTTCTGCAAATTTATTTTTATACCGGGTGCGTCTCAAAGTGGCTCATCCCTATAACTTTTTTATTTTTTCAGATAAAAAACGAGATTTCGTATGTTAGGGTACGAACATAGTGGAGGCAGGTTTCTGCTTTCCGGCAACCAGCGCCGTCTCTGGGGACCTATTCTTGACCACATATCGCTCACATCTCGCATCTCCGAAAAAGCCATATAACAATACACGTGATGCGTAACTTTGCGTATATACCGTGTATTGTTATATGGCTTTTTCGGAGATGCGAGCAGGGTTCGGAAGTAGTTAATTAAGAGGAAATTTACCTGATTAACTAACCTAACCTAACCTAACCATATCCAAACGCCGCTCCCGCCGCGCCGGCGCCGCACATAGGGGTATTTGGTCTATAAACCTGGCCAAAAAGTGAAATATTTTTTTTTCATTTTTTATCTTAACTGAATACAAATCTATAAATACTAAATGTAAGCGCGTTTATTAGCTTTTTTAAGTCGTTAGTTGACTATCAAATAAATAATATATTTCAGTTAAAAGTATGAATTATCTTGAGTGTATTCTGAATATTTCTAAGATTATAAAAATAGTGGAATTGTTTGTAGTGCTTTTTTTGCAAATTGTTCATAATAACTGTCATGATGGATACAGAGCCAGCTTTGTTTGTTGGCTCTGTTCTGTTTTATGCCATATTTTTATTTTGAAACGTTTCCTTCTATTCTATTTTTTTATAATGTTTTATATTTAAAAAATCAGTGGCATTTTTATAAGGTGTAAGACTATTCGGCAATATTCCGCATGGAAATTAGTATCCGTTCAATGCTTAAAGTCTCCAGCATTGGAATATGCACAAAAATCTTGCCAATATTTGCCACTGCCAAAAAAAACATTGATTTAAATAGATTCTTAAAGGAAATAGTCTTTACCCTATTAACACCCATCCTCGCTCAAATATCGTCTATAATATACAAATTACTTTCTTGTTCTAGCATCCTCATCCAATTGCTTGGTTTTGCACAGAATGGCCCTATTTGATCGGTGGAAAGGGTTTCAGAGTAGAGGAAAAAATATTGTGTAGGAAAAACAAAATGGGGTTCCATATTAGCAACCTCTCCTCTAATTAATAATTAATATTACTAGCAAAAAAGCAAAAAAATCATAAAACATAATTTTGGCCAACTTTTAGTTCTTAATACCCCCTGTGCGCCGTCGGCGCGTGCAAAAGCAGAAATAAATAAATTTTCGTTCCGGTAAAAGCGAGAACGCCGATGAACGCTGGTTGACGGTGCCTGCCTGCTTTCACTGTGAACTAGCCGATTTGATAACACGCTTTAATTTTTCAAGGTTATAAGCGCGAGGCGGCGCGGCGCGGCGCTACTATGTAACCATATACAGGGTGTCCCAGAAATAAGTGCAAGTATTTTAACTTAACTGGTAGTATAGTTCAACCCCAGAAACACGCAAAACAAGGTTTTTTTCTAAATAATTTTTTTTTGAAAATTCGGAATTTTTTGAAAATATTTTTGTAATTTTTTTGCAATTTTTTTTAGTTTTTATTTAAAAAAAAATAATTTCTTGATAATATGGCAACATAGGTAGTAGATTAAATTTACAAGAAAGAAAATCCAGAAAAGATCCAGTGGTTCTCAAACAAATCTCGAAGTATTGGAAAGAATGTGTAAGGACCAAGAACTATTGACTACAATAAAACGACGGAAAGCAGCATGTTTTGGTCATATTTTTCGAAATAACAAATATAGTTTCCTACAGCTGATCGTTGAGGGAAAGATTGAAGGACGACGAGGCATCGGGCGTAAACGGTTTTCCTGGTTGCGGAATTTGCACCAGTGGTTTAATATAGGAGAGGCCAGTGCAATTATCCGTTTGGCTCAAGACAGGGAGGAATTCCAATTGATGGTCACCAACCTCCGATGAGGAGAAGGCACATGAAGAAGAAAAAAAAAATGTTCTCAAAATTTTAGTAAAAAATTTTTTTTTGGAAATTTTCAAAGTAAAATAACTCCATTATTTTGGACTTATTTGAAAAACGATAAAGAGAAAATATTTTTCTTTTATCGAGATCTACCACCCTTTAAAATACTTGCACTTATTTCTGGGATACCCTGTTTATAACAATACACGTGATGCGTATACGCAAAGTTGCGAACGATGTCAAGAATAGGTGCCCAGATTGGCGCTGACTACCAGTAAGCGGCAAACCTGCTTGCACTGTGTTCGCACACTTAGTATATGACATAAATTGGGATTGATTGACGTATTCAATTGTTTTTCTACAACTTTTGATTTTTAAATAGCACGCCCGGTATATTTTTACTTTATTCGATAGAAAATGATATTCTGAATAGAATGACGTATCATATGTCAACTTTTGACATTCTCGCTTAATAAAAAATTGTATTTTAAATTTCTATCTAGAGTGCCGTGGCTATGTTAAAAACACTAATTCTTAATCAAGGAGCCTTTCAGAAATCAGAAAATTTTGGTATGTATATTACACCGTCCCGGGCACAGTTCATGTTGATCGCATTACAATAATATCGAAATCGTGGTTTTGTCATAATATTTAAGTTTTTTTGTTTTTTGCTAGTGCAGTTATTGAAACTATAAAATACTCAGGTACGAGGTTTGTGTGATGTAACGCTGTTTCGGGTAGTAAAAAATAAGTGAAAAAGAATTCGAACTAGGCGTCGTGTTGTGTTGTGACAATTTCAAATGTTAGTAAAATTGCCAAAAAAATGTTAACGCGTAAAGGAGAGCGTAATTAGGGCGTTGTTTCTTTATTTAGATTAGGGATATTCAACTCTCCCGAAACATTTTATAGCTTCATAGTTTCTCACACCGATTTGATCAAAAGCAAAAATGGATTCAAGCAGTCCGATGAAACAAGTGGGTAAACAAAGTGCTTGTTACATAATCAAAAAATTAAATAGACATCTACTATGAGAGGATAAAATATAATTTGCAATATTAATGGTATACTTTTTTTAATCAACTAGTGATTAAATGTTTTATAACATCTTCTAAAATTAGTAGATACTATAATAAAAAATGTCTATATCTATGTGGCGGATTCATCTCTCCAAAAAATCCTATATGGGTATTTCGCCACTGCAAGAAAATCTACAAAATAAAATAGTTATTATTTGTAAACACGGCTGCGTTAATCCAAACGGAAACTATTTGTAAGCAGTTAGGTTTACAGATATACAAATTTGCCTAATAAATTAATTTTATTATATTATTATTTATTTATACAAATTTGCCTAATAAATAAATTTGCCTAATAAATTTATTTATTAGGCAAATTTGTATATCTGTAAACCTAACTGCTTACAAGTAGTTTCCGTTTGGATTAACGCAGCCGTGTTTACAAAAAACAACTATTTTATTTTGTAGATTTTCTTGCAGTGGCAAAATACCCATATAGGATTTTTGGAGAGATAGTATAATGTTAGACCTTCTGAGAAGTATAAAGTTAGACCTTCTGAAGATATCAAAATATTTAGTTTTTAATTTTTATTTTTAGAATTTTATTTCCTAACACTTTTAGAATAATTAAATAATAAATTTTTCGTACACTCGCTATTTAAACCTGTGTATTTGTATATACCTACTAGTTGTTTACGATATTTTCCGATGGTGGCAGCACCGGCGGAGAATGCAGCAAGCCTATAGTATTAACTAGATTTGTGTTGTTTTTTTGTATAACTAAACTCCATTAATCCACACAATACCCACCAAGAACGTAACAATACGAAAAAAAATTTTTTTCATGGTTCAAATTACACGAAAAAACGTAAAAAATAATTATCTACTTACCCCTTTCCCTAAACCAAAAGGTAATACTGCTAAGTATCCAGGTGGCAAATGTGACGCCACAGGAATGGTCTGAGTGTCCACGGTCAACTTGCCCTTTTGCAGCAAAGGCAGCCACGCGTACCCCACGCAACTTTCGATTCCGTTGTCTCGTTTCTTCGTTATATCACAGGATATGTGATAGAAAGTGAACAAAAGGTGATGGGAGTAGAGTATATTGGTTGGAAGACGGATTTTGATCTCCTCATACCAGGTGGGTATCGTGCTGTGATGGAGTACTGCGCAGGATATTTGCGGTACTAGAAGCGGTTGACCTGGACGACCATATATACACTGAAACATTGTATAAGACAAATGACCATATGTAAATAAAAAATTGCTATTTCACACTAACGTCACACGTCACGAAACGACGCTTTATATGAACTTTATTCTCAAAGCAATTGAGGGGTTTCTGGCAAAAAACCCATTAGTCAGATATTTCGAAATTTGGAAAAATTAAAAAAACGTATATCTTGCTCCCATTTAAATTTAAATTGTCGTTTTTTTTTGTGCGAGCTCTGGTTATAATCTGAAATTACAGAAAACTGGTTTCCTTTATTTTTTTCTTATTTTTAAGTTAGGAAGGGCGTGAATTTGTTTAACATGTCGGGTTTTTGCTGCAATTTTGGTTAAAATCGTGGGTTGTTTCCAAGTCCTCTTAGCAACTGTTCGAACGATTACGAACGACAAACAACCAAACCACAACAAGTAGCGGATTAGTGGAGTTTTTGCCGTTAAGAATTGTGACTTGTGGGGTTCTTGCAGAATTACGATATTTTTGATCGTATGCCAGGGGCTAACTTATAGCACTTTTTCCGAATTCGTTTGGTAGGAACGTTATGACTAACAAATTACTGTCGGATAGCGCCATTAACTCATTTTACCCATTTTTTGACTAATGGGGTTTTTGCCAGAAATTGGACCTCAATTGGACCAAAAAAGCTCAGCTATTAGCGTCAAAATATAAAAAAATAAACCCATTTTTTCAACAAATTTATTAGTTCTAAACAGTGTCGATATGACATTACGACAATAGTCACGAAACCCACCTCGCGATATTAAAAGATAACATCATAAAGTAATGATGGTTGAAAAAAATGCAAATTGTTGTTGGTAAGTTCATTTCGCTCTTAAAAATTAACCAAGGTATGTGTTGACATGAGTCAAAAAAGAAAATGCACAGGAGACATAGTTCTGATCGAAAAATAATGTTTTACTAAAAGTTACTCACGAAATTATTGCACAGGGTGTTTTAAAGTTAGAATAAAAAACAACTCTTCAATTAACCCTGTATAATAAGCCTAATACTAAAGTTTATAAAAAACTGAGTTTATGAATTAAATAGATACATAGATCCATATACAATACAATAGATAGATAGATTCATATACAGTTTGCTAAAAAAATCATGAAAATAGGACTAAAAGTAGTAAAAAAATATAACTCTTTAAACTTGACGAAAAAATTCTCCATTGCGTTTTTTATGCATCTGAGTGAATATTAATTTAATGTTTTGCATTCCAATTGTACCAACTATTTCTTTGTAAAATAAAATAAACCACTTTGAAGTTAAAATGACAGACACATCTACATTGGACAGACTATACTCTAGGAAAGATGGTTTTAACTCCAGAGATTGTACATTTGCTATTGTTATTTTAATTGGACGGTAGAAACAGAGAAGAACAATCGCAGAGAAGCGACAAAAACCGTCGGCACTATTGAAGTAGGGGGGACCAAGTTTTGTGACCTACAAATTGGCGTACATGAGAGTTAGCATGTTTATAGCTACACCGAGAGAAATTCAATGAAGACAAAAGAAATAAGAAAAGCTGTACACTAAAAAAAACATGTGTTCGGTAAAAAGTATATTAGAAATATTTAGGAATCATATTGAATAGTAACTATCTTTTGAGATTTAACGGGTTTCCGCGATTTGTGGATTTACCGCGTTCTAACCATTTTCTAATCTATTCCTTTTAGAGAGACATTTTCAAATCGTATCTGATAATATTGTTTGCTTCGAAATTAATATTTGAAAGTGTGTTTTTAAGTAAAACAATTTTAAGAAAAATTCGAATATTTATCAGCTGTTATCACAAGCGTTAAAACAAACCAAAAAGTAAATAACATGATTACAGTTGAGGGTTGGAACTGGGGTATTACAACAGCAAAATAAAGCACTAATTGACCACAATACACCAAAACACTTTACTTCTGCAGTGCATCAGCAGATGATTAAAACTAAAATGATTAAAAAACATAATATTTTTATAATATGAGAACATAGATGGTAGATTAAATTTAAAAGAAAGAAAACCCAGAAAAGATTCAGCGGTTCTGAAAATGTAAGCAATTTTTTTTTTATTTTCAAAGAATCTCGGTTATTTTGGACTTTTTTGAAAAACGGTAAAGAGAAAAAATAGCTTCATTTATCGAAATCTACCAGCCCTGAAAATATTTACACATATTTAAGACTCATCCTGTATATTAAAAAATCATATTTTACATAAAAAACCATATTATATTAAAGATAACACAACTCAAATTAGTGTCGCTAATATATTATATATGCGATTAAATATGTCATTTTCTAATAGTTTTAAGTTTCTAATTATTTTTTATTAAACGCTAACAAACCTGCATCTATTTTAGGTTTTAATAATATTTAGTTCTGAAAGTTAGTTTCTTCTTTAAGTACTATTATGGTAAGGAATAATATAGAAAAATTAATTCAAAAAAATTAATTGTATACACAAATAAAAAAATAGTAAGATTTCAGGACTTTATATTAATAATGGCAACGCTGGCCATATTCCGAAAACACGCTGAGATGACAGTTAGCATGTTTACCTCCCACTCCAAATTTTTAGGCGGGATTCGTTTTGTCGCTTCTCTACGATTGTTCTTCTCTGGTAGAAATCCACTTCTGGACTTAAAACCATGAGTAATTGCCAACAAACAATAATAATACGACTTTTGAATGATTGGCATTACAAAAACAATAAACACGCTATTTCATAGACATGTTGATTAGGACCAAAATGATATTAATGCTAAAATTATTGAATTATGCTAATATTATTGAGATGAATCAAAGAACAAACTATCGAGAAAACACGCACCCTGATGATGAAGTGGTGTTTAAATTCGTTACTTTGTTAAATGATTCAATAGAATGTTTCAAACTTTTGCCAAAATATAAACATTTTGTTTTTCCTCTATAATAGCTAGGAACTTAAATTTATAATTTAAAAGGGGGCTAAAAAGTTAATTTAGCTACAAATTGCTTAAAACATGACCAACAACAGTGCCCGTTTTTTGTGCTGGTCAGTGTATGTTACGCTGAACAGAACAGATTATAGTAACTAACTTACCGGTATTCCTTTGGCCTCTTCGTTGTCGCTATCCCTTAATTCTACCGTACAAGCGATGTTTCTAGCTCGAGCAAATACTTTCTGCGTGTCGAAATTTAAACTAAGCGGGTACACGTACAAGTGGTTGACGTAGGATGCGTAGGGGTGGACGTCTTTTTCGAATTTACCCTCGAATTCGGTCACTTCCAAAGTGGGTTCGTTTGTGGGCGGTAGTGGAAACGGTTTCAGTGGTGATAAGGAGGTAGTGAGGCAGTCTAATAAAAGTAAAACGCAAAATAAATGTGATTAATAAACTAATTACTATTATTATTTACTTTTTATATTTTTAATGAATTCAATAATATAGACACATATTACAACAGTTCTTTGATTCAATGGGAAAAAAAAGGAGAAGTTAAAACACAATAAAAATTAAAATAAAAATAAAACAGAAATGATTATACTTACTAGGAGGTAAATCGTTAAACGCTGATATTTTAATTTCTAAAGATCCTGGAATCACAGTAAATTTATTAAATTTGTCAGGTTTTCTATAATCGGTTAGGATCTTTAGTACCTCTTCGTCTGTCATTTTGCTACTTTCTTGCCTATATAATGCATGGAAATCTGATATCGTATCTAATTCGTTACTATACAACCTGAAAAAACCGGTAACATTAAAGACCAAATGTACAGGGTGGGTCAAATTCGACGCTTTTAAATGGAAACACTCTTTTCTATAGGAGATAGACAAAAACTAATATCGGTGTCTGGAGCTCAATTTTTGTCAAAAACATGATGGTGAAAACCGCATATGATATCTGTTACCGTTTCGGAGTTACGGGGTGTTTTTCAAAAATATGCATTTTTAATAAATCGCTGTAACTATTTTGCTATGAAAAATTTTGTGTTTTTATGAAAACATTTCCAAAGCACCTTTTTACGTAGAATTCAATGGTTTAAGTATAATTTTTCTAACATTAATAATTTAAGAATTATCAACAGAAAATTTGATTTTTTATATGGAACACCCTGTATATTTTTAACTTATTGAAAAGAATTTAAAATTACCTTTCCAAAAATATAACACACTTGATATTTTGCTCGATACCTCTTCGAGATATAGAGTATATAAAAATTCGCTCGTTTTAAATAAGGAGGCTTTGAACAGCACCGGCTGTAATGCAAAAAAATTCTAGCTGTGAGCTAGAAGAGAGCTAGAAGTGAGCTAGAAGAGAATTAAAACGAAAATAATATTTGCTATGAGAGATGCAGAATTTAATAACAATTTAAAATATATTTAACCAACATCAACACAGTTAAACTATATCTAATAACAATAAAAATAAATAGCAAACCAAGACATGAGATTTTGCTACAGATGTTCGACATATCGACCGTCTTCTGTTATGGACAGACGGGGCAGTTTTTGAACATTTCTCGCGGAATTCATTAACTCAGTGTGGGTGAAAGATACCTTTTCATAACTGCTAAGTATTTCTAATTCTTGTCTAGATTATACGGAAGAATAAAGAACCTTTATTCTTCGCAAATATATTCACAGGATTAGATCCATGGGCACTAAGTCAGGCAGCCTCGACGGCCAACGGCTGGGATCTTGGTTAGCTATTCAATTATTCTTGAAATTGGCTGCAAAAATTTGCTGATAACTTCAGCGATCAGGGGCGGAGCGTCGTCTTGCTAGAAAAATATATTTTCGAGTTCCATTAATTAAATTCTGTATTTCGAAGGGGATTAAAACAAAATATCAATGCTTTGGAAATGTTTTCATAGAAATACAAAATTTTCCATACCAAAAAAGTTACAGCGATTTGTTAAAAATGCACATTTTTGTAAAACACCCCGTAACTCCGAAACGGTAACAGATATTGATGTGCGGTTCTCACCATCATGTTTTTGATGAAAATTGAGCCCCAGACACCGATATTAGTTTTCGTATATCTCCTATAGAAACGGGTGTTTCTATTTAAAAGCGTCGAATTTGACCCACCCTGTACAAATAGGAAAAGTATTATAATCTATAATATACAGGTTATCCGATATCAAACTTTTTTTACCTATTATTAAGAACAATGAGAGTCAGTAAGATTATATAATATATTTCTACCTAGGAAACACCTCTTAGAGGCGGAGATTGCCTTTAGACAATTTCATTTATTATACAGGGTGCTCCTAGAATAAAATTACTAGGGTAGTAGGTACTAGGATGTATTTCAGGAAAATATTTTAACTTCTATATGATGGCTCAAAAAAGTATGAGTGGATCGGCATGATTTTTTTAAATAGACAACACCCTGTATATTATTGCATTTTTGGCTTCCTTTCAGATCACTTTACATAATCCTAAGATATGAGTAAATATATTTCGATAGTTTCAGAGATACTAGTAAATAAATAAAAAATGTATATTTTTCAGCCTTTCTTTAAAAAATTATAAAAAATGATTAAAAGAACTGTCGTGAAATGAAAACTATATTAGGTATTTACTTTAGATGGTCTGTACTTACTTTGTTATAAACATGGTAATGGTAAATCATACAGGATGTTCAAATTTCTACGCCAAACTTTCTAAAATATAAAATAATTTTTCTTAGTTTTTTTTAATTGGAACATCCTGTATATTATTTTTTCGATAGATGGAGAATTAAAAAATTAACATTTTTTGTATTCAGAGTATTTCAAAATTTTTAGCGGTTTTATATTTCATATGACATTTTTTACAGTAAATTTTTATCAATGCCACCCAATGCTATTTCTCTCCTATTTTACTGTTGAAATAACCATATGAAATAATACTGCGTGTATTTGTAAAACCATTAAAAATTTGGAAATAATTAAATACAAAAAATGTTCATTTTTTAACTTTCCATCTAATAAAAAATAATATACAGGGTGTTCCAATAAAAAAAAACAAAAAAAACTATTTTATAATTTAGAAAGTTTGGCTTAGAATTTTGAACACCCTGTATGATTTAAGATTACGATATTTATAACAGATGCCCAACGCACTATAGCCAAACCCTGTATTTCTTACATCGTCAATTATCAGAATCATGTCTAACCACAATTAAAACCACTAGATATCTACTAGAAATATGATTGGAATACGGACAATCACCAAACCTGCATGGACTTGTATACTCTGTTTTTTTTTCTCAGGTAAGATTTCGACAGAAGAAAAGCAGATGACGTCCCATACCAATCTATTTATTTTACTAAAAAAAGTTTCTAATAATTTTTAAGTTATCTATGGATGGGTTTAAATATAAATCCGTCATGCGTTTATTGGTTTATTTAAAAAATGACAGATCGTATTTCAATTTTATTGGTTTGAAGGAACGATGAACGACAAACGGACACCGATGCGTATGAACTCGCCTTTAGATTTTTGTCATTTTTGATGCTTGTCAAAGTCTTGCCAAATTATAGGTTAGAATTTTGTGTCAACTTTTGTTAAATACCCTGCGTTTTGGAAGATGATGCATGTTGATTCGTATTATTACGTGTGTTTTGTGTCTTTTGAAGTCAAGTGGAGGAAAAATCGAGTGAAAATTAACTGTAGACCCAGAGCACAGTTTATGGTTTATACTCGCTGCCCAGGCAGAAAGTTTTATACACCAATGAAGTTGCCATCGATAAAGTTTGTATACCATTTCGTCGTAGATAAGTGCATCTCGTATATGGTAGAAGGATCAAACTAAACACATACTAAAAACTGGAGTAGCTGTAAAGTATCGACATCATACGATAGGTAAATAATGAATTTTAGTACTGCAGAAAAATAATGTCAAAAGGTACTGGTTTAAAAAAATTAAGATTAAAGTTAATTAATCAACCTTTAAGGTATAAAATTTGGTAGGTGTTATTATTAATAAAATAGTTTGTTTTATTTACTTTTGTTGTTTTATTTATTCCTGTGGAATATTACAAATTTGTATTTGTACATAAGTTATATTGATAAATATAATCGTAAATGCGGGTAGTTTCATAAAGCTTGAAAGTAAATAAAAGTTCTTTTTTATTTTTTTTTGGTATGTTGTGTCTTGTTCTTGTTTGTTTTGTATTAACACATACCGTTTTTATTAAATAAAATAACTCGATTACATTTTTTCAGTTTTATACAGTTTTTTTCACAATATTTTGAAGTAATCACTTGTCATCTTGTCAATCAAATTTTAAATATATCCTGCAATGCGTTCCAGTTGTACCAACTTATTTCTTTGTAAAATAAAATAAACTACTTTGAAATTAAAACGACAGACACATCTATCACAGTCAAGAATCTTCTCGTTGGACAGACTATAACAATCAAAGAGATTCACTAAAAACCCGCAGTCGAGTGGAGCGCCGTCCTTGCTCGCGAGCAAGATTCGCCGATTATTTTCCACTGGCATTGACTAGCGAATACTCGTGTTATATAATATTACATTATACCGTATGAACGAAAAAAAACGGCGTCATAGAAGGTTGGGGAATGGCAATCAATGAAAATTTTGGCGAGGTCAATCTCTAGACGTCATTTAAACTTCTTAAAATCTCTAGACGTCATTTTAACTAGACTAAAAACTGACAAAACTTGTTAAAAATTAATACAAATTATAGAAAGATTATAGCTTCATTCAGAACCTCGTAATTAGTGGAATAAATTAGTGGTTTCAATTACACTTTATACTTTTTAGTTTACGATCATTCACAATGTTTAAAAAACACAATTAGAATTAATAAAATATCCTAACAACAGCTTACGTTAGTCAGTTGTATCCAGAGAGAAAGCCTAATATTTAGCTTATAACAATCAATTTTTGATTTCTAACCACAATTTCTCTCGACGGAAGATAATCAAAGGCCAAAATGATATTACTCGCAAATTTTGAAGTATAATTAGTGGAAAAGTTAAAAGTTTAATACCTTTTTCTACTAATTGAAAATGTCTACCACTAATTTTGACGTTCTGAATGCGTACATTGAAATTAAAGGAACAAATTTCTACGCTAATTAAAACCACTAATTGCGAGATTCTGAATAAAGCTTATAAAAGGATAGAACTCTCCAGGTACACAAATTTATTGTGTATTGAATTTGAAATTGAAAATTGAATTTTAAACTACACACAATCTCCGCCTTTAAAATTCCTCGCATTTGTTTTGAAACATCCTGTACATTCAATTCTTACCTATACAACGGTCGGGCAGTCCACGCGAAAGGCATCCTGTACTTTCCCAGTCTTTGGCAACAAGTGGCGATATTCTTGTAGCACTTCAGTCCGATCTTAAAATCCTTGTTCGCCTTGACGTACGGATCGGAACTCTGATTGATACCGCCCTGCAGCACTTTCTCTATTCTAACAAACAGAAATATGTCCGGATGGGGATTGGTGATGCTCAAAAGAGCTTGTCTGGGATATAACAGCCATTCTGATGAGACTTTTTGTAAAACGTCTAATTTTACGTGCGAGGTTCCGTTATAACAACTACTATTCGATTGACTACTACTGTTGAACGTGGTGCGAATGCTATCGCTATTTACATCGAAATAAAAGTTTTCAGTCAATTTTCGTCCGTTTTTCACGTCGAACAGGCACAAGGAAGTGTAGTAGGGTTCGACCTGGCACAGATTCTCCTTCTCGTCGACCACCTGTAATTTTAACCTAATATGTTCACACTTGAGAAATACCCTGTTGCCGAATATCTCCCTGAACGGTTCTATTTGATCCTGACTAGAATTTTGCGACTTTAAGTTCATAGATAGGGGCGGGTAGAGAAGGAAGAGTTTATGGCGAGATTCCTTTCTCGATAAGGCTATACTGATATCGGTTTCTTTCGCGTATTTCATCAGTTGAGGGTTCATGCTCTGTTCCAGGCCTTTGAGGGTTCCAAAGGACTGAGTTTGAGGCGAAGGAGGGGGCGTGTTTCGTTCTGGAAAAATAGAGTTTAGTTTATTAAACCTATAAGTCAGTTAGCATCTCTATAAGTCAGTGGCATTTCTAGTCTGTCATGACCGACCCGTCGAAGCACAACTGCAACTGCGTACTGCCTGACCAGCCGTCTAGCCGGCAGTGAATCTCGAGTACGAACGCAAAACGGGTAAACGTAAATTCGTCCGGCAACTTGCTATGTTACTAGTAGCCTGGTCTTCTCTGTATAAATACTATTAATACATGGAAATGAGTTGTAACAATTAATATTAATTTAATATTTGTAGTCTTTTATATTAATATATTAACTACCGCTGGCGTATGCACCGTTAGAAATCAAAATAATTTTGACCGTTGCTGCATAATGCATTCATCTTTGTTCGGCGATTTCTAACATCGCCTTTCAAATTAAATTTTGATCTCTCACTGAGCCGTCGATGTGTCTCGTCTTTTGTCTCTCTCTAACTCATCGCTCGGTAGCGATGGAAATCACTGACTACGTCGAATTAAGGCGGGGTTTAGGCGATATCTTCGGTCGCCTCGGCATGCGCGTGGTACTCGATAGGTTTTAGAAATTCGGTGGTTCTCATAATATATTATTCATCATATGTTATCAGTATTTAAAAATTTAATTAAAATCTATTTATCGACTGCCTATTATTGACTTGAATTATTGTGTACAGTGCATTTGGATGTTAATTTCTAAGTTAACAAGGAGGAGATACGGATAAGTATTAATTTAGATTAAAATTTGGAGTAATTAATGTTGATTTTCAATATGGATAATCCAATTCATACAATTTATGCGACGTATACAAGACAAAATTAAACTAGAAATTCAATGAAAAATAAACGTTTATCATCATTTGCCTTACTTTCAATCGAAAAAGATATTTTCATAGCCCTTCAACAATCTGATAACATTACTGATATAATAATAAATAAATTTTCATTATTAAGGGATCGGCGAATCAATTTAATATATAAAAAGTAATTGTTCTTTTTATTTGTTTATGAGTCTCGAAATATGTATATGAATAAGATAATCTGTTTTTCTTTGTAAATTTATTTGTCTAATTTGTCTTTGTAAATATATTTACTTGTTTATCCAAAAAAAATCCTTATGGGTTTTTCGCCACTGCACTGCAAGAAAAATCTACAAAATAAAGTAGTTATTTTTACGTTTATTTACTTGTTGTTAAGCTACGTAAATAAATAGAAATAAAATAAAATCCAATGATGAACTGCATGGTACTATTATCTACCTTATTTATCAAGCATTAGCATTGAACATGCTATCTGAGAAAATAAATAAAACACACATATCCATTATGTTAATCATCTCATTATGTTGAATGCTGTTAGTTTAGTTTTAACCTAAATATTCTTAAGCTATGTTTTAACCCATAAGCTAACATATTGGTTTTACGAACTGGGTTAAGATATATATATGATATGTATATATATATATATATATAATATATATATATATATATATATATATATATATATATATATATATATATATATATATATATATATATATATATATATATATATATATATATATATATATATATATATATATATATATATATATATATATATATATATATATATATATATATATATATATATATATATATATATATATATATATATTATATATATAACCAAAACTAAGAAGAAAATTCTTGGGGATAGCGGTCTAGAGGCAAAAAATTAAACAATTTATTACAAACGCCGAGCTTTCGGAAAATAATTTCCTTTTTCAAGGCTAAAACATATCACAAAAGTCAACTGAATATAATATAATATTATATAAACTTACGTGTAAAAAGTTATATTATAAAAATAGAAAAATATATCAATTTCCATATGGAAGAAAGGAACTAAAATTTTGTATAAAAGTTAAAATCTTCTTAAATATTCATGATTTCTGACATTACTAAAAATTATTTTGACATAGAAAGGTAAATTTAATAAATAAAAAAAAAAAAAAAAAAAGGTAAATTTAATTTAAATAATTTTTAGTAATGTCAGAAATCATGAATATTTAAGAAGATTTTAACTTTTATACAAAATTTTAGTTCCTTTCTTCCATATGGAAATTGATATATTTTTCTATTTTTATAATTAAACTTTTTACACGTAAGTTTATATAATATTATATTATATTCAGTTGACTTTTGTGATATGTTTTAGCCTTGAAAAAGGAAATATATTTTCCGAAAGCTCGGCGTTTGTAATAAATTGTTTAATATTTTGCCTCTAGACCGCTATCCCCAAGAATTTTCTTCTTAGTTTTGGTTATAATTGATCGGTCAAGACTTCCTCTTTTGTATATATATATATATATATATATATATATATATATATATATATATATATATATATATATATATATATATATATATATACATATATATACTCTGTTTTTTTTCTCAGGTAAGATTTCGACAGACGATGACAGAAGAAAAGCAGATGACGTTCCATACCAATCTATTTATTTTACTAAAAAAAGTTTCTAATAATTTTTAAGTTATCTATGGATGGGTTTAAATATAAATCCGTCATGCGTCGTGTCTTGTTGTTTTTAACCAGTTTTATTGGTTTATTTAAAAAATGACAGATCGTATTTCAATTTTAAGCCGGAGTCTCATGCATCCGAAATCCGATGACACGACGATCCGACGGTGCTCCTATTCACCAACCAAACCTCACTTTTTTTGAAAACATTTGTTTTTAAAAACAAGTTTAGTGGGAAGTGGGCAATTTCGGGATATTTGGCGAGGAAGTTATTTTTATAAGTGTTTCTCCAATAAAACATGACATGAATCTCTATTCAGCGCAGCAGAAAAATGTTAAAACTGTCAAATTTCGGAACGAACTTTCGGATGTATGTGACAGGCTTTTTTTATTTCACACGATAACTTCAAATTTCGGATGTCGTACCATCGGATTTCGGATGCATGAGACTCCGGCTTTATTGGTTTGACGGAACGATGAACGACAAACGGACGCCGATGCGTATGAACTCGCCTTTAGATTTTTGTCATTTTTGACGCTTGTCAAAGTCTTGCCAAATTATAGGTTATAATTTTGTGTCAACTTTTGTTAAATACCCGGCGTTTTGGAAGATGATGCATTTTGATTCGTATTATTACGTGTGTTTTGTGTCTTTTGAAGTCAAGTGGAGGAAAAATCGAGTGAAAATTAACTGTAGACCCAGAGCACAGTTTATGGTTAATACTCGCTGCCCAGGCAGAAAGTCTTATACACCAATGAAGTTGCCATCGATAAAGTTTGTATACCATTTCGTCGTAGATAAGTGCATCTCGTATATGGTAGAAGGATCAAACTAAACACATACTAAAAACTGGAGTAGCTGTAAAATATCGACATAACACGATAGGTAAATAATGGATTTTAGTACTGCAGAAAAATAATGTCAAAAGGTACTGGTTTAAAAAAATTAAGATTAAAGTTAATTAATCAATCTTTAAGGTATAAAATTTGGTAGGTGTTATTATTAATAAAATAGTTTGTTTTATTTACCTATGTTGTTTTATTTATTCCTGTGGAATATTACAAATTTGTATTTGTACATAAGTTATATTGATAAATATAATCATAAATGCGGGTAGTTTCATAAAGCTTGAAAGTAAATAATAGTTGTTTTTTATATTTTTTTGGTATGTAGTGTCTTGTTCTTGTTTGTTTTGTATTAACACATGCCGTTTTTATTAAATAAAATAACTCGATTACATTTTTTCAGTTTTATACAGTTTTTTTCACAATATTTTGAAGTAATCACTTGTCATCTTGTCAATCAAATTTTAAATATATCCTGCTATGCGTTCCAGTTGTACCAACTTATTTCTTTATAAAATAAAATAAACTACTTTGAAATTAAAATCATTAAAATGACAGACACATCTATCACTGTCAAGGATCTTCTCGTTGGACAGACTATATATATATATACAGAAAGTAGTCTCGACTGACTAGTGAGAAAGAAAATCTGGGATTTAGTGGGGTTGCAGTCGGAAGGGTTTGACAAAGAATTAATACACTTTGTTAATTGTCAAGCTTTCGGAATTTATTTATTCCTTCCTCAGGACATTAACGTGGTACAGAAAATACCTTCATAAAAACTACATTAAACATGGTTTGTGTTGATAACTCCACCGTGAAAGCATCGCTGACCAGTCAACCACAAGGACTCTTATAAGGCGGTTAAGCCGCCAAATATAAGTTAGAACATTAGAATAATTAGGAGATGTTAGAAATTTTTAAATTAAAGAATTTTTTTTGTTTTGGTAACGTGGTTTTGGAAACGTGGTTTTGCGCCTCCACGCTTCGGATTGAGACGCAAAAAATTCTTTAATTTAAAAATTTCTAACATCTCCTAATTATTCTAATGTTCTAACTTATATTTGGCGGCTTAACCGCCTTATAAGAGTCCTTGTGGTTGACTGGTCAGCGATGCTTTCACGGTGGAGTTATCAACACAAACCATGTTTAATGTAGTTTTATGAAGGTATTTTCTGTACCACGTTAATGTCCTGAGGAAGGAATAAATAAATTCCGAAAGCTTGACAATTAACAAAGTGTATTAATTCCTTTTCAAACCCTTCCGACTGCAACCCCAATTAAATCCCAGATATTTATATATATATATATATATATATATATATATATATATATATATATATATATATATATATATATATATATATATATATATATATATATATATATATATATATATATATATATATATATATATATATATATATATATATATATATATATATATATATATATAATATAATTGGGGCCATTTCGGCTATAACAAATTTTTTTAAAAGCACATAATTATAATTTTAGAAGATGTTCATAAAACATTTAATCACTAGTTGATTAAAAAAAGCATACCATTAATATTGCAAATTATATTTTATCCTCTCATAGTTAGTTATATGTCTATTTAATTTTTTGATTATGTAACGAGCACCTTGTTTACTCACTTGTTTCGTCGAACTGCTTGAATCCATTTTTGTTTTTGATCAAATCGGTGTGAGAAACTATGAAGCTATAAAATGTTGTTTCGAAAAAGATGAATATCCGGGAGAGTTGAGTTATTGAATGTTATTGCACCTAACAACGCCTTAATTACGCTCTCCTTTACGCGTTATCATTTTTTCGGCAATTTTATTAACATTTGAAATTGTTATGACACAACATGACGCCTAGTTCGAATTCTTTTTCACTTATTTTTTACTACCCGAAACAGCGTTACATCAGACAAACCTCGTACCTGAGTGTTTTATAGTCTCAATAACTGCACTAGCAAAAAACTAAAATACTTAAATATTATGAATAAACCACGATTTCGATATTATTTTAATGCGATCAACATGATGGCGGAGCGGCGTGAACTATATACTGATAAGTTCTGATTTTTGCCGTTGAAGCGCTGCGGTCGGAATTTGTTGAAATCAACTGAAATGCACCAAGCCTATACAGATACAGTATGGCTGCATTCATTTGTATTAATGATAAATGAACTTTATAAATACTATATGTTTTTCTATTAAATATTATACCAAATATAAAAGTATCAAACAAACAAAGAATAAACAAATTCCGGTGAAAAATAGTTACCCCTTTCTAGCGATGCCGCCCGTTTTTCTTCTTGTATTTTGTACTGCTGCAATACAGAAATTAATTTCGTTAACCAATCCTTGAAGTCTGCATCGTTCTCAGCTGCAAGAACATAGGACTTGTGTCCGGCAGTCATTCTCAACTCAAAACAAAATCGTCCTCTTTTTAAGTTCTGAAACATTCGTAGATTAATAACAAGCATCTCTAAAATTATTACTGCAAGTTGAATATGTTACCTTAACCACATCAGTACAAAAATCCATCACAATCGTTGCTTTTGCTTCGCCTTTTTTCTCGTCTTTGTACATTTCTAAAATGTAGGTCCCGTCTACTTCCTGTCTTAAATAACAGTATCGTCTTTTAAAACTTTTTGATCCTATATTTACAAAACCTCTCTCAGATCCTAAAAATAAGCAAATACACATATATTATACACAGGGTGTCCCTGGCTGAGCTCGCATTAACAGTTTCTAGAGTACTAAAATGTCTAGATTTGACAGCCTTTTGCGCATCGTGCACCAATAATACATAATACTAAATAATGGATACCCCTATTTTTTCTTAGAAATTTAAATTCTCTGCAAAATATGAAGAATTTTGATATCAAACACAATCCGGTACAGTTTGTAACCGGATTGTCTTTACAAGAGGAAAACCTCTTTATTATTAATTTTTTGAGAAAAAAGCATTCTTCTTAAAAGGTTTTGTTTATGCTAAAAGGATTAATGCCGCTTATATTTTTCCAAATGTTAATACCGTTTTAGAGAAAATTAAAAAATTATGAAACTACCGAGCGCATCTCAAAAGTGGCTCACCCCTATAACTTTTTTATTTCTTCAGATAAAAAAAACGAGATTTGGTATGTTAGTATTTGACATAAAATAGAATTGATTGACGTATTCAATTGTTTTTGATCACTTCCTGTTTCACCGGAAATGGCAACAACTTTTGATTTTTAAATGGTACCCTCGGTATATTTTTACTTTATTCGATAGAAAATGATACTCCGAATAGAATGACATATTATATGTCAACTTATGACATTTTCGCTCTAAAAAAAATCGTATTTTAAATTTCAATCTAGAGCCGCATGTTGTTTAAAACACTAATTTTTAATCAAGGAGCCTTGGAACATTTGATCGTCTAATGTTTTTCGTGTCTTGTCCTGGCTGGTTAGAAGATGGTCAAATCGTATTTTTAATTATATCTTAATTTTTTTCAAATGGAACAAGGGTGGCTCATTAGCATATTTGGAAAAAGCATTTTTTACGAATAATTTGGTACTACACACTTGGTATTTGGAGTCAAATTGTCGTTATGAACCGCATGTTACAAATTCAAATAAAGTATATGCAAAAATGTCAAAAGTTCACATATCGTCGGTGAAACGTGATAAACTGCTAACTCCATTATTCCTAATTTCACAGGAGAGCAAAAAAATGGTACAAAAAAATATATACACATGTAGGAAGTATTTTCATGCGTTAATATGATAAAGAGATAAGAATTTTATTTGCTGGGGAACAATAAAACTCAATATTTCGTGTTACATCATTTTTTTCACACACAATAGGGAGATAGCAGATATTCGTCTTGCAGAAATAAGAAATAAAAATATACTTCTGGAGATAGCAACCTTTATTGTTTGAAGTTTTGAAAATGGAATTGAATATTACCCAAACAGATTTAGAAGTAATCAATTCACTTTAAAAAATATAATATTTATAACCATATATTTATAATATCGTCGGTCTAGAAGCAAAACATATACAAGTCCAAAAACGAATAAATTTTTAATGCATTTTTCAAGAACTGAAGTAGCAGCATTTTGGACTTATAAAACTGATTAGGTATTATAGAAATTCTTGTACAAGTAAGTAATGGTTATTTAAACTATTTATAGCACGCCGATGAATTACTCGTATATAGAGAATTTCGTTTTTCCCCTTACCCTTTACGGATACCTCGTATTTACAGAACGGGTCGACGCAGGATCGAACTGGCCATATTATATATTTATATAACAATTGGGGGGCCCAGCCGTCGCGGGCCCCCTTTATAGTTCATTTATTCTTAACAATATTTGCTTTTGCATTGCATTATGGCATTTGCATTGCATTGGTTTACCTTGCATTAGGGTAGTTCCCTGATTTCTATACAGGGTGAGTCTTAAATAAGTGCAAATATTTTCAGGGCTAATTTTCTTTTTAGGGAATATTTTCTCTTTACCGTTTTTTCAAATAAATCCAAAACAACCGAGTTATTTCACTTTTAAAATTTCTAATTTTTTCCTATAATTTTGAGAATCATTGGATTAACTTTCTTGTAAATTTAATCTACCAGCTATGTTGCCATATTACAAACAAAGTATGTTTTTAAACTAAAAATTAAAAAAAAATTCAAATTTTTTTTTTAAAAATTCCAAATTTTCAAAAAAAAAATTTCGTGCAAAAAAACTCATAATCGTGTTTCTTGAGTCGAAATATACTACCCCTAAAAAAATTTGCACTTATTTAAGACTCACCCTGTATATAATAGAGAAAAATTGACCAAAACGTAGGGCAAAAAAATACGTAAAAAAATACACACGGTTCCTCCTTACATTGCCACCCGGGCCCCTTTGGCATAGTGCGACCCTGGATCGACGTATTGTACTAAAGAAACACTACGGAGGAATTGAATTGATGTTAATAATTCAAAATTGATCAAACAGGCCTCAAATTACGGTCAATTAAATCCATGATGAGAGCTTAAAAAATAAACATAAAAACAATATGAACAAAGATAATGGTCCAATTCATGCCATTGCTCTAGTTTGGTAATTTATTTTCACGCTCGATTGGTTTTGTGTCCCTTAGCAGACTTTATCACGCTTGGTCAGTACCAACCGAGTGCCTATATAAACGCTCAATTTGTAAGTAGTTTAGTTTTAACCATTGCTGATGACGCTAATATGGTTAGCGAAACGCGCGTCCAATGTTAAATCTAAAGTGTTATCGATGCAGAAATTTCTTTTTCACCCGGTATACTACTAACTTTTTATATTATATTATGGAATTTCACTTTTAGACTCGTATAACCGGAAGATGGCATTCCCTAACATTTTCCAAGTGCGTCATCATTTTGTATACAAAAACCTATTGTTCTGATATTTTTTGGTATTTACACTGTTTAGTATTCTTATCAATGCACTAAAATTAGTAGTTAAGTAATTACAATTCTAAAAGCTTTTAATTATATCTATTGTTAGCGTTGTTAATATTTGAACAATGTTTATTTTTAAAATTGCTAATATTATAGAAGTAAATATTATGGAATTCTGACTCAACATTTTTATGTAAATATTAGAATGAAATATTGGTGCCTAAAATGTAATGCATAATTACTACAACTTTTAATAACATAGATTTTAACTATTTTTTAATACACCCAGTATTTGTCTTGAACTCCCAGGTAAATTAAATATTATAAGAAACTGCTATTAAAAACCAACCATTATAAAATCAACTTTGCGTGAAATAGAATACCATAAGATCGAAAAAAACGGTGTCAAGTTACCTCAGATATGATTGATTTCATTGTGCATATAATTTTACTTATAAAATGTATTCAACTGTTATTTATTACGTATCTGGATGCCCTTTTCTTTTCACAAAGAGTACAGTCAATGTGTTCAGTTTAATAAGATGTACTGAACAAACAGAGAAGAGCAATTATTTTCCCAAGCACATCAAATAAAACGCCGGGTTAAGTGGTTATGTAATAAACACTCCAAGACAAGTAAATACCGACCCACGACTTTCGGTTGCCGACAGTGTATTCTTTACATACCTATTTCAGGTCCCTTCATAAGCCATCCCTCTTTCGTAATATTATCACTGTGGGATTTATTATCACCCGAATCTTCATCAGTATCGACTTCGTAAAGATCTTCTTTCAGATTATTCAGAATATTTGGAATTTTTGGCAACTCCGCATAAGTACCGGAATACGGGGCATATCTAAATTGAACCAACTGCCAATTTGTAGAATAGTTACTGATGCACTGTTTCGTAAAGAGATTGCAGTTTTCCACTTCAACTTCTGGTGGTATGGTAGATAGTAATGTTCTATTGCGCCTTGGTAAAACGACTTGCTAAAAAAGTACATACTTTTATTCATTATTTTATAAATGCAAGTATTTTAACTCGTAGTACTCGTATAGTTCGACCCCAGACATACGCTCATGAAATTTTTTTTGCAAAAAAAAATGTTGAAAATTTTATATTTTTCTTGACATTTTCCGGAAAATATTGAAAAACTTTTGAGTGCCGCTTGCTCAGTTTCCGGAAATGTGTTTAAAGTGCTTGGAGAGAATGCAACGTTGCCACCCCTTAAAATACTTGCACTTATTTCTAGGATACCCTGTATATAGTATTGATATATCCTGAAGATGAAGGTATCCGGAAGAAAATGGATAAATTGCTTGGCATATAAAGCAATTTATCCTTTATATTATTATGATTTATTATAAAATATTAACCATTCAAAATTAACCATTCTTTTTCTCTTTCATATGATAAAATAAAATAAAATAATAAATTTACGGACCAGCCATTTAAATGTACAGGGTGGGTCAAATTCGACGCTTTTAAATGGAAACACCCTTTTCTATAGGAGATAAAAAAACTAATATCGTTGTCTTGAGCTCAATTTTGAAAACCGCATATCGATATCTGTTACCGTTTCGGAGTTACGGGGTGTTTTTCAAAAATATGCATTTTTAACAAATCGCTGTAACTTTTTTGCTATGGAAAATTTTGTATTTTTATGAAAACATTTCCAAAGCACCTTTTTACGTAGAATTTAATGGTTTAAGTATAATTTTTTTAAAATTAATAATTTAAAAATTATGAACAGAAAATTTGATTTTTTATGAGACACCCGTATATTTTTAATTTATTGAAAATAATTTAAAATTACCTTTCCAAAAATATAACACACTTGATATTTTGCTCGATTCCTCTTCGAGATATAGAGTATACAAAAATTCGCCTGCTTTAAATAAGTAAGCTTTGAATGGCACCGGCTGTAATGCAAAAAAATTCTAGCTGTGAGCATCAAGTAAAACGAAAATAATATTTGCTATGAGAGATGCAGAATTTTATAACAATTTAAAATATATTTAACCAACATCAACACGTTTAAACTATATCTGATGACAATAAAAATAAATAGCAAACCAAGACAAGAGATTTTGCTGCAGGTGTTCGACCGTCTTCTGTTATATCGACCATCTTCTGTTATGGACAGACGGGGCCGTTTCTGAACATTTCTCGCGGAATTCATTAACTCAGTGCTCATAACTGCTAAGTATTTCTAATTCTTGTCTAGATTATACGGAAGAATAAGGAACCTTTATTCTTCCGCAAATATATCCATAGGATTAGATCCATGGGCACTAAGTCAGGTGGCCTCGACGGCCAACGGCTGGGATCTTCGTTAGCTAATCAATTATTCTTAAAATTGGCTGCAAAAATTTGCTGATAACTTCAGCGTTCTGAGGCGGTGCCCCTTCTTGCTGGAAAAATATGTTTTCGAGTTCCATTAAGGGCATATCACCAATAAGGGGTCCAAAGCCTACTAGTTAAAAGTGGCGAACTTTTAAAAATTCTATATTTCGAAGGAGAATATAACAAAATATCAAGTGTGCTATATTTTTGGAAAGGTAATTTTAAATTCTTTTCGGTTAATTAAAAATATAGGTGTCTCAAATAAAAAATCAATTTTTCTGTTGATAACTCTTAAATTATTAATTTTAAAAAAATTATACTTATACCATTAAATTCTACGTAAAAAGGTGCTTTGGTAAATGTTTTCATAGAAATACAAAATTTTCCATAGCAAAAAAGTTACAGCGACTTGTTAAAAATGCACATTTTTGAAAAACACCCCGTAACTTCGAAACGGTAACAGATATTGATGTGGGGTTTTCACCATCATGTTTTTGATGAAAATTGAGCTCCAGACACCGATATTACTTTCGTCTATCTGCTATAGAAAAGGGTGTTTCCATTTAAAAGCGTCGAATTTGACCCATCCTGTACATTTAAATGGCTGGTCCGTAAATTTATTATTTTATTTTATTTTATTTATTTTATTGTTGTATGTACATACAGCAATAATATTGTTGTATGTACATACAGCAATAATTATAATTACAACTAGAATAAAATCTATCACAACAGAAACTTTACAATAAACTATTACAAAACAGGGTTGGCATGATTTAAATCAAGTGATTTTTTTAATTTTAATCATGTGATTTAAATCAAAAATATAGTTTTATTTAAACTTTATAATAAATCAAAAAATAACTGTAAAAGTTATAAAAATGTGTCCTAGAAAACAATAAAAAATATTTCTATAACGTTCTCTAGAGATGTTTTTAATTCATTTTCAAAAACTAATAAGTTTGTAATTGTAGATTTTGCCTTGCGAATTGATATGCCTTATTACGCGAAAAAACAACAACTTTAGTGTAAAAATATGTTTTAATCACCCTGTATAACTAAAAAAATATTTTTAAAATGTAGGAAAATTATTATTTTGGTAAAAATATTAGAGTAAAAATACCAAATAGAAAACCTAACAAAAATTATAAAACATTTTCAGAAATAATGAAAATGAAAAATATACAAAATAAAAAGTGATGAAAAATTTACCATACTATTTATTTATTTTTTAGTACATTATTTATTTTGTACATTGTTATTAATGTTCCTTAGTTTTTGTTAATTATAATTTATATCTTGGGCATTATAGCAACCTTAATTATTATAGCTCAAGTCATTTTATGTAATTTATAAAAATGATGTTTCCCATAAACAATTTAATAAAATAAAATATACACTGAGTCACAATGTATTTAAAAAAACTGTAGTTTATAAATTGTTAAAATTTAAAATACTTACAGAAATATCATCTGGCGGATACAGCAATAATTCCCTTTGAGGATCATTTTGCAAAACAGTTTTGTGTTTAATTAAAAACTGTTCAAAATCTAAGGGGTCCACTAAATTTGGTTTACTCTGTAATCAAAATATAAAAAATATTAATGAGAATTTACTATATAACTAGGTACTATTACAATTTATATTACAACAAACTTTGTAAATAAATTTAATATAAATGTTAAGTTTCATAGAAAATCATACCTGTCTCAAGAGTAAAGATAGCATGTTATTTCAATTAAAATATATTTATCTGTATACTGTATACCTATATATGCATCTGAATATACCTATTTACTTTGTATGAGCTCATACTAAAACTTTTACTTATCATTTAATCTATTTAAACATAAACTGAAATATTTACACACTTTAATGCAGCTTCTAAACACAAAATCAATAAATATTTGTGCAAATTTACGATACAACTACTATTACCAACAAACTTTCTAAATAAATTTAATATATTTAGTTTTATAGAAAGGCTTACCTGTCTAAAGAATAAAGATAACATTTTATTACAATTAAACTATCGAAATTTTTGTCTGTATATGCATCAGAATATATCTGTTTACACTGTCATACATCTGAGCTCATAATAAGACCTTTAATTATCACTTAAATTAGCCAATTAAAACATAAACTTAAATTTTTACACCACACTTCAATGCAGCTTCTAAAGCACAACTGTTCATGTAAAAAAAAATATAAAAGGATTTATCTTGCCTGCTTGTGTCCCATTTAGTTTCTGATAAAATGATAATTACCACAAAGTTAACCACTTTGCAACACAAATTACAGTATTATCTGTTGAATATACTTACTAGAATAAATGCATTGTTGTTGAATGTATTTCTCTTTTGGATGAGTCGTACTTTAAATTGATATATTAAAGTCAATTTATATGCTGGTCATGTTTTTAAGGTGAGATACAAAAATAAATTTCACTTAGAGAAATTTAAGCCTTAAGTTTAGGTGGAACGCTCTGTAATATAATAGTATCTATAACTTGATACTGGTCATTCAAAAAATGTAGTGTATTTTGGCACTATAAGCTGGCTATTTAAATAAATCTAACCTAAATGTATAAATAATACTTAAGCCAATATGAGTTAAAGAAAGGAGAAATCTACGAAATATAAATAGATAGCTACGTATAATATTGTTATTACTTCACCAAAACATCCAGATTTATGGCGTACATCAGCTTTAAATGTAGGTACTCTTCAGATGCTATAAGTATTTTTGGTTTGATTTGGATAGAATACAACTACTAAAAAGGAATTGGTGTACGTTTGAACTTACATTAACAGTATTTTCCCTAACGACTTGAGACACAGTTTCCCTTAACTGAGCCGCTGTTCCTGGTTTTCCCAAACCCCTGGCAAACTTCCTTTCACTCATGTTTCTAGTGTTTAAATATACATTAACTATCTACTGTAATAGCTAAGAAAATAAGAACTATATCACCCATTGTAATATGACTGCCGAAAACTTCCAATTAAAATCGGAAAAGCTCTATATTGGCATTTTCCAATTTTATTATTATTTCTGGATTACTTCAGATGACAAATGACAGAATATTTTCATGTAAATTGAGCCCAGTCTGCTAGAAGAAACAAAAAATATTTCAAAAATCTACCGGCAAGGTTTAACACAAAACTTTACAGCATCGTACGCAAAATTGATAAAATATTTTGATAAATTCAGTTTCCGTAAAAAATGTACTATGTCAATACGTCAAAATACGCAATCGCGAACATATGATCATATTCTATATTTAAATTTCAATGATCCGAATGCATCTTTCACCACACGTTTACAGATATTTATCTTTCTCATTGATGCAAAACGTATATAGACATCTCTGTCTTATGAAAAGGTAAACAAGTGAAGTATGCCTTAAATGAATTTTTAACCTAGCCATCTATTTGACAGAAGTGCGGCGGCAGACGTAGGGGAGCAAAAAATAAAAATAAAAGTTTCATAACAAAAAACCAGCAGGTGATAAATACAGGATAATATAAGAAAAGCTGAAAGAAGATAAGTAGTTCGTTCTCCAGTTCAAATTTCTCAATTCAAGTGATGTAATAAGGTTAGCAACCTAATTTTAACATTTATTTTCTAATTATAGTTTGTGGCTTTATTTTTGTAGAGTCACGATGTGCAGTAACGAAAATACTTAAATGTCGTCCGTTCTAACGCGAAATCTATCGTACGAGTTATAATGGAAGACGAATTAGACGACCGAATAATTTACCAAACGTACATATCTCATGTAAAAATTATGTCTCGAATTGCATGGAGTGTCCCATTAAAAATATCACACATAACTCATACGTCCTATGTTTCACACGTCTTGAAAATGCTTAAAACTTATCTATTAAAACCCGAGTTCATCATATGCGGTACAGTGGTTTTTCTTCTCTTTTTCTATATACAAGCTTTAGATATATGGAGTCGTAATTTGTTAGGGCGACTACAGTATACAATCAATAAGCCAAGGACCAAGGTGGACAAACTGAGTCTATTTGGTGTTGGAGATGTGGAAAAGCAGAGTTGGGAAATGAAGTCCGGCCCTGTCGCGGCCTACGCCATACAAGGGAGACGTCCAAAAATGGAAGACCGCTTTGTTATCAACGATAATTTAAACAACACCGGTGTTGCCATTTTTGCGGTGTTTGACGGTCACGGCGGAGAGTTTGCAGCCAATTACGCCAAAGAAAAATTAGTACACAATTTATCCAACAAAATAGTACAAATTAAAAACTTAATAGAAGGGAAACCTTTGGAGAAGGAAGATTCCTGCGATAATGAAGAAGAGAAAAAAGACCCTGAAAAACCAATAACTCCTACACTTAGTGAAAGGCGAAAAAGTTTCCGAAAAACTAGCTCCACAACAGATGAATGCATTAAAGGAGCCATGGAAGTGACTAATTTGGAAATTTTAAATAAGCTCGATGCAATGAAACCGATAACTAGAAACTCAAGACCACTAAAACTGACTCCTAGTTTCAAAAAAATCCCCCTCACATCGTATTTCGATAAATTCGGTGTGGTGGATTATGGCAAATTGATAACGGATGAAGTTCTGGCAGCCGATGAAAAACTGGTAGAAGTAGCGAAGAAATCTTTAGATGTGGCTGGAACTACGGCACTTATAGCAATACTGGAAGGTACAAAATTGATAGTTGCTAACGTAGGAGACTCCAGGGGTGTAATGTGTGATAGTAAAGGCAGTGCTATACCCTTATCTTTCGATCATAAGCCTCAACAGGTTAGGGAAAAAAAACGGATCAAAGAAGCAGGTGGTTTTGTTACTTTTAACGGTGTATGGAGGGTTGCGGGTATTCTAGCGACGTCCAGAGCTCTGGGTGATTATCCTTTGAAAGACAAAAAGCTGATCATAGCCGATCCAGATATACTGACGTTTGATTTGAAGGACCATAAACCTCAGTTTCTGATTCTGGCTTCGGATGGATTGTGGGACATTTTTTCGAACGAGGAAGCGATTAATTTTATTAAGGAACGACTTAACGAGTCCGATTACGGTGCTAAAAGTATAACGCTGCAATCGTTTTATAAAGGAAGCATGGATAACATTACCGTTATTATTATTAATTTTAAGGACAACTCGTTTGGTATTTATAGCAGCGGTGATAAATAATAATATTTTTTAATTGTTTTTTTATTTATTTTTGAGAAATTAACAAACATTGTATACTCGAGTTTGTGGCCGAAGCATGAGCAGCTGTAAAATAAATTTATAAAATGAATGTACTTAATGAACCAACTATATTTTAAAAAATGTGTATTTGAAATAAAAAAAGTATTTTATAAAATTGTTGGAAATAAATACAATTTTAAGTTTTGTTTGTTATTTTTTTAAGATAATCATTAATTTTAAGTAAGTTATAATAAAAAAAAATATTAGGACATTTTTTTTAAATATGCCTAAAATTACCGAAATAAAATGCAATATCAAAAATATATTTTTTGAATCCTAATTATCATGGTTTATTTTTTTAAGTGGTTTTGTATTTTTGTTTTTAAAAAGTCAATATGATCGAAAAAAAGACGTCAGGGATGGCTTGGAAATGAAAGTCGCTCTCATTTTTTAGGTAAAATTATATATTACGGGGAATGTCATTGATCGTCATTTCCAGGCCAACTGGACGCCGTATTTTTTTCGATCTTACGATACAATATGATCTAAAAAATACGGCGTCAGGGATGGCTCAACTTGACGCGTTTTTTTTCCATCATTATAATATGCACATGAAGCACTGTTCTTCCTAAGATCTGATTTTTACTTTTATCACAGTGGCTATGAATCAAATCGGAAGCACTTAATATTTCTGAAAATATTTCAGAAACGTTATATTTGAATATTACCTGCAGTTAAAAATCACATTAGTGTTTTATTTAAAATATCAAATTAATTACTTGGCGAACGGTTGGCAAAACTTATTAAGCCTGTTCATTGAGTCGGAGAATATTTTTACAGACGACATCCAAAAAATTCTAATAAATTTTGAAAAATGATTAATAATGATTTAAAATGACAGATACAACTGTCACTGCCAGGCATCATCTCGTAGGGCAACTGTAGACAACAAGCAAAATTCGCATGTTCAAAGCTAAGGTTCAAAGAGACTACAAGATCAACACACAAGTTTCATACTTCAAAATACTCACCCTGCACCCCGATCGACCACCGAATCGCGACGTTAGACAAAGTTGATATTTGGACGGTATCTTATGTTCTATCCTAATGTTCTATCACAGGACAATATACCAAGGTGTACTGTATGATCCAAAAAAAAGGGCCAGTTACCTTAGAAACGACGATCGATGACATGCTTCATATAAATTTAAAATTTAACTCAGTCATTAAAGGTAACTAGATGCCGTTTTTTTTCGATCATACGATATTTTTATTACAGGTAAGGAATGTTTTTGTACAAAGTATCCATAGAATTGAGCGTTTTAAGATGGAGCAACTCATGATTTAATTATAATATCTACAACTTATGGAGAAAAATGACACAAAATTGAATTTATCTGTGTATTAAAATGACAGACAACAATCACCGTAAAGCTTCATTCAGAACCTCCCAATCAGTGGAATAAATTAGTGGTTTCTTAGGAAATCCTCTCATTGAGCAGAGACTTTAGTTGCCATATCAGTCATCTCTACTAAACATATCCAGGGTGTTCCAGAAATAAGTGCAAATATTTTAACTGGTAATTCTACCAGTTAGGTTGGACTATACGTCCAACCCCAGAAAAGCGCCTATGAGGTTTTTTTCGCGAAAAAAAAAATTTGGAAATTCGAAATTTTTTGGAATTTTTTCAGGTTTTAGTTAAAAAACATAATTTCTTGATAATTTGGCAACATAGGTATTAGATTAAATTTACAAGAAAGAAAATCCAGAAAAGATCCAGTGATTCTCAAAATTTTAGCAAAAAATATTTTTTTTTGGAAATTTTCAAAGTAAAATAACTCCGTTATTTTGGACTTATTTGAAAAACGATAAAGAGAAAAAATGTTTCTTTTATCGAGATGTACCACCCCTTAAAATATTTGCACTTATTTCTGGGACACCCTGTATATCTCTTATAGTTTTCCCGATAAAAATAAAATATGTGTATAGTTTGTCAAACGAGTCGGGAAAAATTTCGACAAATGACATCCAAACAATGGCAGAACTTACAATTTGCCTGTGCATTAAAATAGCAGAGGCAACTGTCACTCTCAGGAATCCTTCATTTTTTTATATGAAATAATACACTTTTTCAACTATTTAAAATACGTTTTTTAACACAAATATATATAAAAAGCATATAATTAATAAGTAGCACAGGCGGTAAAAATACAAAACAATTTAATATACCTGTGGTCAATAATTCAAGAATTTAGTTAATTTAATATTTACAATCACATAACTCACAGAAATGTCTTTTGATTCTAAAGCACGGTACAGACGTAACGTTTTACCTTACGTTTTGCCGGTCGGTTAAAACGGAAGACCATCTAGTCTTCCATCTTGAGTCATTTTAAGTAAACCGTCCGTTTTTTTCACTGAACAGGTAAAGCATAAAGAAAAACGTTGTATCTAGACGCGGCTTAATACATTGGGGATTTAAAAGTAAAGCTATAAAATTTCGAATTCGTCTTGGTCGTCTGATTGATCGGTCAGCGCTGCCATATTGAAATCTATAAAAAGAAACTTTGGTAGAAAATGATGTTAAACATGTATCTATTTAGAATTAATTATAGGATTTAAATGCCATTAATATACAGGAAATTCTATTTAAGATAATAAAGTTGTCATGTTTTTATTTTTTCAGAGAAAAAATCGAGATTTGATATCTTATTCCGGGTCCAGACCAGGGCGACAAAAAGTAAACACGATTTTGAGACAAAAACAAGACAAACTTGCGACAAAAAATTCTGGCAAGATAAACTTGGACAATTTGTTTCAACAAATTGTCCACACCGCAAGGACATAAGTACAAAAGTTTAGTTGTTGCGAATGAGTTTTATTAACCATGTGTGATTTCACTGATTGGCAGCACACGCCACCCACACTGCGCCGACAACTTGTCGTAAAATATACGAACAAAACATAGACACTTTGATTTTTACCGACTCGAAACTGGACATTGCAAAGTCTCCGAATTTTGAAACAAAACAAAAATGAGACAAAAATATCGCAGAAATGTTTTGGATTTGTCGCAATTTTGTTGTAAAACATGAATGTTTCTGTCTTGTCGTTGTTTTGTCTGCTTGGTCTGAACCCGGCATTAGTATATGACATAAATCAGGATTGATTGACGTATTCAATTATTTTCGGTCACTTTCTGTTTCACCGGAAATTACTACAACTTTTGATTTTTAAACGGCACCCTCGGTATTTTTTTACTTTAGTATAGTCCAAAGGTTAACTACAGTAGGTATCTATCCCATATATCAACTTTTGGCATTTTCGCTTAAAAAATAGTATTTAAAATTTCAATTTAAGTGCTATGGCTGTGTTCATAATGATAATTTGGAGATACAGGGTGTAGAAGTTTCATTTTTATTTAGATTTTTTCCAAATAATTTCTGAAGTAACGTCAATATTTGGTTGAAAATTGGTGTCTGGGAGTTTTTTGATATGAGAAATTTGATTTTGATGTCAATTTTACACCTATTTGTAGGGGACGCTACCTACATGTGTTTTAAATCTTTTGAAAAGTAATAACTTTTCGTTCGTACCTGTATAAAACTACTGAGTAAAATAATATACATTTTCGTGATTTTTTACGTCAAAAAGGCTCTTGGTAAAAATAGCTGCGAGTAACCGTTCTCAAGATATCTGGGATGGAAATAGTCAGTACATGTCATTATTGACAAAAAATAAACATGTTAAGTAGATAGTTATTTGATTGAAATGAGATAGGAACTTTTTATTTTTTTAAATTAATTATAAATTCTTCTACGAAAAAATGATGACAAAATAGTTTCTGCTGAACTTTTGGCACAAAAACATTTCAAATTTATGATGTCAGTCTAATAACTATTTAGTCAACATGCATAGATAAATGCAAGAAGTTTAGATTGGAAAGCCCGTAAATATTTTCGGTCGCGAAATTATTTTGGATCGCGACCGTTATACGCGATCTGGCGCTGCTATAGCGGTCGCTAAGAACAACGGCAAACAAACACAGAAATAATTTTCTCTTGTCAAAGTCAGAATCTTCAAAAATGCTTCAAAAATCATAATATGAATCATAATAATCTTTCAAAATCTAAACCGCTCTCATTAAAGAAATTCCGAAAAGTGTTTATAGCGTCCATTTTCAAAATAATTATTGCTATCTTGTGAGTTTAATTCAAGTTTTATTTACTACAACCGGTGATAATTGTGAAAAAGTGGCATTAAAAACTTAAAAAGCTGTGCTGTGAACTGCAAAAACCATCGCGGATGGTGGTATAACGTTGGTTTCCAATGTTTCATAGGTATTTTATACATGCGTCCTTATATAAAATAAAGTTTTTTGTATGCAACACACTGTATTTTATTTATAAAATTAAACGAAAATAATAATAAATTTGAATTAACAATATTTGGCGATATAATTCCGGAAAAAGCCGAACCGCTCAGAAATGTTTAAAAGTTTTGGGTCGCGACCGTTGCAAGAATAGCGCCAAATAGTGTTTACATTGTCCTTATGGGCACTTTCCAATCTAAACTTGTTTCATTTATCTATGTCAACATGTTTAATTTATGTCAATGAAGACAGGTATTGATAATTTCGATTCCAAATATTTCGAGGACCATTACTCGAAGCAATTTTTACCAAGAGACCTTTTTTACGTAGATATATTTATTTTTTATATATATTTTTTTAATTAGTAGTTTTATACAGGTGTGGACGAAAAGTTATTACACTTAAAACCAGTTAAAAAATATATAGATGGCGCCCTCTACAAGTAAGAGTTATATTGACATGAAAATCAAATTTCTCAAATTAAAAAACTCCCAGACACCAATTTTCATCAAAATATTGACGTTACTTCAGAAATTTATTATTTAGAAAAAATCGAAATAAAAATGAAACTTCTACACCCTGTATCTCTGAAACTAAGCATTTTAGGACCTATATTTATAAGAACTTTTTTACTTATATGCTGCCGAAGTTTCCGGAATACAGTTCGGACCACCCTGTATATAATTGGATATCAAAAAAATTTAAAAATGAGAAATACATTACCTAATTTTGGCTGCCATTCTGCTGGTTTTTCGAAGCTGATTTCGAATAGTGGTTGGTTTTCCGCAGTTATCAATTCGTCTTTAACTTTTTGACAGAGATCTGTGAAGTCCGCTTCCGTTTTACAAAAGAAACACTGTAATTAAAGGTAACTGTAAATTTATTGGAATATAAAAAAGGGAACGTATGTAGGGATTTTATGTAAAGGTTAGTCCAATAATAGAGAATGCCGACTGTAACTCGAGAACCGTTACTCATATACATCTATGGATAGAGCTTTAGGAAAAAAAAAATTATAACTTAGTGTTAGCACAGATTATACAGATTATAAACTTTGTTTTTTCTTTATTGTTTTTCGTGGTTCCAATTTTTGGAATCGGGCACTAGTTAGGTTACTAGTTTGCGCACACGGCATGCCCACTTATGGCCTCTAAAATTGTGCACAGCGCTTGACCGGCACAGTTATTAGAGAGATATCGGAAAACCGAATAGCGTCATGCAGTATTTACGCGTACCTTATCATGGTTACGATATGCGCGAGTCAATTTTTAACGCAACACCCGCTAATAACGTTACCGCCTGACGTAATTTGCGGATCAATTACACCAAGCGCTATTTCTAAATAACGTTTAAAAATTGCTTAAATGGGCATGTGCGGGTATTTGATAACCGGAGCCGGCCGGCGCGCGGCGGGATCTTTTATTTTAGGTTATGTTTGAATTGTTTTGAAGTATTACTTTAGTTTTATTAGGTAATTTGATATTTAAGTAGCTGGGATTAGTTTTAATTAAATAAATATGGCCCAAAATATGGATTTCATCTCTTCCAATATTAAAGAACCTATAAAGAGGCTTAGGTTTACAGCAGATGACGACTTAGCCCTTCTAAGAGAATTTGTTGTTTGTTGCCCTAAACCTACTGGCAGACGTTGAACAATAAAGCACTGGAAATAAGCACTTTAGCCCTTTAGTTTTAAAATACCTAGTAAACAAAACAATTTCAAAGTTTTAAATTCAAAGTTAGGTTAAGTTTAAATAGCGGACGCGACGCGAACAGAATCCTTTCCGATCCGATAACTATAAATGAAGAGAGTTAATACTACCTCACGTAAAGGAAATAACACCTGGCCTTATTAATGTCCATGCACGCTATTCGGTTTAGCGATATCGCTCTATTACGTTGTTTATTGTTATTTTACGCGAGTTTATTTTTGCGCACAGGAAATTTTACTCGTTTGCACATCGTCATAAAAAACAATTTTCGTACCACGAATTAGGGACAAGATTTTTATCTGTATACTTCTAGGATACCTAATCTGTGGTGTTAGTTTATATGCATCCGCCATACGTCGTCCGTCCATTTAATTAAATCCCATTGGTTTCTTTAAAAATGATAGTTCATGCTTAAATATGATTGGAGTGACGGAATTCTTACGCATGACGAATGCACATACCCGCTAAACTAGCCAAGGAAAATCGCTGTAAATAATATATAAGGCGTTTTCCTTAGCAGAATGGTTAATAGGCCTATACATACCACTGCTACTGAGGGATCCATATTTAAAATATTCATTCTCGAGGCAAATCTACAGTGATAACTATAGTCTATTTCCTTTTCGTCGTCGCTCTCTTTATTGCCCACTGTGCCGGCTTTTTGTGTAGTGTGAGGATCTAAATAAATCACTTCGCTTCCTACATAGCCGATGAAATACAGGGCGACGTTCGGTTTGCCGCCTATCACACCAAGACTCTGTTTGAATTGGAAACATTTCTGGAAAAAAGGTATTATACAGGGATGTCCGACCTGTATTCCGGAAACTTCCGCCGCATATTCTGCAGATAAAAATAATATATGTCCTAAAACGCTTAGTTTTGGAGATATAGGGGGTGTAGAAGTATTATTTTTATTTTGATTTTTTCCAAATTATTTATGAAATAAAATCAATATATGGATTGAAAATGTATGCCAATGATGATTATGTATTGATAATTTCGATTCCAAATATCTCGAGAACCAATACTCGTAGCGATTTTTACCAAGAGACCTTTTTTACATCGTACGTAAAAAACGTCGCAAATGCATATTTTTTACTCAGTAGTTTTATACAGGGACGGACGAAAAGTTATTACTCTTCAAACCAGTTAAAAAATTAGTAGATGGCGCCCTCTGCAAGTAGGAGTTACATTGACATCAAAATCAAATTTCTCATGTCAAAAAACTCCAATTTTCATCCAAATATTGACGTTACTTCAGAGGTTATTTGGAAAAAATCGAAATAAAAGTGAAAGTTCTACACCCTGTATCTCCGAAACTAAGCATTTTAGGACATACATTGATACGAACTTTTTTACTTATTTTTATCTGCTGAATACGCTGCCGGAATACAGTTCGGAACATCCTGTATACAGGGTGATTTTTAACCTATACGCATAAACTTGGGAAATGATTGCTGATGATAAATAATGACTAATAATGAAAAAAAAGTTAGTAAAATATTTTTATTTACGGAGATAACAAACTATTTGAAATAAAAACAAAAAACGTATATTCCATTAAATTGAGTGTGCACTAAATATTTTTATTTACGGAGATAACTATTTGAAATAAAAACAAAAAACGTAAATTCCCTTAAATTGAATGTGCATTACTGATAAAGTTGATAAATTTTTGTGAAAAAAAACTCAAATTATTTCAGAATCTAAAAATATTTTACTAACATTTTTTTTCATTATTAGTCATTATTTGTCATCAGCAATAATTTCCCAAGTTTATGCGTATAGGTTAAAAATCACCCTGTATATTCAACAAACTAAGTTATTTGGAAGGATTATTAATAACTGGTAATTGTTAAGTTAAAAAGGCTGTAAATTATTTATATAAAATACAAATTTTGATTTAGTAATTCACATTGATTACCTTTAAGCCATCCGCGTAAATGCTATTTATTTCTGATAGCCCTAGTCTTAAAGGCACAATGAGTAGAAGGGGATTCCATTTTGTAGCTGTGATGTCGCTGGACGTATCATTTATACATAAATCTCCTACAATTAAAATCTGTTACAGGAATGAAAGAAAGATTTTTTTTAATGAAAACAAAAGAGAGAGAAAATACTATTAGTGTGGATTTGTTTACATGTATCCATCATGCGTCGACCATCTCCAATCAGATTTAAGTATGAGCCGTCGTCATTGAAATAAACCAATAAAATTGCATAAAATCATCAACGGACGACGTATGATGGATTCATGTAAACCCACAGCAAGGGAAGAGATAAAACATCTAAAAGTGGTTAGAAAAAAAAACAATTTTCTGAACTAAAATGACAGACTACAACTGTACTTTATTGGGATTAAAATGTACAGGGTGTTTCAAAAACATTCCTGATGAGAGATTCCTCGTCAAACTAAGATTTATTTTTCATATCAACATAGGTCCAATTCTGCTTTGTTTCATAGCTATAGGGTGTTAAAGTCTTAATAATCTTTCGATTCATTATAATTTTCGTAATTATAAGTACTTTTAGTGATTGAAATAAAATGTTGAGGGTAAAAGTTACGATAAATGCGACATATTTTAAAGTTAAAAAAGTCTCGACATATTCACCAGGCACGTGCATATGGGTTATCCCTGGAATATTTTTCTAAAAAAGCATGTACGCCACTGACTTTTGTTATCGGAATAGTGTAAGCAGTTTAATGCCGATGAAAAGTTGTCTCTTGATATTTTGTCGATTTCAGCCTCCTTGATGAGATAAACGCAATTTTGTTAATTTGCCTTGATCCAAGTTTAATACAGTACGTCTGTCCGTTCTGTAGCTACGGGGTATCCGTGAGAGGGGAAACGATATTCTCTCGATGTTTTTCGTAAAAAAATAGACGACGCGTCCCATCAATAAAAATTCAACAAATTTGCAAGTAGCCAATAAAATGAGTGGGCAGAGCGATTTGCGGTGACGCACTCTTCAAATCGACGTATAAAATATTTAGCTGTTTATTTAAATGTTTTTTGTCCGCATTCCTTTCATAGACACAGATCCAGCAGACGTACTGTACTTGGAAGTACAGGGTGTCCCACTAAGAATAGCTCTCGGCTGTATCTCGGAAAGTATTAGCCGTAGCGGCTGCGGAAAAAAATATTTATAACTAAAGAGGCTATGGGAAATTGCTGGAAATTATTTTCAAGTTTGTAGCACGACCGCTAGGTGGCGCAACTGCAACAAAAAATAAGAAAATGGAGTTTTTACAGATAGACTAGATAAGGTGTACTATAAGTAACAGCTTCATAATCATCAGTAAAATTTGAATATTTTTTGTTAGAGCCATTTTCCCCTATCGTGGTGGGGGAAGGTTAGATCTGTTTTTATTTGAATATTAATAACTCTGGACTGGATGATCGGAATCCAACAAGCGAGGGCTCGTTTAAAAGAGCGTCTCTTACTCTATATTGTACCATATAAACAATAATAATAAGCTTTTGAACGTAGACACTAGGGGGCGTTGCCTTAGAATTTAACAAACATTGCGCGTTTTTTTCAAAAAAATGTAATGCAATAGTATATGTAATTTTAGCTGATAGTAAAGAGTAGAAAAAGCTTAAAGTCAGCGAAAACCGCATCTTGATATCGTCTTTCAAACCGAAGATATTAGCATAATTATAATAAATACCAAAAAATAAGCCCTTAATTACCTTATTTTTACAACACGGTATCAGTAGCCCTCTTGATTATGCCCATTCTAACCTAAAAATAAGATAGCAACAGTTAGTTTATTTTAAAATCGACGATATACCAGAATATCATAATACCAGATATATTAATATCTAATAATTAAGATATTAATAACAGTGAACAAAAAACGATGAATCAGTGAAGTCATGGTAGGCTTTGGAAAAAAGTTGCTTTTGACGTAAATAATGCCTTTATTATTTGAAGTTGTTGGCATTTTGAAAAAGCCATCAAAAGATAAAAAAACGCTGCTAAGACTATCAAAATGTTGATCTAATAATAATTTGACATTTATACTATTACGCGAAAAGCAACTTTTTTCCAAAGCCTACCATGACTTCACTGAATCATCGTTTCTATTATTAATATCTTAATTATTAGATATTAATACAACTGGTATTATGGTATTCTGGTATTTCGTGGATTTTAAAATAAACTAACTGTTTCTATCTTATTTTTTTGTTAGAATAGACCTAATCAAGAGGGCGACTGATACTGTATTGTAAAAATAATGTAATTAAGGTCTTATTTTTTTGGTATTTATTATAATTTTCCTAATATCTTCGGTTTGAAAGAAGATATCAAGATACGGTTTTCGCTGACTTTTTAAGCTTTTACTACTCTTTACTACCAGCTAAAATAACACATACTATCGTATTTAATTTTTTTGAAAAAACGCGCTACGTTTGTTAAGTTGTAAGAAAGCGCCCCCTAGCGTCTACGTTCAAAACCTTATTATTATTATTTTTATGGTATAATAAAGAGTAAGAAGCGCTCTTTTAAACGAGCCCTCGTTTGTTGGATTCTGATCATCCAGTCCGGATTTATTAACATTTAAATAAAGATAGATCTAACCTTCCCCCACTACTTTATTTTAGCCGATAGGGGAAAATAGTTCTAACAAAAAAAAATTCAAAATTTACTGAAGATTATGAAGCTATTATTTACAGTATCTATTATCTAGGCAAAATTCTGTAAAAAATCTATTTTCTTATTTTCTATAGCAGTTGCGCCACCTAGCGGCCGTTTTACAAACTTGAAAATAATTTCCAGCAATTTCTCATAGCCCCTTTAGTTATAAATATTTTTTTCCGTAAGCCCTACGGCTAATACTTTCCGAGATACAGCCGAGAGCTATTCTTAGTGGGACACCCGGTACATTATAATAAATCTTTGACACTTTATAGCTACGAAACAAAGCAGAATCAGGCCTACGTTCATATGAAAAATAAACCTTATTTTTACGTTAGGAATCTCCCCACGAGAGATGGCACATGTTTTTTGAAACACCCTGTATAATACAGAGGGTCATTAGATAACATACATTATAAAGCAATAACACATATAAACGTACTAAAAATAAAGGAAACAACACTAGTTTGCATATTGCTGCTTAGTATTTAGCAACATTTATTTTTTACTTATTCCTTTCATGAAGAGTCCGACCAACCAATGCCGTCTCTAATAGAACAGCCTTGGGGCGAGATTTATGACGTCACGCTAGTTAGATACTACGGATTAATAAATATGTTGTAGAATACATGGAAAACATAATTATTCCTCAGATTTTTGGTTTGTATTTTAAAAATGATATAGTTTACATGAAATATACATAATATACAGTTAATAACGACAACATATATACCTATTTATATTAATAAATACTTTGGCAAATAAACTATGAACCATACAAATGCAGCAAATGTTTTACAATATACAAATAATGTATTACATAAGATATTGGGTAAAATGTAAATATATTTTAAATTTTGGGGTTTAAAAATCGATCTAATTTAACAAAAAAACATTCAATATCTACTAATAATGATGTATTATTATTTGCATTCACAAAATTTATATGTATTTTGGTAAAGTATCAATGTTCGAAAATTATATTTGGCTAAATAATACAATATCATCTAAAAAGGCGTCAGCGATGGCTATGAAATGAAGATCGCTGGCATTTTATATGTAAAAATATACATAACCTTAATACACATGGCATTCACATACTACTTATGTTAATTTTGGCAAATAAACTAAATGAACCATTTATTCATCTTATTTTTGTTAGCAATAGACCCCTAATCAAGAGGCGAAAGATATTGCATTAGTGTATAACAAAATTTTGTAATTTAGATCAGTCTTATTTTTTGAAGTATTTAATATATAATTTTGGTATATTCTACGTGTTGAAAGATATCAAGATATTTGCTTTTTAGTAATGTTGCTTCGAAAAATTATCTTTACTATAAGCTACAATAGCATGAAACATACAGGCGTCAGCGATTTTTATGAAAATGAAGCTACTCTAGTGTTCATTTTATTGAAATGCCCTTAAAGTGATTTCGGGAAAAACGCCGGTTTTTATTGTTTTATTTGGTATAATAGTTTACGTGAAGCGTTATCTTTATAGCCTTCATCAGTGTTGAATCATATGAAAATCCAGTCCGAATATAATCCAAAAAATTACATATAAAAATAACCTTCACACTACACTTTACTGCAATTAATAAATAATATAAACTTATCACAAAGATGACCACATATTTTTTAGAATTATTATTCTTAACACTAAAACTATCTACATTGACTATGGAGTACGCAGTAAACATTATGTGGTGCGTGGTGTAAATATTTTATATGTAATTTTTTTATTCGACACTATTTTTTTCATATGACACAACACTGATGAAGGCTATAATGTTAGCCAAAACGTTTTTTTTAAACCAAATAAAAACAATGAAAACTTAATCAGCGTTTTTCCCGAACCTAAATCCCAAGAAAATCAAAAAATTTAGAATATTTAGAAACAAGGTTCAAGAATATCAAATTTTCCAAGATTGTAAAAATCTAGTTAATTATTTTATGTGTACAATTATTTAGGGAATGTCATCGATGTTCATTTCCAAGCCAACTAGACGCCGATTTTTTTCGATGATACGGTATAATTCTTACATAAAATGTAAATAACATTCGACCAATTAAAACAAAGAAATATGAATTTCATAGTATTTTTAGTCACACCTTTATTCTTAAAACTTAATTTTGTATTGCAAATATAACAATTTTATTCATATTGTATTCAGCCATCACTTAAATATTTGATATTAATATGGTATTATAAATAATCAACACTATTCAGTAAAAATTACTGAACAAATATATGTTATGCTTTACATACATTATATTATCAAACAAAAACACATTCTTCTTTTAAACTTTATCATTCTTGTCTTTACAAAAATCTTTTTTTTAATTTTGAACTCAAAATAATAATCTTTTTCATGATCTTTAATACACATATTCTTTATTTTTCCCTAGATCATAATACCTACTTACGTGTTTATCTTACGATGTTTGAATCTATGAACTGAACCAACAACTTGGAGTGGAGATTCCACAATATGAATAAAATAAACATAATTGTCCAGTTTTCTTTAATACCATCTGGAGAATATTATTTTTAAATTTATTAAAGATATTTTCAATAGAATTGTCTTGATTTATAACTTCGTACCCACTTTTCTTGCTCTTCCAGATAACTTTAGGCTGCCTAGTATAACTATCCTTTCCACCAGGAACACAACAAAGATGAGGCATAGCACCAAAAACACACTCCACTTAAGCTTTATTGATGAATTGTTAGAGTCTTAAAAAACACACACAAAAATCACGATAAATAAAAAAATTATGGGCACTTTTAGGTTAAAGCACTTAACAAAACGTGTAATATTTCGTGTTTTTTTATGAGAAACAGAGTGGCCATCATAGTGACCATATATCTGGTAGTACTTTATGTCACTTAAACGCCAAAATAATTAGTTTTTTGCACTATAATAACAAATAATACCAAAAATCAACCGACAAAATATGAATACAGAATCTAACCCAATATCTAAGTATGTACAGCTGATGAAGTAAACAAAAGTCCACCCGTGGGCTGATCTTTTATAGAGGGCATTGGACCAACAAGAAATACATGACAGTGGCATTTGTCTGTCATTTTAATTTACAGTCAGAATTGTATGTAGGTATTTGCTGTCAAAATGTTCCCTAACTCAGACTACTCTGAGAGACTTTAAGCAGAAGCATTTTCTTGGTAGTACAATTCATGTGGTTTATTGTACTGCCAAAGTACATTAATCGAATTGATATAAATACTTACTTATTTCACTTATAATGACTAAATTATCTAAAGCTACATGTATCACGAGGGAATTGCCATGGTCAAATTTTATTAACTTCCTAAAACAAAGTTCTTATATAATATATACATTATTTTACTTTTCTTTTGCTTTATAAGTAAAAAAATATTTAGAAAGTGATCCGCTAAAAAATAATATAAATAATGATTTACGTTTTCAGTTACATACTTTAAAACTTGTGCCACTGTGTTAGGTCCAAACCACTGTCCTATATCTTTTCCTTCTGACACACCCATACTAGCAATTTGGTGAATTGAAAATGGTGCTTTCCTATTATCTTCAAACTTTCTTAAGATTTCAAGGTAGGTTTTATCTCTGCTATCTGGCTCCCACAACCAATCTCGACCTAATAATATTCAAGTTTTGTTACTACTGTTCAGTTTAAGGATTGGAAAGAACATTTCTACATACCTAAATGTAAAGATATGAGGGCTTGTCCTAAAACCATTTGACCACATCTTAGCATACATCCCCAGCCTTTATCTGATATTCTACCATCACTGCCTCCAATAGGAACAAAATCTCTTCTATACGTAAACCATAATTTTGAAACAATGTCTTGTCTAATTGCATTTAATTCTAGAATCAATAATAAAAATAAAAAAATATTTGGAGACGCATAACTCTTGAGTTATATAATATAAATTGGGTCAATTTAAAGATAATATAATCTCTCTAAATGTAAATATTATGTCTGTTTTCTGATATCTCTTTGTTAATATCAAAAAATGCTAGTCTCAGAAAAAGATAGATCCTCTAGTATACACATAAACAAATATTTTATTTATAACAAAAAACAGAAACTTTAACGATTTTTTATTGCTTTACCTTGAATTGCTTTGTATTTTTTCCCTAAAATCCAAACGGGATCCGCCGTTTGTGGGATATCGTCAGGTTCTCCAGTCACTTCCCGGCGAACTTCGAACATACAATCCATTATGTCTCTGGTAGCATTACACATTTTCTTTTCAACTTCTACTCATTTGATTTAAAAGTCCGGTTTAAGAAGATAACATTTTCGCAACGCAGAATTGTTTATACAAAATCATATGTTAAATCCAATTTGACAGGTAACAGCTGATAATCATAACCACAAAATGTCAATGAGAATTTTTAATATTTTAACTTATGGTAGCAATGGGATTTATATTGGGATTTATATATAAACCAGTGCCTTCTATTAAAAGATCAGCCTACGGGCGGACTTGTGTTTACTTCATCAGCTGTACATACTTAGATATTGGGTTAGATTCCGTTTCATATTTTGTCTGTTGATTTTTGGTTTTAACTCTTTGATTTTTGGTATTATTTATTATTGTAGTGCAAAAAACTAATTATTTTGGTGTTGAAGTGACATAAACTACTACCAGATATATGGTCACTCTCGGTTTCGCATAAAAAAATAGAAATTTTAAAAATTACACGTTGTGTAAGTGATTTAACCTAAAAGTGCCCATACATTTTTTACTCATCGTGATTTTTGTGTGTGTTTTTTAAGACTCTAACAATTCATCAATAAAGCTTAAGTGGAGTGTGTTTTTGGTGCTATGCCTCATCTTTGTTGTGTTCCTGGTGGAAAGGATAGTTATACTAGGCAGCCTAAAGTGTCCGGAAGAGCAAGAAAAATGGGTACGAGTTATAAATCAAGAGAATTCTATTGAAAATATCTTTAATAAATTTAAAAATAATATTCTCATATGATGGTATTAATGAAAACTGGACAATTATGTTTATTTTATTCATATTGTGGAATCTCCATTCCAAGTGTTGTTGGTGCAGCTTTGATAGATTCAAACACGTAAGATAAACATGTCAGTAGGTATTATGATCTAGGGAAAAATAAAGAATATGTGTATTAAAGATCATGAAAAAGATTATTATTTTGAGTTCAAATTTTAAAAAAGATTTTTCTAAAGACAAGACTGATACAGTTTAAAAGAAGAATGTGTTTTTGTTTGATAATATATAATGTATGTCAAGCATAACATATATTTGTTCAGTAATTTTTAATGAATAGTGTTGATTATTTATAATACCAAATAAATATCAAATATTTTAAGTGATGGCTGAATACAATGTGAATAAAATAACAATAAAATTGGTATATTTGCATAATACAAAATTAAGTTTTAAGTATAAAGGTGTTACTAAAAATACTAAGAAATTCATATTTCTTTGTTTTAATTGGTCTAATGTTATTTACATTTTACGTAAGAATTATACCGTATCATCGAAAAAAATCGGCGTCTAGTTGGCTTGGAAATGAACATTGATGACATTCCCTAAATACTGTACACATAAAATAATTAACTAGAATTTTACAATCTTGGAAAATTTGATATTCTTGAACCTTGATTCTAAATATTCTAAATTTTTTGATTTTCTTGGAATTTAGGTTCGGGAAAAACGCTGATTAATTTTTCATTTGGTTTTTCATTATTTTTATTTGGTTTAAAAAAAAACAGTTCGGCTAGCATAGCCTCCATCAGTGTTGTGTCATATGAAAAAAATAGTGTCGAATATAATCCAAAAAATTGCATATAAAATATTCACACCACGCACATAATGTTTACTGCGTACTCCATAGTCAATGTAGATAATTTTAGTGTTAAGAATAATAATTTTAAAAAATATGTGGTCATCTTTTGATAAGTTTATATTAGTTTATTAATTGCAGTAAACATTATGAGGTGTGAATTATATTGTATATGTAATTTTTGGATTATATTCGACACTATTTTTCTCATATGACACAACTGTGAAGGCTATAGTTAGCCGAAACGTTTTTTTTAAACCAAATAAAAATAATGAAAACCCAAATGAAAACTTAATCAGCGTTTTTCCCGAACCTAAAAATCCCAAGAAAATCAAAAATTTTAGAATAATTTAACATATAAAATGCCAGCGATCTTCAGTTCATAGCCATCGCTGACGCCTTTTTTTAGATAATATTGTATTATTTGTAAATATAATTTTTCGAACATTGCTACTTGCAAAATATACATATAAATTTTGTGAATGCAAATAATAATACATCACTATTAGTAGATATCAAATGTTTTTTGTTAAATTAGATCGATTTTCAAACCCCAAAATTTAAAATATATTTACATTTTACCCATTATCTTATGTACCTATACATTATTTGTACATTGTAAAACATTTGCTGCATTTGTATGGTTCATAGTTTATTTGCCAAAGTATTTATTACTATAAATAGGTATATATGTTGTAGTTATTAACTGTATATTATGTATATTTCATTTAAACTATATCATTTTTAAAATACAAACCAAAAATCTGAGGAATAATTATGTTTTCCATGTATTCTACAACATATTTATTAATCCGTTATATCTAACTAGCGTGACGTCATAAATCTCGCCCGTAGGCTGATCTTTTAATAGAAGGCACTGTATAAACTTGAATATAGTAGTCATTGAATATAGTACTATTCTTTTAAAAGTTCCTCAATATGGCCGACCTAGTTACGAAAATTGGTAATTTTTTTTTAATGAAAAATAAGTTGGCGTTAACGAATTCAGAAATTGATTTACTCTTTGGTTAACAATAATATTTTTCTGGATTGTCAAGTTGACGTTAAAGTTAGGTTATTATGTGGTTGTCATAAATAAAAACATAGATTATTGAAATTATTTAATAAGAATAAAGGTATTTTACCCCAGATCCGAAGAGATTTTACTTAAAGGTATTTTATAAACTTTCTCAGTGAGAATATTAACTCCCCTGTTTCTTATATTTAAGTTAAAGGGACGTAAGGACTATAGGAAGTAAATTTTTGTTTTCATATTGTCATGTTTTGACGATATCTGAGAGTTCCTAGAATTATCAAGATTATTGAATAATTATAGTTGTTTAATAAGTGAAATTAATAGAAGACTTTATAATAGAAGAAATCACCCCATTTCTCTTAATTTGTTTCTTTTTCAGTACAGTTAATCACAAATTGATGTGTGCAAAAACAGCTATATATTTTCAAACATCTTATTTAAATAGTTCTTTTATATAATGTTAAACTGTATCAATTACAAAGTATTTAGCAATATAAGGTAATAAATTTTGTATATATAATTTATGAAAATTTATAATATATAAAGATTAGAACACAATCCTCTGAAGGAAAAAGAAATACTCAAAAACTCATTAAATATACTTTATTAAAAATAACAAGATACAAAAACATCCATGCAAACTGTAATAATCAGAACATTATCCACATTATACCTTTATTAAATTTGTGTCCACACTCCTGTCAGGAAAGCCAGAAATGTTTGTTTAAATATTAACTTATTTTAAATTGCCAGAAACACATCAGAATATATCACAACCACAACTATAGGTTAATCAGTACTAAATTGTATACCTAGTAAATGATGCGTTAACTAACAAGTATAGGATAAAAACAATTATTAATATAGAGTGTACTATAAAATGTCCTGCTTATTTATGAAATGACTTTCCCTTCAAATGTGAGGAATACCAGTAAAATAAAACATAATTTTTGGTTTGGTTTGGTGTTTGATATTCTAACTACATCTATTACAAACCTTTAGTGCTTTTAGTGAGTAATTGTATTTTTTATTATTCTTTGTGTATCCTGTAAAGTAAAAAAATATATATTTCAAGAAATATAAAAACAATGCAATAGATATCAAACAGATTCATAAAAACTACTTACAATTATTGTACATAATTATATATTTCAAGTGTTATTTGATGTTTGGTCCCATTACCAACATTACCTTATTTAGGTCTTCTCTACTAACTCAACTTTTAAACCTGTTTTAAATCTTCTTTATATTTTAAAACTGATTTACAACAATCTGTAATGCCCGCGCTGTTTCCTAAAATATAAGTTTTAATCTATTTATTATCGTATAGTACATATTACAAACCTGAAAATTACTGATACGAGGAAACTTCTCAAAATAATTAGAGACCTTTTACAAACATCTGAACTAATTTATTTTCACGAATTTGTAAACGAGTCAATGTTTTCTAATACGTTTTTAAGCGTTTTACACATTTTGAATATCTTCCAGCTTGCTTCCAGCCTATTCGTCAACTCTTGATCGGTGAAAATATTATTTATAACTATATAATTAGTACTGCAGGTTGCAGGTTAAATAAAAGAACAAAATCAAGTAGAATTTGTGAATAAAAACTAAAAAAATAATGAAAATATTTAGAAAAAGGAACCGTAAACGTCAATGCCAGCAGATGTCAGCCAAGTGTCAGAGTTCAATTGGATTTACCACAGATTATCAATGTGAACGATTTGAAGTACAGTCGATTCCAGTTTAGAGATTTTCGTTTTTTAAGCATCCCATACTGAAGTCCGCCATATTGGGAAGTTTTAAATGAATACAAGTATACCTGCAGAAAATAATTAATAATGCAATATAAATATAATTTTTAATAAACGCAATGCAAATTTTCTAAAGCATTTGTTTAAAAATTTAATTGAAAATTGTAGTAGATTTTATTTATCATTTAAATTAGATTATATATGATACTAATATTTTCTGTTCGTTATGTTGGTTGCCTTTGCTTTCAGCTGTCGAACAATAAATGTCAGTGAAACGTCAATGTCAGAAAAGCTTTATTATTTGTGAACTTTGCAAGTTGTTTTAATATTTATATTAATTTTTGTATTATAATAATATAGGACATACTAGAATATAGTTTTTTGTGTTATATAAAGAAGCAGACTAATTTCAAGTTAATAAAAAATGACAACAGCTGCCCGACCAACTTTTGAACCCGCTCGAGGTGGTTCTGGAAGGAATGAGAAAGATCTTAGTGCTATTTCTAGACAGTACTCAAGTAGAGATTTACCAGGCCATACTAAATTGAAATATCGGTAAGTAACGTACAACCCTTGGCTACAACTTATTCTTTTTGTGTATTTTATATTAAATCTATCATTTGAAATTTATAGCGAACATGGGCAAGGAACTCAAGATGAAGCTCGTTCCAGGGATTTCCGTCGTGAACTTGAAGAGAGGGAAAAAGAGAAGCGTTTGGGAGGTTCTAGAACAGATCATAGCAGCAGTAAAAGATTGAAACTCGATCAGGTATGTTTGAATTTACCTGTCTTAAAGCAAAAAGCAATTTTTTATTTCTTGTTAACTAGGTACCTGCAGCTAGTTTAGACGCTGATGATCCAGTTGATCATGATGAGGATTCTGACTCTAGCGATGATGAAGATGATACCGAAGCACTTTTGGCAGAATTAAATAAAATTAAAAAAGAGAGAGCGTTAGGTATTGTATAAATTATTAATGTAAATAAAGTTTTAATATGTTATTTGCTTGTAGAACAAACCAAAAAGGAAATCGAAAGGCGACAAGAGGAGGAGAGAATAAGAATGGAGAACATCTTAAGTGGAAATCCCCTTTTAACACATTATTCTGCCGGTTCTGGAAAAATGGACCACAAAGTTAAAAGGAGATGGGATGATGATGTAGTATTTAAAAATTGTGCAAAATCTGAACCTGAAAAAAAAGCTACTGTGTTTATAAATGATTCACTTCGGTCAGAGTTTCATAAAAAGTTTATGGAGAAATATGTAAAATAATGATTTTTTATTGTTAAGGAATGTTTAATAGGTAAATTGATATTTGTAAAAAATAAACATCAATTTTGATATTTATTCCTAGTTTGTCACAATTTCTCAACTTTGCATGATGGTCCACACTAATTCCGAATTAATCATATTGATTGTACATTTTTTCCATAATATATTTGTAATAGAAGTGAAAAAATATTTTTTTATAGTTTTAAAAAATATATTAGGTATGTAATTATTAAATTGTAATACCTACAGCAAAAACCAAAAAAATTGTCTGCGTGTCACCACCTTAATAGTAAAATCTATATTTGCAATATTTCGACCCATATACCTATATACCCTAATAATTAAATGAAAAAGTATGGGAGACGAAATTTTTTACAGTTAAGTCCAAGGTCAAACTGCCAAAAATAGCTAACTGAAAAGAGGCAGTTTAGATAGCTTTGGCTGTTAGTATTAGAATCAAAATTGTATAAGCAAAATGAAATTTAAAGGCTAAACTTTTTTTAATGATAAACTAACATAGGGGTTGGCCCCCTAAAATTTTTGATTGATTTTATTTGTAAAGGCAGGGAAAGACCACCATGACGCCGTTTTTTCTTTAATTTTACAGGGTAGTCCGAACTGTATTCCGGAAACTTCGGCAGCATATTCTGCAGATAAGAATAAGTAAAAAAGTTCGTATAAATATATGTCCTAAAATGCTTAATTTCGGATATACAGGATACAGGGTGTAGAAGTTTCTTTTTTATTGCGATTTTTTTCAAATAATTTCTGAACTAACGTCAATATTTGGATGAAAATTGGTGTCTGGGAGTTTTTTTGACATGAGAAATTTGTTTTTGATGTCAATATGACTCCTACTAGTAGAGGGCGTCATTTACGTATTTTTTAACAGGTTTGAAGAGTAATGACTTTTCGTCCGTACCTGTATAACACTACTGAGTAAAAAAATATACATTTACGACGTTTTTTATGTAAAAAAATGTTTCTTGGTAAAAATTGCTACCGGTAATTGTTTTCGAGATATTTGGAATCGAAATTATCAATACATGTCATCATTGACATAAATTAAACATGTTGACTAAATAGTTACTAGACTTCATAAATTTGAAAGTTTTTGTGCCAAAAGTTCAACAGAAACTGTTTTATCATCAATTTTTTGCAGAAGAATTTATGATTTCCAAAATTTCCCAAATTTATTATTTCAGTGAAATAACTATATATCTACTCAACGTGTTTATTTTTCGTCAATAATGACATGTATTGACTATTTCCATTCTAAATATCTTGAGAACGGTTGCTCGTAGCAATTTTTACAAAGAGATATTTTTTACGTAAAAAGTAACAGAGATGTATATTTTTTCCCTTGGTAGTTTTATACAGGTACAGACAAAAAATTATTATTCCACTTCAAAACAGTTAAAACACATGTAGGTGGCGCCCTCTACCAGTAGGAGTCATATTTACATCAAAATCAAATTTCTCATGCCAAAAAACTCCTAAACATCAAATTTCATCCAAATATTGACGTTACTTCAGAAGTTATATGGAAAAAATCTAAATAAAAGTGAAACTTCTACACCCTGTATCTCCGAAACTAAGCATTTTAGGACATACATTTATACGAACTTTTTTAAATATTTTTATCTGCAGAATATGCTGCCGAAGTTTCCGGAATACAGTTCGGACCACCCTGTATATGGTATTTTTCAATATACAGAGAGCTATTCAGATATCTTTTGCACTAAAGTTGATACTTTTTTAAACAACGAATTACCCAGATACCACGATTGCGAATTACCCATTTTTCAAACGAATTTCAGGGGCGCCAAACCTCTCCCGTATATGGGGATAATTACCCTTCCCAGGAAGAACTTTATAAAGGAGTTAAAAAGTAGTATAACATAAAATTGCCACAAAAAAATGTAATAATACCAATCAAAAAAAAAATCCACACCAATACATGTGTATTTTTTTCAGTCACAATTCACAATACCTTACTTAAATACTGCTACTACCCCTCCCAGATTCAATCTATAGATGCGCCACTGTATTTTCCAGTACAAAAAAACCGCCAGAAATGTATTAACACAATCTAAAATCCCGTCTACACATAAAGGTTTACCTGTCAGGTAAGAAGGATTAAATATTATTGAGCTCCTAAATCACAATAATATTACCACTAACAATGACACTTTTATTTTTTAGCCGACCATACCAACAGGTATGGTAGGCTATTAAGATCGGCAAAAAAAAAGTTTTTTTAATTTCACTCAAAATGAGTTATTTGGGTCATAAATGACCTAAATACAAAATATTTTCATGGTGTCTGTCTGTCTGTCCGTCTGTAACACGATAACTCAAAAACCGCTAAACCGATTTTAACCAAATTTGGCACAAAAATACTGTGGCACCCGAGAATCTGGCCATTAGTTTTTGGTGGGGATGGGGGGTTGGTAAGGTGTGGGAGGGGGTTAAAAATTTTAAAAAATCGTAACTCCAAAATTACAGTCGCTAAAATTTGTAATAACATCAAAATCAGTCAAAGTCGCAGTTTTTGAGATAAAAAAAATTGGAAAAATTCCTTTACTTTGAAACAAAAAGAACTGCCTACCAACTTTTATTAACATATTTTAGTATGGGCGGCTATACGTGCCTCTCGGCGCCCATTTTTTAAATAACTTTTGAGATCATTTCAATTTTAATGTCGCAGTTTGAAAAATTCACTACGGTAATTGATTTCACAAACTTCATTTCCAGTAGTCTTTTGAATTTTATTTTGATTTCTGCTCGTGGAGCTATCGGGTTCTTGTTCTTCACTTAAAACTATTTTCCGGAAGGTTGCTGCAAGGTATCCAGTACTGGTACTTGGTTTATCTCCCAGGATTTGACAAATTTTTACAAAAATTTACAATTTTTTTCTCTTTAGTTAAAGTCGTAATTGATAATGTCAAAGTGTTTTCTGCATTAGTGCAAAAAATAATAGCCTTGAGCTGACGAAATATTTAGAGAACATATTTTAGGCAAGCTAGAATAACTAAAAATGTATAGTTTATTAACTGGTGAACCCAGAATCCTAAGTTTGGCTGGGGGGTTGGGGGTATTTAGCTACTGCGCAACCCATAACATTTGCAAAAAAATAAATCCAAAAAACATTCTTTAGGCAACTTGAAATTTGTTTATTCTTAAATTTTAGCATCTATTTAACCTAGAAATAAGTATGCCAGACTTTTTTTTCGGGTTTAAAGTGTAACCAGACCATTCCAAATATGTTAAATTATTTTACCTGGAAAACATACTTTAGACATTCTAAAATTTTTACAGCGTGTTTATTAGATGATATTAAAAAATATGTGTTAATTGCCAGACGAATTCAATGGGATTTAATACTTGCCAGACGCGAATAAAGATTTTAAATGAGCGCGATAAGAAAGTCTTATGAGTATCAACAAGCGCGAGAAAGATAGTTTATTGAGACCCGGTCGGCAGCCGATGCGGCTGACGTAGCAGCATTTTGGAGTCGTAAAAACTTAAAAAAAACTAACTAATATTGAATAAATAAAAAGAAACATTTTTAATAAAAATGTATGATTGAAATCCTTTCAATAAGAAGACTTTTTAATTTAAGTATTTCGTATCTGAAAGAATAAAATGACGAATAATTATTTAAAAATTAGTATAATATAAAATATATTTTTTCAAACGTCACAAAAGTATAATTATTATTATACTTTTGTGACATATTATATTATTATTATTTTTTGCGACCTGATTGACAATATAAAAAAGTCATTTTAACGCCTAAGCATAAAAGTAAAGCACTTATACTTACTTTTGAATCTATTTAGAAAGATTAACAATGGTAGGTACTTTAATAAAATTCCAGAATACTTATTTTTTTAGCACTGTACATGGTACCCTTTTGTCGGGACTACGTTTTCTGGTAAAACCATTTCTTTAAATTTTAAACCCTGTTGTTGGCGCAATTTGCAAAAACAATAACTTTGTCACTAGTAACTTTTTTACAAACTACACAACTTAAATGTTTTTTATCCATTGTGATTTAGTAGTTAGTAGCGAAATTAGTAGTCACTAAAATATGTATTTGCAGTAATTATTCTAAACTATTTACACTATTCACGTCAATATTTAATTTATAAATACATATTTGTACATGGTAACTTAATTCCAACAAAATAATCTCTGAATTAAAAGCCTGCAAATAATTGAAATGAAACCGAAAAAAAATTGTTTTTATGAAAATTTGAAGTACATACTCCAAAATACTGTTACGTCAGCCGCATCGGCTGCCGACGCGCGACGGGTCTCAATAAACTATCTTTCTCGCGCTTATAGATACTAATAAGACTTTTTTGTCGCGCTCATTTAAAATCTTTATTCGCGTCTGGCAAGTATTAAATTCCATTGAATTCGTCTGGCAATTAACACATATTTTTTAATATCATTTAATAAACACGCTGTAAAAATTTTAGAATGCCTAAAGTATGTTTTTCAGGTATAATAATTAAACATATTTGGAATGGTCTGGTTACACTTTAAACCCGAAAAAAAGTCTGGCACACTTATTTCTAGGTTAAATAGATGCTAAAATTTAAGAATAAACAAATTTCAAGTTGCCTAAAGAATGTTTTTTGGATTTATTTTTTTGCAAATGTTATGGGTTGCGCAGTAGCGAAATACCCCCAACCCCCCAGCCAGACTTAGGATTCTGGGTTCACAAGTTATTAAACTTTATTTTTTTTTGTTATTCCAACTTGCCTAAAATATGTTCTCTAAATATGTCGCCAGCTTTCTGGCTATAAGAAAAGATTGGACTTTTAATACAGTAGATGGTGTAAAAAATAGCTATTTTCTGCACGATCGTAGAAAAAAATATTTTTGCTGTCTATGGAGTTATATGGTATGGCGCCTCTCTGCAATAATATCTTCAGTGTTGTAAATTCTGAAACTTTCTAAATGTGTATGTTTTACAAAGTATGTATACCTACTATGCTTCCTTAAGAAATAATATCTTTTCTAAGATTTATGTGATTTAGGGGCGGAAAAGCGGATAATCCTACCTCAAACTTATATTGTTAGTTCTGGACAGCCACTACAGGGTTTAAGTGACCGTAAAGAATTTGAAGATATTTGAAGTACCGACTTCCTGGTCAATTAAACCAATCTTTACCTGGACCATCCTTTTTCAGTCGAGATTTTTATTCTTTACTGCTTTTTTTCCCAAAACTAATCGGCGAGAAGTTACAGATCAGAACAAAAATCTTACAAATCAGTAGTGGTTCGTTTTTAAATTATAGTCCAAAGAAGTACTGTCTACTGATAATCCAATAACACTACTTATTAAATAACTTCTTTAACACTAACGCCAAGAAGCTTTGTTACTTATACTTGCCAAGTACGCAAATATTGGCGTACTTGCCAAGTACACGAGTCGTCAGAATCCGCTTTAATGTATGAGTGTCTCTAATACTTTAATGTCCATAAAGCCTGTTATTTTAGGCTGTCGGATTCTTAAATATAAAAGAGTTTAATTTAGAAATAGTAGTTTTATCCATCTTCTTCTTTAATTCTTTAAGGTCAATTTTGTGCATTCCCTAATGTAGGTACTGCCACTGGTCCTTATATAAGTTTTTATTTACGTTGGCGCCACTAGTGTTTGTTCAAAGCTGACGGAAATCATAAACAGGTAACACTGGGTAAAACTTTATGGTCAAAAATCAGCTTTTAAGGTAGACATTTAGGCCACAATAGGATTAAGAAATTTTGAACAAGGAGGCCGACAAGTACTTGAAACAGGAAGTCAGGTACAAAATAGCATGGATATTCAATATCCCTGTCTTTAAGATTTTTTGGTTTCTACATGTAATAATCTGGGCAGGTATAAGAAAAATGAAATACATAAACTTTGTAAATATGCGTTCACATAATTGTGCTTTTATGTTTTATTATATAGTACAATGGATTTAAATTTTGATAGAAAAGCTTTCCTAGAACTCCTAGAAGAAGATAAACAGTTAACTGGTAATTAAATAAGAAATCACTTAGTACTCTCATTTAATCTTAGAGTTTATTTCACTAGTCCGAAAAAGTAGGAACAAAAAAAGCTTTCGGCATTTATCCTTTTATGTAAAAGTGTCTAGGTATTTTTACACAAATGAAGAAGGAAATTAGAGATAAAGGATTATACTATGTCCGTATTGTAGAACATTTTTAGACAACTTCTTTATTTTTAAGATTTTGATGGTCAAACATGTACAAAATATTCCTTATGTTTGAACTAAATTTTTTCGAAAATAAAGACATAATTTAAAATTCCGTTACAATACGGAAATAAATTGAAGATTTGTGATTACAATGATATATAATTTATATGGTTTTGTAACAAATTGCTTGCTCTTTTATGACAAATGCTGAAGCTCGGTAAACCTTAATCAAAGCACGTGTGTTTGGATTTTTGGATGTGGTTTAACACAACAGGATCCGGCTAAGCCTAAGCCCACGGCCACACAGAAAGCGTTTTTTGCGTTTTTAGCGTGAAGCGTCTTTAGCGACTAAAATAAAATAACAGGATTATATAGGAGTGGCTACACCAAAATCGTGTAGCGTTCGGCGTGTCTCGCAAAAGACGCAAATGAAAACAAATCAGTTTGTTTTCTGTAGCGTCTTTACCGTTTTCTAAGATGAGACCCCGTCATAGGTGGACGTTATATTTAATAATAATACAATAAAAAGAAATTAAATAGTATACATTTTTTTCATTTTAGGATATTATCTAAAAATATTTTTATAAAGAACATCTACTGTTTAGGAAGATCATATTAAATTCAAAAATTTGAAGGAAATGTTTGAAAAAGTGTAGTTTGAAATGTTGAAAGAGTAATAAATTAAAGGAATATTTTCTGACGCGTAAAAAATAGTTTTGATGTGTAAAAAGTGTTTTTTTCTGCGTAAAATTTTTTTTTAACGTTTTTGACGCGTAAAAAATACTTTTTTACGTGTAACAAATAGTTTTTTACACGTAAAAAATATTTTTTTTTTGCGTAAGAAAGGTTTTCTACCAGAAACAAGTTTTTGACGCGTAAAAAAATAATTTTTTACGTGTAACAAATAGTTTTATACGCGTAAAAAATAGATTTTAACCAGTAACAAATAGTTTTATACGCGTAAAAAATAGTTTTCTACCAGTAACAAATAGTTTTATACGCGTGAAAAATAGTTTTTTACGTGTTACAGTTTTATTCGCGTAAAATAATAACTATAGTTTTTTACGTGTAACAAATGTTTTTTTACACGTAATAATTTGATTCGCTTTTACAAAATTTGTATTAAAATATCAATATTTTTGATAAACACGTGGACTGCTCACAAATATACGTCGCGTCACTACGTATTTCTAAGCCGTTAACACGTTTCGTTACAACGTGCTCGTGTGTCAGGGCCGACTCACTAGCTCGTATGTCACGGCCTTAAATTTTTACTCCCAGAGCGCGTAAGAAAGTTTCACTCTAAAAAGTTTCATAAACCATGTCGTAAAATTGCGTTAGCAACTATAGTAATATTTACTATTCTACTATATAATTATAATAATTATTTATTACATTATATTATAATTATAACAAGTAACCCCAACACTACAACATAAAAAAACTATACACTACACATATAAACTAAAATTCGTAAAATAAATGGTAAATAATAATTATTATTTTTACACACACCACTGGCACTAGCAGTAGATTGTGTTTGTTTACGAATATATGCCCCGGCCCGTCCACAATTCAAACCCAGCATCTTTTATCTTCGTCTCTTCAACGCTAACGGCGCCGATCTCGCCTATCTCTTTCTCACAGGATTGATTGTTGGACGGGCCGGGAATCCACGAGCTTGCGACGTTACTAATTGACATCTTGATAGAAACTGTAGACCAAATACGTTTAAATAAAATATACGACGGCCTCCCCATAAGAGCAATAAGAGGATTTACGTCGCAGTATTGAAGGAGGACAGAAAATCGAGTCGAATGTTCAAGACATAGGTTCATCCTTGTTTAGTCAAACCTCCTACAAACCAAGGATAGACTTATGTAGGAAATGCATTGAAATTCTATAGCCATCCTTCAATATCGGGACAGGAATTTAAGCGGTACCCTCCATATACTTTATTTTAAACGTATTTGCTGTAGACCTGCCGCGTCTTTTGCGTGTTTTTAATGGACACAAATCGAAAAAAGCGCTTAAAACGGTAAAATCGCAAAAATCGCTTGAGACGCAAAAAACGCAAAACGCTAAAAACGCTTTCTGTGTGGCCGTGGGCTTAGGCAGATTTCTAAAATATAATATATATTTCCTTCGGCCAAATACTCGCTTTACCCCTGAGAGCGACCCGAACAATACAGCGTAATAGACTCTTAAGTATATTTGGGGAGCCTAGGCGGATATTTTAGGATTAGTCAAGCGCGAAAGAATAATATAAGGGGAGAAACCTTGCATCCTGTTAAGTAGTATCGCTTTTGTAAGATATTTGTTGACTTGTCGAGATATATCATTGTAACACCTTTCAAATTATGAGAAAACCCTCACGAGCCGCTACTGTCACTGCTTCTTGCGCTTACCGTATTACAGGTGCATTAAGTAAGTACCTGACCATCAACCAACGGAAGGTGGGGCGACGGCAACAAACACACACAGACCTGGCTCTCCTCCGGACCGGTTTCTACTTTTCTACGACAGACTTGGTTTCGCCGCTGCCGAGACCGGTACCGCCTAGATCTGAGCAGTTCCATTGGCATGTCCTGCGAACTAAAGTACTCTCTCGCAATTAAAAAATACCGAGACGTCGGCGCGCGTGTGGGCGGCGTTCCAATCGACTTATTCCGTTGTTTACAAAAAAGCGCGTACTAGTTAGTGCGGAAAAACATGCGGCTGGTGGTACCTTTGGTGGTGGCCGCGGTCCTCTTGGTCTTGGAGCTGTCGGAGGTGTCCTGCGGGGCACCCAAGGCCGCCATTTACGTGGACAACGGCCGCGGACAGACGGCGATTGATAGGATGATGTCCACGGACGAGAAAAGGGAAATAGAATTGGAATTTTTGAATTTGTTGGGTGAGTTTTGAAGAAAGATTCGGTAATTTTGTGTAGGGGAAATTCGGGCTTTAAAGTCCTGCAACTATTTTAAAACTACTACTAAACTCTAACATCTAAGAAGAGTACGAAACGATTTTTCTCTACGAAAAAATTGACATGGTTGTTTAGATTATTAATAAGATGAGAAGGCCACTGACTGTAACGAATAATAGTTATTTTTTATATAAGACGATAAAATGGTATTTTATCGTCGACCGAAAAGATTAATTCACGAGCGATGAAATCGCGAGTGAATTAATTTCGGTAGACGATAATGCAATTTTATCGTCGTGTATAAAACAATATTTTTTTCCATAGCGAATTACGGTTTAAAAATTATTATTTCAAGGAATTTATTACGAGTAGAAAAAATAAGATTGTGCTGGGTTGGCGTTGGTGTCTATGTAAATTGACAAATAAATAAAGCTGCCTCTTTAGTTGTCAGTTTTGAGTCAATATTTTTTAATTCTCTTTCGTGTCGATTGCTGATTGGAATTAGAGCCACAAATGGCTCAAAACGAAATAAGTAAATTACCAACAGATATTCAGGCTGAGGCGACAAACGCCATATCCAAACTACTTCCATTTAAATCCCGAATAACTTAAAAAGAATACAACAATTTTCAAAAATGGAAAATGTATATCAGCAAACCTTAATATTACTACGGCACTTTTAATAATAACAATTGAAAATAACTGATACACCACAAATTCCATAAACAGTTTGTTGGTATGATTCTGTGACTTGTATTGACAAATTTGGGCGCTGATTCATACCAATTTTGTTGTTATAACCTTACCAACAAAGATTCAGTTAAATTAAAGTAATCTATAAGGGTTGATTTTCCTAATTATTATTTCGTAGATATGGAAAATACTCCACTGTGCGCCGGCGGTCTTTTTCGTTTGCGGCACTTTGTCGATAAATATCAAAGGATTATCGCGACAATGGCAATTTTTGATCCAATTATTTATGTGTTTTGTTTTTGAAGAAATACGCGCCAAAAATTTTGGATGCCCAGTTTGGTGTAGCAAAGCGCCTACAAACCAGGGATAATTATGCCGCCGCCGTGGCGCCTATTTTTCTTCGGCGCACTAGGCTATAACCCTTTATAACCTAGTTAGCCTATTGGGTAATCCGCTTCTGACAGATATTCAGGCTGAGGCGACAAACGTCATATCCAAACTACTTCCATTTAAATCCCGAATAATTTACAAAAAGGAATACAAAAATTTTCAAAAATGGAAGCAATTAAAAAACGTGCGAGAAGTAATAAAGTTTTTAACCTATCCTCGCTGTTAAAGTATCATTTAATCTACCCTTAGGTTAAAGTACTATTTTATCTACAATTTTTGATAGATATATCTTTGTTGTTGATCTTTGATATTTCAAAAGAACCGGGAATTTCCGGTTCTGAACCCCAGTTACCATATTATCAAGAAATTATGTGTTTTAATTAAAAACTAAAAAAAATTCCAGATTTTTTTTCAGAAAAAAAAACTTGCGCAGTAAAATCCTCATATTTCTGGGGCCAAAATATACTACCCCTAAAAATATTTTCACTTATTTAAGACCCACCCTGTATAGGGCGATTCACGGTTATGGTACGTTATAGCGTTTCCGGAACCGGAGTTGTTTTTCAGAACCGGTAATTTCGGTACCATGCCTCTAAGGAACCAGCCGGCATTTCCAGTTTTTTTTGGTACTTTCGGTACTAGAAAATTTTTGTCAGTTCGTTAAACAGGCTGTGAAAAGTAAAATCGATAAAAAATTGAGGTGTAAATGAAAATAATATCAAATTTATAAGTGGTAATCAGTCATGAGAAAATTAACCTGAACACAAACATGATCACAAATGACTCTGAAGAAAAACTCAAAGTACAATTTTTTGAATTATTACTACAACTAATAGCAGCACACAGTGAGGCACTCATTTTCAATCCGAGGGACGCAACGCTCGAACCTCGGCCGACGGACGGAACTCAACTGAAACGCTCTGCAATCTGCCGATATTCGACAGATTGTAAAAACTGGCAGAAAATATTTGGGACAGTGCGACTACTCTTTTTCTTCTATTCTTTTACTATGATTTAAGTAAGAACAATCTTCGGATTGTCACGACAATCTTCAGATTATCACGGGGTTTGTAACATTGTCTCCTCAACCTCAGTATATTGAAGCTAAGAAACAACAGCGAATGCAGATTCTGTGAGGAAAATGGGGAAACAACCGAACATATCATCACTGAATGCGCCGAGACGACAACCATTCGTGCCATAAATTTTGGTGCGGCTGATGTCGGAGATGGAGAGCTGACCTCTATGAAGTCGTCTCAGATACTGGCTTTTGTCTACAAACATTTGTCAATAAGAATATCATAGCATCAGCATTTAAGCCTTCTTAACACATTTAACTAAGGCATATTAAAATATAATTTATTTAATTAGTTAATTAGTATCACCCTCTTAATATTTGCGTGATAATTAGTATCCTTAATTGCGTGATTAATAATGTAATAGATACGGGTTGACTCGAAACACTGTCAAAAAAATGCAAGGTAATCGTTGATTGAAAGAACTGGGTTGTTAACAAATACTTATTTCTTCAGTCAAACGGTATAATAAATTGATCTTTTTAGGAAATATTTTATCTGCCTTATGTGACATAAGATATATTAAAATTCTTGTTGACAGGTAAACAAGTTCATTAAAAGTACATTTGTGTTAAGAACCATTTAATAATTAACCGTTTTTGAATCAAAAAGCACATTAGATAAAATATTGTCAAGGTGCGTGGCGACATCTTTTAGGGGAACAAACGACCGCTAAAGCGAGATAAGAATGGCGTGCCATCTCTTGGATGCTGTGGGAAAATCCCGGACGTAGTAATGGAAATTACTAGAAGGGAAAAGAATTCTGGAATGGAAATTGCCAGAATATCCCCTAGGATATTTAAAGTGGGAATCACTCGAAAGAGTCAGTCAGTTTCACAAAACATCCCCCTTTAGAATTTTTTCTTTAATGGAACGGCTATAAACCAGGGTTGGAAAAAATCATGATTTTTTTAAAAAAATCAAAAAAATTAGATTTTTTTCTACTATTATTCTATTCTTCGGAATTAGTCTTAAGTCGAGAATGAAATTAGTATTATCTAATGTCAAAGTGTAAAGTACTTACTGCAAATCAAAATATCGGTAAGAATTTGGAAACATACCAACGTTTCAAAAAAAAATATAAAACAACATATTTTCTGACAACGATTAGAGATTTTCGGAAATGAAGATATAGCTCTATATCAGAAGAACCTAGTTCTGCACTAGTCTGCGAATGATATGTATTCGAACAGCGAATTTTTGTCATTTATACATAAATTTTAAAATAAATCCCTGCGTTTAGCGGTCTTATGGATTCACACGAAATTACTTCAAAAATCGGTTCAACATTTAAATTGATGAATATGTATTTTTATATAGTTTTATAAAATTTACAATTATTTTTTGATTTATTATCTGTTATATCTGTTATAGAAATATTTTTTATAGTTTTCTAGGACACATTTTTATAACTTAGCTGTATATATTTTTATTACTTAACTATACAGTTATTTTTTGATTTATTATAAAGTTTCAATAAAATTAATTTTTTGATTTAAATCACATGATAAAAATTAAAAAATCACTTGATTTAAATCATTTGATTTAAATCATGCCAACCCTGCTATAAACGGAAGTAAAAGACTAACCGTGCGCACAAACACTAGAGGCGCCACCGGTCATCAAATGGTGTAAAAATTGCGAAAATTTAATCATCTTCTCTCTCTAATCAAAAATTTAATCATGTATCTCTTTTGACACAAAGGGTCGCGCTTAACTTTTTTAATTTTAATTCAATTTTCATTGTTTTCAAACTACCTATATTATTAGATTTTGTTTTATTTTGTGATTGTATAAATGTTTTCTTAGTATAAACTTGCATTGTATTAATTTAAATTATATTACATACATATTTAAAATTAAAATATTATAACATATGTCAGTTGCCGTGTAAGATCATTCTTGATCATTCTTGATAACGGAAGATAAATGTCAGATAAATGTCAGAGATAAAAATATTAAAATTCACAAGTTGTAATAATTCTTAATTAGACAATTCCAGGGGTGGATGGGCCATATGGGAAACCGGGAAAATCCCCGGTGGGCCGGTGGGAAGATGGGTCGGTAGGCCGGTCCAGATCAGAGCTCAAAAAAAATTGGCTTAACAAAAATTAAATGGCTAATCTTCTAACTAAAGTTACGTTAGATTCTTAGTGACTGCCTGACTAATTAATCAATTTGCATCAATATAATCGTCAGTTGCTTTTAAACATAAACAACAATTTGTAAAATAACTATTGTTAGATGTCTTCCTCTGAGACACTTTTAATTTTAATAAACATCTGTTGTTTGTTGTTCCGTTTCAATTGTTTCATTATACAAGGTGAGTCTATAAAGTGCACCTTATTTTTGTACTGCTTTGTGCAAATATTTTCAGGGCTGGTAGATCTCAATAAAAGAAACAATATATTCTCTTTACAGTGTTTCAAATAAGTCCAAAATAACCGAGTTATTAAAGTTTGGAAATTAAAAAAAAATTGATTAATTTTTTAAAAAAATTGAGAGCTACCGGAATTTTTCTTATTTGCATCTCTTTTAGTCCCGTAATGTCAAAGATTAAGACCGAAGATTAAGAAACTACACCGTGGGAAAATTTGCTGTGAACTTTTCGTTCTAAAAAGTTTTCTAAAATATACAGGAAAAAAAAAGAAAATGCACAATTTTCAACATTTTTTTTTGTGAAATAACTTCACAGACGTGTTCCTGGGGTCGAAATATACCACCTCTGAAAATATTTGCACTTTTTTAAGACTCACCCTGTATAGTTTTACCACTATTCTTTTATTAATAACTAATAAAGACTCGGGTGTACAACAGATAAAAGAG